AACATACATCAATTACTCGATTGGATAAGCTAAGAGTTTTTTTCTTTCTTTTTTACTTCTGGAGAGGTTCAAACTAAACCAATACAGATTCCAAAACACAAGAACATTAAATCGAATGACATCTCTCTCTCTATAGTTGTAATCTTGCATCTCACACAAATTATAAATCCTGGGAACAGATAGAAACACACACAAAAAAAAAAAAAGATTTAAGAGTAAAAAAAAAACACATTGAAAGAATCGATCGTACTTAATAGTCGAATCTCTTGCTCACTATAGTTTATTAGATTTCCACTCCATGATTGCTGAGTAAAGAGTGTAATTAGCAAGAAGGCTCTTGTTAGGCAATGGAAGGTTTGTCACCGGCGACGTATCCTTCTCTCTCAGCCATTCCTCTATTGCTTCCCTATCGTACGTGTACCCATCCGCAGCCACGCACGGCTCGTTCATCACTCCCTGTTCCCAACACCAAAATAGAACTAGGTTATAATTCAAGCTGAACTTTCTTGTACTGCAAGTTAACCAAGGTTTTAGGGTTCTTTTATTTATACCTTGACGAGTGGACAAATGAAGTGAGATGGTGGACCAGATGGAGTTCTCGAGAGCGAGTTTTGAGCTTTGTCCACGACTTTCCTAAGCCGCTCCAAAGCTGGGATGATCTGATCTTTAAGATCCGGTCTGTCTCTGCGTCTCAATTCGGTACAACACAGTCCCAAAGCAGCTAACTCACGTGTCTCACTAATAGGCCAAGACCCAGCTTTCACATCCAGCAATGCCATAAACTCAGCATCGTCCCCAATCGCTTCTTCCACCATGTGAGTAATCGCTATAGCGGGTTTCGCGGTTATCAGCTGTAAAATCACAACTCCTAGAGAGTACACATCTGATTTAGGTGAGATAATCCCGGTCCGCTGATACTCAGGGTCGATGTAACAGAGCGTGCCCACGGGACTTGTTTTCTTGAAGACGGTTAGCTTAGAAGATGCGTCGTCTTGGTTTACCATTGTGGACAGACCAACATCTCCGAGTTTGCTGACGAAGTTGTGGTCAAGTAAGATGTTTCCTGGTTTGAGGTCACGGTGAATGATGGGTCTAGGCTTGGATTTGTGGAGGAAGACGAGCGCGGAAGCTACTTCTAAAGCGATCCTGAAACGCTCAAACCAAGGGATCGGAGGTGTGTCGTTGACTAGCATCAACCGGTCATCTAAGCTTCCGTTGTCCATGTACTCGTAGACGAGGCAGCCTCGTTCAGGACATGCCCCGAGAAGGAGGACTAGGTGAGGATGTCGGATTTTGCTCAAGATCTCAAGCTGTCAAAAGAGAAACACCAAATATTTAGGCTCCAATGGCATAATCCCTTGGATTTTGGTCAATAGTATATGATTTTCTAACCTCTTGATCAAACTGTTTAGAGAGCTGAGTTTCCCCTGCATGGAGGACCTTGACAGCGCCCGTTGTGTGATGCAGATTACATTTGTAGACGGTTCCATAGGCTCCGATTCCAATCTTGAGATTTTCCGCAAAGTCAGAAGTCGCGGCTGCGATTTCCTCCCAGGTATAATGTTGGTATTGGATCCCTGGAGAAACAAGAGATGCCTGGAGCTTATCTTTCTCTCTAGCGTCACGCTCTGCTTTGATTTCAGCTTCTCTTCTGTGTAAAGCCTCTTTCATCATGAGTTCTTTAACCTTCTCCGCTTCCTTCATTGCCTCTTCGTACCTTTGCTTCTCCTTTGACGCAGTATCTTTCGCTACTTCTTCCATTTCCTTCAGCTCCACAAGCTTCTCAGATTCCTCGAATCGCCGCTGGTTTAGCTCAGTTAGCTGCAATTAAATCAAGAACACATAAATGTTAACAAAAAAAAAGCAAAAGACGCCAAGGTATATGTGGCTCAAGAACTTGAATTAAACCTTATTGGAAGCATCCACAGTCTCGGTTTGAGCCATGGCATACATCTCCTGAACATGTTTCAGCTCGGCTCTCAGCTTCTCAATCTCAAAGCTCAGATTCACCTGCAAAATCAGAACCAGTTTCAGTTTCGAACCAATTCCGTCTCTCTGGAAATACAGAATCAAGATCAAGAAAATCTACTTCAGCAAAACAATATGGTGACTCTAGACTCTGACTCTCAATTCATGAGCACCAGACACAGAGAAACGAACAAAGCTGTCCTGCTCTCTCTGAACAAAACAGATTCAAGAATGAAGACAATCAATTTACCTGATTATCGGTCACGGAATGGACACTGAGGAGTCCATCAGACATGTTAGAGGCACAATGAGAAACAAAAGAATAGTTCTCAGGAACCACTGCACCCCAATCCATATTCGCTAGGTCGTGGTTGTTGCTCGAAGACGAGCTCATGATCTCTCTCCGATTCTCGTGGTCTCTCCATTTAGAAGCCCAGCTCATCGCGTGATACGCCTCTGTCCCCATTGGAAACGAGGCACTAAAACTCTCATCCTTATTCTTCGTCCATTCGTTACCGCTTTGTACAATCTCCATTCCTCTCCCTCTAGATACTTCCTCTTGGTCAGCTTCGCTAGAACTCGTCTCCATTTGAATCACCGCGCTGGTGCTCATCGAATGTTTTGGAGCAGGAGACATAGGAGAGACTCGGGATTGCGCTTCCGAAACAAACGAGAGAAAGTCTTGGTACTCTGTTTTAGATTTTTATCAAATCAGATAGCTGACATTTTTAAAGACGCAGTTCAATATAATTGATGTCAAACTTACCAGAAGGGAGTCTAGGACTATCAGTAGAGCCACTGGTTGAACTGCTTCTCTCGGTTCTTTCGAATCGTATGCTTCCGCTAGCATCTGAATCAGAAGGGCGCACGGAAGCTAGTTTACCCTTTGAGACCACATAGACTGTGCAGAATCTCGGGACAGCTGTCGCGATCAAAGAAGACATATCGATCTTTCTTGAGAAGAATCCGCGAAGAGACATTCCTATAACCAATTTGGTGACTCCAGTTCCAGCAATCTCTTCTGCTATGGCAGCTACAGGCTCGTGTGACTCCAACACCAAAATCTCTACTTGCACCTTTTGTTCCATATGTTACACTTTCAGATTTTGGGAAAACAGATCAAACAAAAGGAGAGTTTTAGAATTCTTGAGACAGAACCTTTCTCCTTTCAAACATTTTCTTGTATGGACGAAGCATCTCGTTTGTGTGCCAATCCACTTCTTGTCTGTACGCTGATACTACGTCGTCTCTAAGCTCTGATACCGATATGGCATTCCCCACTGAAATCAAACCGTACCAAAAATAAGAAAGACTCGATCTTTGTACCCACAACATTGATCTTTTCCATAAATGATAAGATTCTGAATCATTTTGAAGTCAAAACTTACTTGGGGTAGGGATGTATGTGACAGGAGGACGAACATAGAGCAATTTGAAATCAGAGAAGCCTTCGGGTATGAACTTCTCAAGAGCCCAGAATGCAACGTATTTGCTCTTCTTCTTACCATTAATAGCTACCGCTATAACGGGAGATGGTGGAGGAGGTAGAGATAGGTGCTCGCTTAACGCTCTAGCTGCTTTTTTCTCTTCCATGGTTTAATCTGAAACTTACAAAACAGGGTTTCAAACTCTTTCAAGAAGATAGCGTTTTGCTGGCGAATTGAGAAGCATTCAGATGTAAATGTAACAGAGCAATGGATAGAGCTTCAGACAGAGCAGAGCTTACCCTGGGAGTTCGGTTAAAGCAGAGAACAAAGAAGAACCCTAAGTAGTTTGGTGATCATAGGACATTTTCTTAAGAAGAAATAATTGACGGAGAGGGAAAGGATTAGGACACAAGCAAGCACGTTGTTGCCGCCACAATCCCCCATTTATATACTGTGTTATATAATATAATCAGCTCACTAATTAATCCTTTTTTATTTATTATTTTCCTTCGTTATACAGACATTTTCTCTGTTTTATGTTCTTAAAATTTTAATTAGTGAAATAGCTAACTATTTAAAATCGTTATATTCGCTTTTACGTTGGTATATACCTCCGATTGCAGTTTTTGTATTTAAAATCCAAATAAATTAAAGTCAAACAAATAAAATATTCCAAACAATAAAAGGCTTGAGAAAAAAGAATTAAAAAGAAAAACTATACGTAAATCGGGAGGAAATGTACTATAAACAACCTACAAAATAAATTAAAAAGAAAAAAAAATTACATTGGTTTTCATAAATTATTGAAATTTAGAACCTACACACTTGTTTTTTTACGGTTCGTATTACTTAAATTTTAGTTATCTATTTAGGGATTAGATAATAAGATCAAAGCTTGAAATGATAAAGATGTCAATCTTAGGATTTAGTTGCCTACATGACATTGTCCTCATTTTTGTCACGTCTTATCCTTTTTTTAATAAACTATCTTCTTACTTAACTTTATGATAATACTAATAATACAAAAACTATACTAACATGTATTATATATATATATATATATATATATATATATATTTTATCATCCTTTAGTATAATATTAAAAACTGCAACAACTAGAAATAGGATCGAAGAGGATATACCGAAGAATTCCCCAATTTTTTTATGCGCTCGTGTAATCAATCACAGAGAAAGTCAACTATGTTCATATGTTTTTGTTGTTTACTGAAAAAAAAACACAATTCCTTAGGGGGGTGTATTCAAAGTGGAATTTCAAGTGATTTGTAAAAGGTTTACAAATCCAGTGTTATTCAATCATGAATTTTAAAAAGTCTCATGAAATCCAGTGTTATTGAACTAATCATTTTAAAATACACCTTAAAATCCACTGTTATTGAAAACAGTTTGTGGATTTGATTTTAAATGATTTCAGAGGATTTTAGTGGATTTCAGAGAACTTCCTTAGTTAAAAATATAATAATCCAAATCTCATAGTTTTAGGTGGGATTTGAAAGAATTTTACATAAATCATATGAAGTTACCTAAAATCATCAAAATCTCATTAAAACTCAAATCTCTTAAAATGCTACTTTGAATACACCCCCCTTAGTCTCTGTCTGATCAATTCAGACAAATTAAATCGGCCCAATCGGGAACAGAGTTTTCTATTTCTTTTAGTAAAATCAATACTATACTCCAAACAAGATTTGCCATTCTGTTTTTCCAGACATGAACTTCGTGCTGTTTCTGTAACTACTTAAGAAACCTTCTATCCTATGATGATGTTTCATAAACAAATTTCAAGAAACTCAGTTTTCATATAATCTAGTAGTAGATACAATTTACCGGTTTCATGGAAGCACTGTGTAGACTTGAACGTCGTCCATGTCAGGGTTCTGTACTGAGTACTGAAACGTCCAGCCATGGCAAGCTCCTGCGTGAGACCCGTTCTTGTCAACTGCCACTACGGCTCCCACGAAATCTCTAAACTTCCTTGCTATTCTCGAGATTGCGTCTTTTGCAGCTTCTTCTGGTTTCATTCCTCGTCTCATGCTCTCCACAACTTGGTAACTAAAATCTCAACCAAGAAGAAGAAGAAGAACCATTATAGCTCGATATAACACATGAAAAAACATAATAACTCTTTTACTTTTACATGCATACACACTTAAGATTTCAATTTTAGTGACACAAGAATTAGACAAAGATTCATAAGTGACCATCGTAAGATACTGAGAAAAACATTTCTTGGTCAGTCAATAGATAGCATTGAAGATAGAAACAAAAAGCACAAAAGTGTTCCTTTGTTCAAGGAGATTGGGTAATTACCAAGGGAGGAAGCGCATCATGGTGTCGCCATCCCCAGTTGCACCACATCCACCTACTTCATCATCAGCGTAGGCTGATGAACCAGCGATAGGCCCATCACCGACCCTGTGTTTCGCAAGCTAGGTTTAAGGGTTTTCATTGAATCTTTAATGATATAAGGATTAAAGAAGCTATATTGGTAACACATTAAATCCATTTTGAGCATATTCTTCACACATACAAACAATCAGGAGGCAGGCGAGATAGATAGGGTTGGTTTACGTCAGAGACAATGCTTGGTTTTAATAGCATTACCTTCCAGGAATCTTGAATGTGGCTCCATTGGTCGATGTCCCAACAGCTATATGTCCCATCTATAGAAAAGACTACACTCAGATTTTCTCATCATGGAAATAAAAATGTACAGAGAATATAACTGAAACTCATCTTACTTTGTCAATGACAGCCATTGATATGGTATCGTGATTGTGAGGACCAACAAGAGGAGTTCTATACTCAATCTTTCTCATTTGGCAAGATTCAGTAAGTTTTTCTCCAAAAACAGTCATAGCACCATTGTTTGGCTTGTACGGTCCACAGTCATTTGCAGGGAGTACGTTCTTCCTGAAATTGGGTTGACATCGATTCTCTTTCCAGTCTGACCACTTCTTTACGGATTCAGGGGAGCTTAAGTTCATGGGTCCGGGAAGACCCATGGAGATTGCAAAAGTTGATGCTCCTTCTCCCGCGAGCAAGGTGTGTTGAGAGTATTTCATCACTAGATTTGCAGCTCTAATACCATCTTTAACATACCGCATTGCAGCAACAGCTCCAACCTCCATAGTCACCTATCCAAAGAATAACCTAAAAATGAGTCATTTTCAAGATCTTAAATCAAATGGGACTTTTATAGTGAGATACCAATGATTTATTACCCCATCCATGACTAAAGCATCAATCATGGTCTCACCATTCTCGTTCGGACTTCCGCCAGGCCCAACTATCAATACCAACAAAGAGAAGTAAAACTTTCAGAGAGAACATTAGTGAAGTGAATTCAAAAGATAGTGCCAAGACTATAGTCACACCTGTACCGTCACAGCGAAGTTCCTCACAAGCAGAACAACCTTCCACAACAGCTTCTACTGCAGAGCTGCCATTATCAACTGCTCTCCAAGCGGCTCTAACAGCTTCAAGAAAAGGCCAAGTACTCACCACTACTGGAAACTTGTCAGGTTTCACCAATTCCGCTTCAGCTACCTGAAACCAACCATTCATAGATAAATCCATATTGTTCTATGAGAAGTGTCAAGTACTCAAGTCCATGAGGTTAAGTTAAATACGAATTCCGATGATTTAGGCATTGAACGAAATATTGAAATGTATCCAAGTCCAGCATAAATAACAAACAGCTATTGCTCCGATTTCAGCCAACATTCCCAAAGTTAGAAAAGCACTCAAATTTGGCAAAATTAAACGTCCGAAACTAGAATTTCAAAGAGATATATCTACCAAGAAGTAGAAACCCAATGTACGGATCCACCCACGTCTTAAAGTGATCAAAGATCCGATTTTTCTTTCCCAGTTCCATTTGGCTTGAGATTTTCATATAAAGCCGTAAAAACCAATTTAGAGGCTTACCGTAAGGGGAGTCAGAAACAGAAGAATAGCCCAGACAAAAGTCAAAAGATCGCTTCTCGCCATGGCTGTGAGCTCAATAAGGCATTGAGCTACAATAATCTACTACAATGACTGCTCTGTTGACTCTAAAGGTCCATTGGTCTTCTCAGTTCTCATGAGTCAGCACGTTCGGTTTAATCGGTTTGGTTCTCGATTTTAACTAACCAATTTCAATTTGGTAACCAGCGGTTATTTAATTGGAGCTTTAGCGGCTAACTTTTAGGTTAATTCAGGTCACGTCCGGTGATTGCTTTCTATGATCAGGAAACAATCCGAATTCTTGATTTCTTATAAGAAAAAACTTATCTTTTTAATCATCAGTTTCTAAAGTCTAAAACTTTGTTACAGAAGAACCAATATGAAACGAAAGCTTATTTACTGAAATCACTAGTCAGTCAACATCCAGATCAGAATGCATATGTTTGTTCTTGTAACTGTTATTATCTTCTTCTGGTTCGGTCCGGAACTTGAGAAATCATGGAAGGAACTGACGACTTGAGAGAAAGATTGGTTGACTTCTTTTTTTTTTCATTTCCATACAGTCTCGTCTGCATCAGTGAAGATCGCATTGTGATGCTCAATTAGGCACTGCACAACCTCAACTGCCCCAAAATCAACTTGAACGATATCATCTAGAGAGATTGATGAAGATGCATCTACACCTTCTCCTTCATCTGTTAACCATGAAAGATATATAATAATGATCCTAATGGGCCCTTTTTTTAATGATGAAAGTATAAGAGCCAAGTGTTTTTGTGTTTACCTGAGAGCAAGTCCCATGGAGAAGCAGTTTCAAAGTCGTTGCTTTTCTTAGGACTCCTTGACGGACGTCTCCAGTATTCCCGATAAGATTCAGGCCTGTTGTCTTCTCGCCACATGATCACAGGAGCCATTTCCATAGCTAGGCTATGCGAATCCATCTGACAGAATGCAAACAAATGATTAGATTTTACATATTTGATTCCTCAATATCGAAAGATTTTGAGGATCTAGAATCAGATATTAAAATTCATTTCTTACTATTTTAAGTGACTAAAGATAAGATATTTTTACCTTGTTAAGTAGTGATTTGTGGCTTACACGAAGCAATAGCGCTGTTATGAACTCCAATGTATTATAGTTCACATTGGAAAGCTTTTGGAGTGACTTTCTCATTCTGTGAACGCTCGATCGCGCATCTTTTATTTCACTATAAAGCTCGAAAGTAGTTAGTGGTGTCGGAAGGCTAGCAAGATAGTATTTCATGAGTGCAGCGACAACAGCTGGATTCACACCCTCAGGTATTGACGCGCTAGGATCTGCGAAACAAGTGATTAAACTAAATTACAATGTCTCCTGAGTCATAAGTGTCAAAAGAACACTTGTTGGAATGTTGGTTACCTTGATTGTACATTGAAACCAATTGTTGAATCAACTTTTTGTCTCCTTCGGCTTTGAACAAGCTCGGTGAATTAAGTCCTGAGTAAGAGGAAAATATACCGCAGTGATAACCTGATGTGAGAAAGGTACGAGGTATAAAAGTCTTAGGCCTGATTGGTCCAACCATTAAATACCTGTTAATATGAGATAATCTGCGCATTTAGTCAGTATATATGGAATAGGCCTGCTTGACTCCTGCCGCTGGACAGTGATTTCGATCGCAACACCAAACACTGCGCAAAAATGATATAATGTTACCGTATTTTCCATCAAGCCATGTGAATCTTAATCACTAATAGTTATCTAAGAAAAAGGATAAATCGAGGATTAAGTATTCCCAAAACCTCTATTAAAGAGACCATAGAATTTCCAATTAACCAAGGTTTATAAACCGTTTTATCTCATAATCGCCGATATCGGAATGGTAAACGATTATCTTACCATCTGAGCTGGCAACTCCCTGCAGATAATAAAGAACAGATATTAGAAACCAAACTCAGATCAAAGGCACATACACATACAATCACGTTTCAGACTCAAATACCTTCTGCCATCTTTCTATATCCGTCAAAATGGTCTTGCTCTTTTGTGCAGTCTTTTTGGCCGCCTAAAGAGAAAACAAAGATCAGAGCATTAAGCTGCTGTCAGAAGTTAGAAATCGAAACAACATACATTCTTGTCGAGTAAATTGGAGAAGCTATACCTCTTCAACTTTAATCTTTCCAACAGAAACCTTTTCCTTTGTCTCAGTTATACCTTTCCTGACCAAAGTCCCGGTAGTGGCAGCAGCTGTTATGAGATGTTCTTGCACAGCATGTCTAGTTGCAGGCTGCTGAAGAATTGCCCACCGGCTTTTAAACAACGTCCCAACTCTTTCTGCAACATCGGCAACATTCACTTTCGCATCCTTAGCGACTTCTCCCACAAAACTACCAGCTGACTGCCCGGCTTCCCTAATCTTTGTTCCTAATTCATTTAAAAACCATAGTAAGCTTTCCACCACAAACACACACAAAACAGAAGAGATTAGTATAGAAATTATCAAACCTGATGAAGAAAAGAATCCACTAGTCTTCTGTTGCCATTGTTGTGAGATTAGAGAAGGCATTTTCCAATACCAAAACCTTCTTTTTGGTTCTGGGAAACAAACAAACAAAAAAACTCATAAGCGTCATCATACGTATAATCAATTTCATAATTCATCTAAAAAGCATCAGCTTTCACCCAAAAATCAAATATACAGAACAGAAGAAACAAAACTCGAAGCCTCCATTTCATCTTTCTACTACAGAAAACTAAAACCTTAAAACCTCCAACTAGTAACGAATTCATCGTCAACGATGAAATGAATCAAGTCTCTTTAACTACAAAAGGTGATAACATCATAGGAACACAAAACCCTAACCTATATTCTCAATCAGTCAATCAAAAGAACAAATTAAACAAAGCCAAACCGATCATCAAACCTTTAAAATTGAGATATCTGATGAACTAAATCGAACTAAAACCCAATTCCTCGATACGATCAAAGACGACGAAGACTAGAGGCAGCGATATGATGATTATTAAAAAAAAGGAATTGATCGCTCTCCAGGAGAACAAAAGGTTCCACCTTTTTAATTTCCCCTGGAGCAGAGAAACAAAAAAAAAAATTGCTGTTTGAGAAAGAAAAAAAAAAAAAAAAAAACAAAGTCGTCTTTGAATTTTTTGAATAGGAAAGTCTTCCTTTCAAGTTTCCTTTTTTTTTTTTTTATTGTCCTTCGTCACAGGCTGGTGACGGTAGCAAATGTCTCGAAGGTGCCACGTGTATCTAGTTTTCTCTTTAACCATTAGTTAAAAACTTAATTTTATTACTGCTCCTTCATTTTCCTTTTTTTCAATTGAGACCTAAACTTTCTAATTTTGACACTTTATCCCCTTAATGTTTAATTATTTTAGGCTAATATATAGTGGAACAAAATTTTAATAAATCTATAGGATAAAAGAAGTTCCATTTGATTAAAAAAAATTGTAAAATGAGGAATAAAGTTAGTTTAATCAACCTCTAATTAAGATATTTTACATGATTGATTGTAATTAATCTGTCAACTTATGATAAATGATGGTTTTACTACATAGTCAAAACAGACAAATGAATAATCAAAATTGGCAACTTGGTAGGTCCAATGTAATCGTAAGAGCTTTATCATCCAATCGTTGAAAAAGATAATGAAGTTAGACCAAGAGTATTTGACTTGTCTACGCTATAGCAACTAGTAAGAGTCTTTTTTCACATGCCTTTCATTGTCATTCGAAATCTCATCAGCCAAAAACAAAAACAAACAAAAGTTCCACACTACTCAAGTCAATTAAAAAAACTTCAATGGTCCAACAAGTTTCTCTACCTTAAGATGAGAAACCAAAATCTAGAATCTAACAAAAACATACCGAACTTGAATTATTACTTGTGTTGTGTTTGAGTGTCTCTCTGTGTCTGAACATGGGAGAAGAAGAAGAAGCAGGAAACGAAGATATGGCTAAATCAGAATCTGGCGGGAAGATAACTTACTTTGTGGTTGCTTCATGTGTCATGGCCGCCATGGGAGGTGTCCTCTTCGGCTATGACATCGGAGTTTCAGGTTTGCATACATAAACACTTATAAATTTCGATTGCTTCAACCCAAAATCTGTGTTATGTTTTACGTATACAAGGAAAAAAAGCCACACACACACATATTAGAACTAGATTGCAATTTAAAACGTCAAAGGCAAGCACTAAATGTAAACATATGTGTTATATATAGCCGATCAAAAGTTTTATTCTTTCAATTTAATATGCAAAAACGTTGGAACGATCCATGTAGGTGGAGTGATGTCAATGGGGCCATTTCTGAAAAGATTCTTCCCAAAAGTGTATAATCTCGAAGAAGAAGATAGAAGAAGGAGAGGCAATAACAGTAACCACTATTGTCTTTTCAATAGCCAACTTCTTACGTCTTTCACCTCTTCTCTCTACGTTTCTGGTTTCGTCGCTACTCTGTTAGCTTCATCGGTAACTCGTTCTTGGGGTCGCAAGCCCTCTATATTTCTTGGCGGCGTGGCCTTTCTCGCCGGTGCTACTCTCGGCGGCTCCGCTCAAAACGTTGCTATGCTCATCATTGCACGTCTCTTGCTCGGCGTAGGAGTTGGATTCGCAAACCAGGTAACAAAAGACAAGATGATTTGTCAAGATTGAATTTATTTGGCTAGAAACAAGAGTTACAGGGGTCATATTAAAATGTTTCACAATCTTGTTTGTGTGTTTTTTTTAAAACAGTCGGTTCCTCTGTATCTCTCGGAGATGGCGCCGGCAAAATTCAGAGGAGCAATCAGTAATGGTTTCCAGCTCTGTATCGGAATTGGATTTTTATCTGCAAATGTGATCAATTACGAAACACAACAGATCAAACATAGCTATGGTTGGAGAATCTCTTTAGCCACAGCCGCAATTCCTGCTTCAATCCTCACGCTTGGCTCACTCTTTCTCCCTGAAACGCCCAACAGTATTATCCAAACCACCGGGGATGTTCACAAGGCCGAGCTTATACTCCGCCGTGTCCGTGGAACACAGAATGTTCAAGACGAGCTTAATGATCTCGTCGAAGCGAGTTCTGATTCTGCTACAGATACAAATGGATTTGTTATATTGCTTCAGAGAAAATATAGGCCTGAGTTAGTGATGGCTTTAGCGATACCTTTCTTTCAGCAAGTTACGGGAATCAACGTTGTTGGTTTCTACGCTCCTGTTTTGTTTAGAACCGTTGGGTTCGGAGAGAGTGGTTCTTTGATGTCGACGCTCGTGACCGGAATCGTGGGCACAACTTCTACGCTCTTGTCGATGCTTGTTGTGGACAGAATCGGTAGAAAGACTCTGTTTCTAATTGGAGGGTTACAGATGCTTGTGTCACAAGTTGCTATTGGTGTGATCATTATGGTGGCTGAGGGTCACCACAACGGGGTGATAGGGGAAGGGTACGGTTACACCGTTGTGGTTTTGGTATGTGTTTACGTCGCAGGGTTTGGGTGGTCGTGGGGGCCATTAGGGTGGCTTGTACCAAGCGAGATTTTCCCGTTGGAGATAAGATCTGCGGCTCAGAGTGTGACCGTGGCAGTGAGTTTTGTGTTTACTTTCGCGGTGGCTCAAAGCGTACCACCGATGTTGTGTAAGCTTCGAGCTGGGATTTTCTTTTTTTATGGAGGGTGGTTGGTTGTGATGACGGTGGCGGTGCAACTCTTTTTGCCGGAGACTAAGAATGTACCGATCGAAAAGGTGGCTGGTCTTTGGGAGAAGCATTGGTTTTGGAGGAGAATGCAGAGGAAACGTGATATCAAAGAAACCACCATAATTGGGTCTTCTTAAAGCAACCACAACAGGGGTTTAAACATGGGTTCTCTATGTTTTTGACATAAAAATTAAATCAATTAATGACTTAATTAGAGAGAACCGACTGTCAATAGAGAGGCTTTTGGTGGGTGAAGAGTCGATCACCTGGCGGTGTGTGAGTGGCCAAAAGTGTAAAATTCATACTATCCAAATAGTGATTTAGCTAAAAATTTATAACATTCCCATGTCCAATTTAAGGGTGTGTTTTGTAAGTGTAGTAAAACTTATGGTGAATAATATAATATATTGAAAATTAAAGGACAGAGATGGGAAAAACAAATAAAGCTACTAGCCAGAGACGAAGAAAGGGGCGGGCCATAAGAAAATGGCAGCATTGACTCTTCATCATCACTCGTGTCTTCAAGCGTCTGGACATCTGTCACGTCGTCTGTATCACTCGAAATTTTCGAGCTTTACACGAAATCACCTCAGAGATCTCAGCTTTCGCCTTAGTCCTGCCGATTTCTCGAGTTTTTTGTTGTCTACACGCAGCACTGCGTTTGCTGTACGAGCTCTGAGTACAGTCTCGGTGGAAGAGTCGCCGGAGAAGAAGATGGTGAAAGGTATTAGGGTTTACGAGCATGGCGGTCCTGAGGTGAGTAAATACTCGATTTTGAAGTTCCGGGTCGGATTTGGGTCACTAAAATCATATTTGATTGCGATTGTGTGTGTCTATTTATGCTTGTATGATTATAAGTTAAATGATTTGAGTTTCGCTACACTACTAGTCTAAGTTGGACTTAATCAAAGTTAAATGCATCTGATAGATCCTAATTCTTTGGTTTTAAGTAATAGTGAAACACTATCAAAGTGCTACCAGCTTATAGCAATTTGGAAGGTTTTGGATTTTAGCTTGAGCAGATATTTGATGGTTATTTAGTGAATTACTGATGTGTATTTGAAACGTAAGATTCAGGATTATGTAGGCTCTGCTTTGAAAGTATATTATTCTATCTTTGATTTAGAAACTTGTGACCGTCTCTCGCATTCTGCTTGATCTTTATTCTCTGTAATCTATTGAGGTTTTGTTTCTTTTAATGGAAGGTTCTGAAATGGGAAGATGTGGAAGTAGGAGAACCAAAGGAGGGTGAAATACGTGTGAAGAACAAGGCGATCGGGCTGAACTTCATTGATGTTTACTACAGGAAAGGTGTTTACAAGCCAGCTTCAATGCCCTTCACACCAGGTATGGACATTACTAGAACCTTATGAGAGAAAGGAATTTTCTTTCTGAACTAATGTGCCTTTTCTGATCATAGGCATGGAGGCTGTTGGAGAGGTGGTAGCTGTTGGGTCGGGATTGACTGGCAGAATGATCGGTGATCTCGTTGCTTACGCTGGAAATCCGATGGGTGCCTATGCTGAGGAACAAATCCTTCCAGCAGATAAAGTGGTTCCTATTCCTTCATCTATCGATCCTATCGTTGCAGCATCAATCATGCTCAAGGGTATGACTGCACAGTTTCTCCTTCGCCGTTGCTTCAAGGTTAGTTTTCACCTTACCTGTTTCTATGAAACGTTAGAAATTTTGTGTGAAGTTATAGGCAGAAGACCAAAAGCCGGATTTTTGTCTTCTTGCCTGTTGAACAGAGTAGAGTTTAAATATATATGGATTCTGTTTTAAAGATCTCTTCAGTGTATGACTCAAGTCGTATTTTTATTTTGGAAGGTCGAACGTGGGCACACAATCCTTGTTCATGCTGCTGCTGGTGGAGTTGGGTCTCTGTTGTGTCAATGGGCAAATGCGCTTGGAGCCACTGTAATTGGAACTGTGTCAACTAATGAAAAAGCGGCTCAAGCCAAAGAAGATGGATGCCACCATGTCATTCTGTACAAAAATGAGGATTTTGTTTCCCGGGTCAATGACATTACATCGGGTAAAGGAGTCAATGTTGTTTATGACTCTGTGGGAAGAGACACCTTTAAGGTAATGTCACAAAGAGCCAGACTGTTTATGTTCTATATCAGGTTCTTCGGATTTCTCATTGTGAAATTTTATAAATTTCCAGGGATCATTAGCATGTTTAAAGAGTCGGGGATACATGGTGAGCTTTGGACAATCTTCAGGATCTCCAGATCCGATTCCATTATCTGATCTTGCTCCAAAGTCCCTTTTCCTGACAAGACCTTCCATGATGCAATACAATGAAACTCGGGACGAGCTCTTGGAATGTGCGGGAGAGGTTTTCGCCAATGTTCAATCCGGCATCTTAAAGGCTCGTGTGAATCATAAGTACCCGTTGTCTCGAGTAGCTGATGCTCACGCAGATCTTGAGAATAGGATAACCTCTGGCTCCGTTGTGCTCTTGCCGTGAAAAGATACATAAAAAGATGTTAGTATCCATCTTTCAATAAGGGGAATGTGGATCCTTTGTGATGGAAAAATATCAAAATGTACTTTTATTGGACCTGAATGACATTTATCCTTAAAAGTTAAAACGTAAATAAAACAAATAAATTCACGGGGCAAAAACATAAATAAATAGAAATATGAGTGAGGGCTATTCGACAATTTTGGCAAGATATTACAAAGAGGCACATCATCTCCTAAAATTTGACGGAATCTATAATTCTCTCCTTGGGGATTAGGGCTCGGCAATACTACAATTTCTCCTATTAGATTTCTTCTTCGTTACGATAAATTCTTCCTCGATATAAACCACTGATTAGATCCGAATTCATCGCTAGCTGAAAATATGGTGCTTTCGCAAAAGCTTCATGAAGCATTTAAAGGCACAGTTGAGAGGATCACAGGTCCTCGTACGACCTCTGCGTTCAAGGAGAAGGGAGTACTCAGCGTCAGCGAGTTCGTACTCGCCGGAGATAATCTCGTCTCCAAGTGTCCCACCTGGTCCTGGTTAGTTCGAATTTTTTAATTTTTTTAATGGATGATATGAATACACAGTGGTGAATTTTGTAATCTATGATATGTGAGCTTGATCCTTGATGAATATGGGTGAATGGGTCTCTCTCTGTTGTCGAAAAGTATAGACTTATGCAAATTATAATTGAGATCAATCAAATTGTGGCTTTTCTGATTGGAACAAGGTTACAACTTCCTTGAATGGGTTTTTTTTTTCTTGTAGTTTTTTCTGATGTGATGTATGTCTTTACTCCTCAATACTATATGTCTGTATTAAAATGGTCATTGCGCTTTATCTAGTTCAAGCCAATTGGCGGAATCTATATCTTTGCTTAAATAGGTAAGCTTGACACAATGGCTTTTACTTTTGATTAGGGAATCTGGTGAGCCAAGCAAAAGGAAGCCATACTTGCCCTCGGACAAACAGTTTCTGATTACTAGAAATGGTAAATTAGAGCTACTTTCTGTTTAGTTTCTGAATGCACATTGTTTTATGGACTTTTTACGGGTTGGCAGTACCTTGTCTACGGAGAGCTGCATCTGTGGCAGAGGATTATGAAGCTGCTGGAGGTGAAGTGTTGGTTGATGATGAAGATAATGATGGTTGGCTGGCTACACATGGGAAACCGAAAGGTAGATATTTATATTAGTGCCTCTGAAATCCACTTTTCTCTGATCTAACTCTTGTCTTAATCTTTACCATAGATAAAGGCAAGGAAGATGAAAACTTGCCATCCATGGATGCTTTGGACATAAACGAGAAAAATGCTATCAAATCTATACCTACATATTTTGGAGGTGAGGAGGATGACGATATTCCAGACATGGAGGAGTTTGATGAGGCTGACAATGTGGTTGAAAATGATCCAGTGAGTTTTTTTCCTTTCACTATCCCTTTTGTCTTTGCAGTTTGCACTCAGCTTTTTGTTATTCCTCTATGATAAATGCTTTTGAATTTTCAAGTTCCTAGGATATTTACATGAGTTTTAAAGGGTTATAAATTAACTTGATTGAACACTGATCGTGTGTAGCATATTTTACCTAAGGAGCATATTGTCATCTTCCAATTTTTTTGGTCTACCAAGAAATTTTAATATTTTTATTCTTCCTTGAGTTAGGCAACTCTTCAGTCAACATACCTTGTAGCTCATGAACCTGATGACGATAACATTCTCCGAACTCGGACATATGATCTCAGCATAACGTAAGCATGCCACGTTTCTTTCATTATTATAGAGCTGCATTTTGACTTTTAGATACAGCTATTATACTTTTGGCTCAGTAGAGGCGAACTTACAATTCTTTCACCTGGTTCAGGTATGATAAGTATTACCAAACTCCTCGTGTTTGGCTGACCGGTTATGATGAGGTTTGCATCTCGTTCATACTTGTTTTGTTTCCTCCTAAAGTTCTTGGATTTTTGTTGATTGTTATGTTTCTTTTTATCTACTTAAAAGTTGTGATGTCTCTTGTAGTCAAGGATGTTGCTGCAACCTGAACTCGTAATGGAGGATGTGAGTCAAGACCACGCTCGTAAAACGGTAAAAAGAAGATGATCTCAACTGATATAAATGACTTTCTGTAATTCCACCAAAGTTTTCCCACCTATTCCCTGACTCTGACCAATGTTCAAATTTTTTTGTGATCCTCTTTAAAAAAAATGCATAGGTCACAATTGAAGATCATCCGCACTTGCCTGGGAAACATGCTTCAGTCCATCCATGTCGGCATGGAGCTGTTATGAAGAAAATCATTGATGTATTAATGTCGCGCGGAGTAGAACCTGAAGTTGACAAGTATGTGTTTTTCTTGCAAATAACGCCTTTTAGTTCATTGGGCTTACTGGTTACAACTTACACCATTGCTTTTTCTGCCAGGTACCTCTTCCTGTTCTTGAAGTTCATGGCATCAGTTATTCCAACAATCGAGTATGATTACACAATGGACTTTGATCTCGGTAGCTCAAGCACCTAATACCAGGTGAGATCCCCTTTCTCGCTGTCTGTTATCTTCATATACACAGTTACTTGGTGAATCTCCTACACAAGCTTTTATCTTAAATCTGGACACTTTTATTTTTGGTAATTTACTAGATTTATACACCGAGAAGCAATCACTGGTTTCATGGAGAAGCAATCGCTGTTTTCATGGAGAAGCAATCACTGTTTTCATGGATGGCTCTGCACTGTACATAAAACAGAGTCCTCATTTTCATTTCTTTCCAAAAGAAACTGTAAGGTGTTGTGGTTTAATCACCCGTTTATCTCAAGTTTATGCGGATGAATAGTATTTTGTGATGATACTCAGAAACGGGTATATGATCAAAACCGATCCCGTGTAGTTCAGAAAAACGGATGTGATTTAGTGTGTTTGGTACACTCTTGCTTTGGAAAAGTTGCTTACTGTTTCATATGACGTATATGTGATTGAAAATCACTGTTTTTCTTATTACACAAGAGTAACAAAAGTAGCATGTTTCTTCTGCTGCGGTTTCAGCGGCAGAGGTCTCACTCACAATTGTAAAGCAGACCCGGTAATATGAGATCAAAGTTTGACTATGTATTTTATACTATCTACCTCTCGTCACTCGGGTAACTAAAACGATAAGAAGGACAACAATGGTGAGCAGAACGGTCATCTGAAGCTTCTCTATCACTGGGGCAGTACCTGAAGCTAACACAACCGTCTCATTTCCAGGAACAAGACTGAAGAGGTCCGTGACGTACTTTGTGACTCTCTCCATGGTATCCATAATTTTGATGGCACTCCGCTCAAACAACCTCCTTATACAACAATTTGCGGCTGAACCAGAGTCTTCTTCTGACCTCCCAACTGCATTATACATCCAGGAAAACTCTTTACATAACTAAACCGTTAGAAGCAGAGTCCAGTGAATCTTATGTTCTTACCATTGCTTATGAGCTCCCGGACAACCTCATTGTTCATCACTGCATCCCAAACAGCCTTGTCTGAAGCTAAGGACATAACCATTCTCTGCAACAATAGACACGACATTAATGTCCGTATCAGTTATTTCGTTTGTCAAACCATGGAGCACAAAAGACAGGGAACCTGAACAGAAGGGTCGGTCTGAAACACATGAAAGGCGTCGTAGAGTCTATCCAGCATATACGGCTGTAGAAGCCTAGTATTACAGAGCTGTAACGGAGGCTCAATCCAATCCACAGACTCCGACTCTGAAACTTGGCCTTCATCATCATCATCATCATTGAACATCCTAAACAAATAAAATGATGGGTTCTTTAAACCAATAAAGAAATGACAATATTTCAAAAAGCAAAACCTTTTTTTTAGTTTTCCAACTCTCACAATCGAAGTGCAGAGAAGGCATCGTCAACTTCGTCAAGTTCCGGAGCTTTATCCGTAACAAAATCAACCTCTTTATCTACAGCCACCCATTCATATTCTTCCTCCTCCTCACCGTTAGATCCATAACTCGCCTTCACCGGCTCATATGAAGAAAATGATGGAGACATGGGTGCTTGTTTCTGACTGCCGAGATTAGTCACTGTAACAGCATCAGCTCTTTTTTCCAAAGCCTCCACCTCTTCTCCACCGCCGATTCTGATTCCCATTTGGTTTAAACTTTTCTTGGTCTGGAAGCTGGAATCCGTGCTTAGACAATTTTTTTAGTCAATGGTAATTTCCTTTCTAGTCCTCATACTTTACGATTTTCCAAAATTCAGATGTATACTTTTTTTTTTTTTTTTTTATTTCTAGTATTCAGATGTATACTTATGCTATTATACATCAACAACCCCATAATACTTTTAAAAAGTGTACTGTTAAAAGCCGATTTTAAAATTGCAACGAGTCTTCGAAATCAACTGGAGCAATAGGCTTTGATCTTAAAACCCCCCCCGTGAGTATCCTTTAAAGTTTTCCACAAGTAACTTGATCATGCTAACTGAAAGAATCAAGAATCAAGTTACAAGTTGACAAAAAATACCAAGACTTGAAGTAACACATCTCCAACATTGAAAAGCACTGTCTTTTACTATAATAAGGTTCAAGTGGGCTGATGAATATTGGATATTTCAAGAAATGTATACATAATAGTATAATACAATCCAGCAGAGTCATCCAGTTATGGCTTATGACAAAGCAAAACACTAACATACTGACATCTTTGTGCCTGAAGTTTCAGATAAAATGGTTTACGTACACACCCACTCAATTTAACATAATGCAGTAGTAAGATATAGTAAAACGTTTACAGATAAGCAATATGATGAAAAAAGGTTAACAAGCTAGCATGTATGTATATGGGCTGTTCTCCAACTCTCTCCCGTTTTTATCCTACATGCAATCATAACTTTTTTATTTTGTTTAATTATGGGGGAAAAAAAATTGAAAAGGAAAAGACAAAGATTTTGAAATGAAAAATAATAATGATTAGTAATGTTGATTTTGGATCCCATAGAGGAAATATAAATATATACTCGTCTATTTTTTTCAAAAAAGTGAAACATCTTATATTTTTCATGAACAAAATGATTACACGTTTTTGATATCATGATTTCATTGGTTTCTACCATCTAATGATCTCTGATTAACAACTTTGAAGACCGTAATGGAAATTTATAGGCTAATGATAATGCATTATTGTCACTTTTAAGAAATATGATCATAAAACTTCAAGCTAAAGCATATCTATGTGCCCACAAACACATGAGACAAAATAAAAGCATGGGCCACGTTAATTATATAATTTGCTCAAATATGTCGTTTTTGGTTTATAAAACTCATTTTTGAGTGTTTTTTAATTAGACACCAATAACAGAAACTAATTTAAGAAACCTTTTTAATACAACCAAAAAGAGATTTGGTTAGTGGGGATGATCAGACTACTTAAACTAAAGACCAAAACTGACATCTAATTTGGCTTCATCTGAGCAATATGGATATTAGTGTCAAATCAATTTCTATTTAATTTAAAATTGTGATGAAGGTTGACAAATTTTGATTCTTTACAACCATATCTCAGCAAATGTTTTAGTTCCTTTTTACTAAATTGACTATATATTTCAACAAAAATGAATATATTCACATCTAAGACTAGAAAGTTACTGATAAAAAACTTTTTTTTATCTAGTGGTAAGTGTGGATAGATATGTTGCATGTTGAATTTGCCGTAGTCATGTGTTTGAATAATTAGCTCATTTGGGTGTATTGTTTATAGTATAGTATATTAATAGTACTTTAACAATTTGAATACGAGAAAAGAAAAAGTATGATACTTGAGTCACACACTTATTATATGACAAATCATTTCATTCTGAACCTAAAAATAAAATCCAAAAGTGTCATTTAACAAATAACAAAAACAAAATACAAAACAAACTGTGATATTTATTTATATATATATAAAGAATACAAAGTTAACAAACGGTGGTATTTCGGAAAAAGAATATTAAAAAAGAATGAGAGACATTTGAAATAACATATAGTAAGTAAATAAATGGCCTCACTTCCATCAATCGTTTTCTTTCTCTCTTTATTTCATCCTCTTTGTTTACTTTTGAAGGAATGTTCAATTCTTTCATCATTCTCTTGTGGAAACTTTTTTATAATTATATTTTCTTTTCTTTTTTCTACTTTATTAATTTGTTTCTTGTCTCTCGTGTACTTCCAAAATTAACAATTTCATATATATTACAATATACAAACTAAAAAAATAAAAAACTTGAATACTATAGCTCCATTGAAATTTTTTGGGTACCGAAGAATTCTACTTTGAAGTATAACTCAATTCATACATTGCGTTAATAGATATAGATAGATATTCTAAAATGAAAACCCCACAGGGGCATGAGATAAGGCATTGTCGCTTACATGCATCATAACATGGATCGAGGCAATGTTTTCAACACTTGTCTTTCACTAAGCGAGATGGTAAACAAAACTGGCTATGTGTGCATATATATCGACTAGCTTAGCTATAGAGGGGTATACGGAGGTTAAGATGCATTTTCCCGATGTATATATGAGACATTCCCATCGTTTTGTATTAGCATTACTGTATCACTCTGACTTTGCAAACAATGACCCAATGGGAATAATCAAATCAATCACTCTGCTTAAACAAAAGAGGAGATGTTCAGTTGGGGGTAAAACCGTCATGTGGCAAAAAGGAACAAAACATACCATACTACTATACTACTACTGTACTGTTGTTGCGAAAAAGACACGCGTGGCCAAGAAAACACTAACAAAAAGAGAAATGTAAACGACGCATGCCTCATCCATGCCCCCTCTATTCATTTTCATTTTCTCATTATTGCATCCTATTAAGTTTTCTTTTTCTATAAAGAAGACACCCCAAGAATATTTAGGACCAATGATCCTTTCTTGTCCGTATTTTATGTAACGTATATCATTCTAATTAGTCAACAATTTTTCTTTTCGGCCTTCGAACCACGTAGCTAGTATATATAGTGATTATAAATTGAACCATTGGGATTATAAACTATGATGCAACGAGGAGTCAATTAACGGTACATGAGAATATGAATCTACAAAGCAATATTGTATATTGTTACGAATGTAGTATCGCATTATGCTCACGTACGTACGGAGCCTTTTAAAGATATGATATGCACATAAGCGATAATTTAGGTGATTAATTAGCTGGGGAAATAATGAAATCTTCTTCTTCTTTTTTTTTTTTTTGGGTGCAACGTAACTTTATAGATCATCGAATAAATGTGTCACCCAACCTTAATGATGAAAAGTGAATCTATAATGGCAAGCAACCATCATGAGATACAAACAAACTATATCCCCTTAAGTCAATTTCTACAGCTATATTTATAAACTTTATTATATATATACAGAGAGAGCATTGACAAAAAAAAAGATTATATTATTGAGTGTGTTTTACTGTTTAATAAATAAAACATATGTATTAGAAGAAAAAGACATCGTAACGAGAATAAAAATAGATATATAAAAGAAAAAGGCATAGTTTGGATTTCCTAGCAGTATTAGATAAATAAGTGAGACAAACAAAAATTGTAGTTAGAACAGGACCATGTGATTGCGAAACTTAAAAAAAAAAAAAAAAAATACATGAAAACCTATTTTGACAAGAATTATCTGAAAATAGTGAATATACAAACATGAAAATAGATTCGTGTCCATAGATTATAATGATGTTATGATCATTAGAAAACACGTAATTTAATTTAGGGAATGCAAGAGAACTAGCCAGAGACAAAAAAGAAAAAATATTTTTGACTAGGACAGGACCATGTGATTGAGATAATTTAGAAAATACGTAAAAGAAGTTAGAAATAGCGAATTTGAGTAGTAGAAATTCAATTCGTATAAGATAAAATCTACAATAAACTAAAGTAAGTGTACATTACAAAACTCAACTCTAAATCTAAAAGTCGATCTGAAACAAGTTTGTGTGTTATTGTTGTTGTGAAAGAAGTCTAAATCAAGTTTTCTTTCAAGTTTTCGTAAAAAATGATATATACAACTCTAGTAAATAGATTTAACGGGTGGCCAATGGTTATGATTTGGTAGATATTTTAACAAATAGAAAAAGAAATCGGAATTATCAATTCATGAAAAGGCAATAAAGAGATGCACGCGTATATGATCCCTATACGTATGAATAATGGTGTGCTAAAAGAATAGCTAGTGTGAACACTCTGATGAATTTGGGGTTATACATATATATATAATCATCTTGAATCTTTGAGGCGCGAGATTGGTGTTCGAAAGAGGAAAAAGAGAACCATACCATACATTAATACATATACATATATATACTTATATTGTAAAAAAAAAAAAAAGAAGAAGAAGAAGGAGATAGAGATATATAGTGGGCTTGAGAGTTAGTGGAGAGAGACAGAGGAATTAACCTTTATTGGATCCTGTGAGTGTGACTCTGATAAAATACACTCCACTTTCACCACCTTATTACAACATTACATTTACATGATAATACGTTTCTATGTGTACATTAACATGTACTTTTGTATACATATCTCTCCATGCGCATACACTTCCATCGAACATTCTATTTGTCTGCAAAAGAAAACCCAAAGTGGGGAAAAAACAATTTCAAATGAGGTTAAGAAATATATTAAAATACAAAGCATTCTGAAATACGAGTGCCATTGTGATTTTGGTTTTCCCATTTTTAAACAACTCCACCCAAGTATAAAAATTCTAATCTTATATTTTCTACGATACGGCCAATCAAAAATTGCATACCATTATACTATTTGTTTTTTTTTGGTTTTATACGAGACATAACATAATGAATAAAGATTATAATACGAAGTAGAACAGTAAGTAATTTTGAAAAAAGTAAGTAAAGTTAAAGAATGATGAGAGTGGAAAATGGAATGAGTTTTTCTTTTGTTTGCTTTGCTTTGCTTTCCCCACACAAGCCATAATGCCTTAACCAACAAAAGCCAGACCATTAGACGCACTCCATAATCATCATCACCTTCATCATGACTTCTTCTTCTTCTTCTTCTCTTCACTTCCTCCTTCTTCTTCAAACCCTTATATCCACCGTTGTCTATCCTAACACACAATCTCACCACCACTCTTCATCCCACTGTTTCACTTTCATCTCCTCCTAATTCCATGATGGACAAGATGAACACTTCTCCTTCTCTTGTTCATCTCCTCCTCCTCCTCCTTCTTCTTCCTTTCTTCGCCTTCAATTCCTTAGCTCTCAAGGTTTCACCTCAGCTCTTATCTCTCCTTTCCCTCAAATCATCTCTCTCTGGCCCTCCTTCCGCCTTTCAAGACTGGAAAATCCCTACTGATGCTCAAAACGACGCTGCTTTGTGTTCTTGGTCTGGTGTAGTTTGTGATAATGTAACGGCTCAAGTCATTTCTCTTGACCTCTCTCACCGGAACCTCACGGGTCGTCTTCCTCCAAAGATTCGTTACTTTTCGAGCTTACTCTACTTGAATCTCAGTGGGAATTCCTTGGAAGGCTCGTTTCCGACTTCTATCTTTGATCTCACCAAGCTCACTACCCTCGACATCAGCCGTAACTCGTTTGACTCTAGCTTTCCTCCCGGAATCTCCAAGCTCAAGTTCTTAAAGGTCCTCAATGCCTTCAGCAACAACTTCGAAGGTCTATTGCCTAGTGATGTGTCTCGTCTTCGTTTTTTGGAAGAGCTAAACTTTGGTGGGAGTTACTTCGAAGGAGAGATTCCTGCTGCTTACGGTGGTTTACAGAGATTGAAGTTTATTAATTTAGCCGGAAATGTCCTCGGAGGTGAACTACCTCCGAGTTTAGGGCTCTTATCGGAGCTCCAACACATAGAGATCGGTTATAATCACTTCAACGGAAGCATACCCTCGGAGTTTTCGTTACTCTCCAATCTCAAGTACTTTGACGTTTCCAATTGCAGCCTCTCTGGTTCTCTGCCTCAAGAACTCGGAAATCTCACAAAGCTGGAGACATTGTTGCTATTCTCAAATGGCTTCACTGGTGAAATTCCGGAGAGTTATAGCAACTTAAAAGCCCTCAAGTCTCTCGATTTTTCGAGTAATCAGCTTTCTGGTAGTATCCCATCAGGCTTCTCAAGCTTAAAGAACCTCACATGGCTGAGCTTAATCAGCAATAATCTCTCCGGTGAAGTCCCTGAAGGAATTGGTGAGCTTCCTGAGCTAACCACATTGTCTCTATGGAACAACAACTTCACCGGAGTTTTGCCACAAAAGCTCGGATCAAACGGCAACCTTGAGACTATGGATGTCTCTAACAACTCATTCACCGGCACAATCCCTTCTTCTCTCTGCCATGGAAACAAGCTATACAAACTCATCCTCTTCTCCAACATGTTCGAAGGTGAATTACCAAAGAGCTTAACTCGATGCAACTCTCTATATCGGTTCCGGATTCAGAACAATCGATTAAACGGCACAATTCCGATCGGATTAGGCTCTCTGCCTAACCTCACATACGTTGATTTGAGTAACAACAGATTCACCGATCAAATTCCGGCGGATTTCGCCACCGCACCTGTACTTCAATACTTGAATCTCTCTACCAATTCCTTCCACAGCAGATTACCAGAAAACATATGGAAAGCTCCGAATCTACAGATCTTCTCAGCTAGTTTCAGCAATTTGATCGGTGAAATCCCAAATTACGTTGGTTGCAAAAGCTTCTACAGGATTGAGCTACAAGGAAACTCACTCAACGGAACGATTCCATGGGATATCGGACATTGCGAGAAGCTTCTCTCTTTAAACCTCAGCCAAAATCATCTCTCCGGGATCATTCCTTGGGAGATTTCAGCTCTTCCGTCGATCGCCGACGTAGATCTTTCTCATAATTTCCTAACCGGAACCATCCCTTCCGATTTCGGAAGCTCCAAGACGATCACAACCTTCAACGTTTCGTATAATCAGCTCATCGGTCCGATTCCAAGCGGTTCGTTCGCTCATCTGAATCCGTCCTTCTTCTCCTCAAACGAAGGTCTCTGCGGAGCTATCGTTGGAAAACCTTGCAATTCTGATAGGTTTAACGGCGGAGATCGAGATCTAGACGGTCATCGTAACGACCAGCGACCGAAGAAAACCGCCGGGGCTATTGTTTGGATACTGGCGGCGGCGATTGGAGTTGGATTCTTCGTTCTCGTCGCCGCAACTCGATGTTTCCAGAAAAGCTACGGAAACAGAGTCGACGGTGGTGGAAGAAATGGCGGAGATATAGGACCGTGGAAGCTAACCGCGTTTCAGAGACTTAATTTTACGGCGGATGATGTGGTGGAGTGTCTCTCAAAGACAGATAACATCCTCGGAATGGGATCAACGGGAACAGTGTACAAAGCAGAGATGCCTAACGGAGAAATAATCGCCGTTAAAAAACTATGGGGGAAAAACAAAGAAAACGGCAAGATCCGTCGGCGGAAGAGCGGTGTATTGGCGGAGGTCGATGTTTTAGGGAACGTACGGCACCGGAACATCGTTCGCCTCCTTGGTTGCTGCTCGAATCGAGATTGCACGATGCTTCTGTACGAATACATGCCTAACGGAAGTTTAGACGATCTGCTACACGGTGGTGATAAGACGATGAACGCGGCGGCGGAATGGACGGCGTTGTATCAGATCGCGATTGGTGTGGCTCAAGGGATCTGTTATCTCCACCATGACTGTGATCCAGTGATCGTACACCGTGACCTGAAACCTAGCAATATTCTACTCGACGGAGATATGGAGGCGCGTGTGGCGGATTTCGGCGTCGCGAAGCTGATTCAAACCGACGAATCCATGTCCGTCGTCGCCGGATCGTACGGTTACATTGCACCAGGTACCCCCATTAACTTTTTAAAAATTAATTCTTTACTTTTCCCCAAATTTTAAATTTCGTACTTTTTTGTCCCTTTGTTTTTTATTATTCGGATTTTGTCCGTTTCTTGAACATTCTCTTTGTTGGGATGACAACATCTGACAATATGACTAAAATGTTTGTTTGTTTTTGGTTTGGTTTGCAGAGTATGCTTACACACTACAAGTGGATAAAAAGAGTGATATCTACAGTTACGGTGTGATTTTACTGGAAATCATCACCGGAAAAAGGTCGGTCGAACCAGAGTTTGGTGAAGGCAACAGTATCGTGGATTGGGTTAGATCAAAGTTGAAGACTAAAGAAGATGTAGAAGAAGTTCTAGACAAAAGCATGGGTAGGTCGTGTAGTCTAATAAGAGAAGAGATGAAACAAATGTTGAGAATCGCCTTGTTGTGTACGAGCCGGAATCCGACAGACCGACCGCCGATGAGAGATGTGTTGTTGATCCTTCAAGAGGCAAAGCCGAAGAGGAAGACAGTAGGAGGAGATAATGTGATCGTTCTTGGTGATGTTAACGAGGTCAATTTCGAAGATGTTTGTAGTGTTGGTGGTGGTAATGTTAAATGTCAAAAGATTGGAGTTTGATTTGTTTATATATATATCTTTGTATTTTGGAGTTTTCAATCTAGTTGTAGACTTCTCTTTTTGTAAGGGTGTTAGCGTGTATATATATGAGTGTATTTTTTGCTTTTGTTCTTCGTCTTCTCTCTTTGGGTTATATGAATGAGATGTTTCGAATTTTTGCTTCGACGAAGATCATGCTTCATCATGTGATTGTGGGCTACTTGGATCGACAATAACACTTATGACTACATATATCTTTGTTTTTTTTGGTATTATAACATGTTGACTATCTATTCAATTCAATGATATTTCCATTTAGAGTAATTATTTATTCTCTTTTTTCTTTCCACTTAAGGCTGTTCGTATTTACCTTATTATATATGTATTCAATCAATTGATACTTTTGAATAATCTTAAATCCTTGACTATTGTTAGTCAAACAAAACCTAATTTTTAATTCAGTATTTATACGGTAAAAGATATATTTTACAAAGAATGTTTCGGTTAGTTTCTGATTAAACACATAATAACCTACGAGAATTGTGGTTGTCAATAAATGAGTCTAAATGATCCGAATGTAACACGATGCAATTATACAAAACCACTAAGCTTGCATGGTTATCTTAAAGTTTTGTTTCCTATACTAATCTGCTTCTAATCATCTTATGTTTTTTATGCATTTGAAAGCCTAATAATATCACTACGTCCCAATTTAAATATTGTATTCCACGATATGATGTTTAAACAACTTTTGAAAGAAATTAAAATAGACCAACAAAATAGAGAACATGTTCAAAACAAAAACACGAAAAAACAAAGAAAGAGAGCATGTATTATTATTTGTTTATCCAAATGGACAAATCACTAAAACCCTATGCCTCATAGCTAGATTCTATGGTCACTTGGCGGAAGTCGAGAAGTTGATTGGTGAAAGGAATGCATAATGAACCTTTTTGTGACCACCAAGTGCTTGACCAGATTCGAACACTCTGTTACAAATTTGACACTCGTAACGCTTTCCTACCACCACCGATCCATCTTCGCCGGAGATCTTCAGTCGTTTGTTTCTGTGGCTCGTCCGATGACCTCCCAACGCCTGATGCGAACGTAAAACTTTTCCACATATGTCGCACATATACTTACTTTGCTTCTTGCCCCTTCTTTCTTTCGTACCGTAGTATGCGTTTTCATCAGCATATTCATCGCTGTCTGCGGTTAGGTATCCCACATCTGAAGTGAGAAACTTAACATCTCCATCTTCATTGTCTTCTTGTTCTTCAGCAACGTACTCATCATCACTGTCTTCGACATCTTCTTCAGAATCTATTTCCATATACTCTTCAGTATCTTTTCCTTCTTTAGTTGATTTCGGATTCTGACCTGACCACATGGTCTTCATTTGTAAAAGACATAAAGCATTTTGTTCAGAAGTTATACCGCATAGAGACTCTGTAGAAATTTCCTCTTCCAAATCGATGAAGATCTTTCCCTTGGCAGCAGTTACTTCTTGTTCACCCTCTTTGGTTAGATCTGGCGTACGACCACTAGCAGCTTCATTGGTGAGGGCAGATCTCATCAGAACTGTTTCGTGCGGTCGTCTGAAGTTTGCTCCAAGGTTGTTGCGCGGTCGAAGTGATGGAAGGCTCGAGCCAGTTGATAGTTCGGCGGAAAATTGCCGAGTGTGAGACTTCATGTGACCACCTAGAGCTTTCCCGTTTGAAAATGATTTCTTGCATACTTGACAGGTTTTTTCTTGGTTGAGAAGTGGATACATCATTTGCGATGAAAACACACAAACAAAAAGGCTAGAGTTTTTGATTGCTTTTTATGCTAGAAGTTTTTGTTTGTAATATGTTGCTCTGTGATTTTGTGAAAATGGAATACTACCCCATATATATACATACACAAGAGATGCAAAGAGTGAGGAACATGAGTATGTAACACAATCAATTATTCAAAAGGAGTTAACCACTTGACATAAGTGTTTGGTGCAATATGTTCCAACAAATTACTACTTGCAAGCAAAACAAATTTTGGTCAAAGAAAACAGGGTCAACAATCATGATTTTTTTTTTATTAATTAAAATGCAAAACAACGCGGTCGGACTATCTTGGAAACAAAGAAAACAAAGTCAACAATCATGATTTACAAGCTTATCTTTATGTTCTTGTCTAAAATAACTAGTACAAGTAAATTACTTATTAAAAAGTACAAAAATTTACGGCACTCTTATACTAAATATTTAAAGTTAACTTATAAGTTATGGTCAATACGTATAAAATATATAATTCGAGTGGTACATAAATAAATACCAAGTATTTTCCAATAAGGTTTAACAAAAATCAACTTATGATGAAATGAAGATGATATTTGATCTACTACTTCATACAATTAAAACAAAATTTATTGTCAATTAATATTCAACATCTTGATAAATTATTGTGTTGAACTAATAAAGAATACTAATTAATTGTAGCAAATATTACTATATATTGTATACATATAAAAAAGTAGCCTATATTTTAGGAAAGTAATCAAACAAATTGTAGGATTTGTGAGCACTTGAAAGTTGAAATCGAGAAGCAACGTTTATAAGTTAGAACAAAGCAACCACATAGAGTAGTGCCAATTAAAGTACGAACAAGAAGAAGATCATGAGGAGAAGTTCTAAACTCAACTTCAGCTATTGCCAGCTGCATTACGTCAAAGAGCTCAAAGCTGTCAGTACCCAAAGTCATTGTAGCTCTTTCACAAATCATTATATTTTCGATCTTAAATCATTTCATTTCATATAGTATCTGTGTTTCTCGCAGATGGTCGTCCAAGGTGCTAAAGCAAAAAAATTGTTTAGTGTTGACTGGGCTGGCAAAGAATGTGGTTAAAGGCCCATATTATAGTTTATAGGTGATTCTAAGGCCCATTGTTATTTGCATCTCTAGAAGATCGTACGGTCAAAACGGATTTAGTTAGGATACACGCGACGTACAATAGCGTTCTCTTGTTCCCGCCCTAAGCACTCCCATCCAATGGAACTTTTGCTCTTTTCTAATTTGTTTCAGCCGAGTGAGAAAAAACCCTAGAACTGCAATTAGCGATGGCGAAATCTGGGTCTCGAGCTAGTGATTCCTTCATCAAACAGCGTTCTGGGTCGGGTACGATTCTTAGGATTACAGTTGAGAATTTCATGTGCCATAGTAATCTCCAGATTGAGTTTGGCGAGTGGGTCAATTTCATCACCGGCCAAAACGGAAGTAAGTTTTTTCCTTTACAAAAAAAAAAATTGATCTCTTTAGCTCTCTGATTGATTGAATTGAATCACGAATACCTTATTGAGAACTGGGTTTCGCCGGATTTTGAAATCTTATATTTGATTCACTGTGCTAATAACGATTCAGGTTAATTTTTTTTTGTTTCTCGTTGGAAAGTGGTGGCCATATTTTCTCATTTGATTTAGAAGTTAGGAGATTGCGAATTTATGATTAAGAATTTTTTTTTTGATTGAAAATTTTAAATAGTTGTCAGCTTCTTGGAATGTGAAACGACAATTAGTATTTGTTTGGTATTGGGTAGTCTGTGAAGGTGTTGCGACTTTATTGCTCTATGATCTTTACTGAATGGTTGAAAGCGTATAATTTCTTGTTTTGGTTTTATAATCTTCAGGTGGTAAAAGTGCAATTTTGACTGCTCTATGTGTTGCATTTGGATGTCGAGCAAGAGGGACACAGCGGGCTGCCACTTTGAAGGATTTCATAAAAACCGGATGCAGGTTTGTATACTTATGCTGTGTTTTATCTAAAATATCAGATTTGCAGGTTGGAAAGAACTCAAAAAGCACATGCTTGATGGTGTTCATTCGTCTTTCTCAAAAAAAAAATAGTTTGTTTCTTGTCATGATTAAGAATGAATAGCTGAAACTTTCACTCTCGTTGGGATTTCTTTGCAGTTATGCTGTTGTCCATGTCGAAATGAAAAACCAAGGAGAGGATGCTTTTAAACCTGAAATTTATGGTGAAATTATAATTATCGAACGCAGGATAACCGAGTCTACCACTTCTACCGTTCTCAAAGATTATCTAGGTTAATTTTCTGTACTATACTCTCTGTAAATTTAAGGTTTGACTTACAAATTTTCTCATAGCCGCCTACTGCTTGTTGTGATGACTGTCTCCGTTCTTTCTCTCTTTTCAACCATCTCTTTCTGTGTATTATGTGCATAGAAATTATTGATATAAAAGGTTTTTCATGTTTACTCCTTTTCGGCAACTTGTATTCTGCAGGAAGGAAAGTAAGTAACCGAAGGGATGAGCTACGGGAACTTGTTGAGCATTTTAATGTGAGTTTTAATTGTTCATTCAGTTTTAAAGAAAGTATTAAAGTGATATCAGAAGCATTTGGCATATTCATTGCTGTATTCTTATTATATTTTACATGGGTAGATTGATGTTGAAAACCCTTGTGTGGTAATGAGTCAAGACAAAAGCAGGGAGTTCTTACATTCTGGAAATGACAAAGATAAATTTAAGGTGTGTCATGTGAATTGGCATATATCAACGTCAACCATGTTATTTTAGCTGAAAAAATTTCGCTCTTTAGTTTTTTTTTAAGGCAACCCTTCTTCAGCAAGTCAATGATCTTCTCCAAAGTATCTACGAACACTTGAATAATGCAACTTCAATAGTCGATGAATTGGAGAACACAATTAAACCAATAGAAAAGGAGATTAGTGAGTTGCGTGGAAAGATAAAGAATATGGAACAAGTTGAAGAAATAGCTCAAAAGTTGCAGCAGTTGAAGAAGAAACTGGCTTGGTCATGGGTATATGATGTGGATAGGCAGCTCCAGGAGCAGACTGAGAAGATTGTGAAGCTTAAAGAACGTATACCGACTTGCCAAGCTAAAATAGATTGGGAACTGGTAAGCAATACATACTTCCATCATCTCATATTTGGATGGCTATAAAAAAATAGAAATTTAGCAATGCTGGGGTGCATTAATTTCTCCCCATGATCCTACCTGGCCATCATAAGATAACAATGAATTTTATTAGCCGTATAAAAAAGATAGTTTGATAATGTATTGTCTTGAGGTATTTCTGCCCTAAGACTTTCTTATACGGCATAGTTAACGTGTACAATCTTGGTTCCATAAGTTTATGTGAAGTTTGCCTCTAAAGTTTTCTTAGAGCACAAACCTTGTTACATGCCTTATAGTAGGGGCTAGGGATCTACAGATGGGTGAATAAATTTCTTATCATGTTCTGAACTCGGAATGTTCGATTATAATTGACCATTTTTGTAGGGTAAAGTGGAATCATTAAGGGATCGCTTGACCAAGAAGAAAGCTCAAGTTGCATGTTTGATGGATGAATCAACTGCAATGAAGAGGGAGATAGAGAGTTTTCACCAATCAGCCAAGACGGTTTGTAAATTTGTTTTACGAGGGAGCTAGTTGATAGGATTTTTCCTAAAACATTGACAAATTATCTTCCATATCTAACAAAGTATATTTTAATGTTCCATGTTTGTGAAAAAAGGAGGCAAATGATTATACTGAATTCATCAAATGTGCTGCATGGTTCTAATATGCATCATTATTCTTAGCTTTGATTAGTTTTTAAAGTTGCTTTCAGTGTTATGTATTGTCCACAGATTGTATGCGAGTTTTTGATATATCTTTTTATTCTTGTTTTAGGCTGTACGGGAAAAGATTGCTCGACAAGAAGAGTTCCATCATAAGTGCAATAATGTTCAAAAGATAAAGGATCGTGTTAGAAGGCTTGAACGGCAGGTTGCAGATATCAATGAACAGACAATGAGAAGCACACAGGTCCTCAATATTGGTCACTAATTATCCAAAAAAAATAAATTACTATGTCTTTTCCATTGTACTCAGTGTCTTGTCATAACGAGCAAGATATTGTGAATGTATATATAGTTGTGCATATTTCTCACATGTTGATAGTTATGCAGGCTGAACAATCTGAAATTGAGGAGAAACTAATATATTTGGAGCAGGAGGTTGAAAAAGTTGAAACATTACTTTGCAGGTTATGATCTTAAGTTTTCTGTTTCCTTTTCGTCTGCTTAGCCTTCTTCTGTAGCCTTCTCTCTCGTCTTCAAACATGTTTTAAATATTTGATAATTTAGATTGAAAGAGGAAGAGAACTACTTATCAGAAAAAACGGTAGATGCGAGGAAAGGGATGGAAGTCATCGAGGATATGGTATGGTACAACCTTACTTGTATTTATTACTAACATATGAATCTGAAGTCTTAGAATTTCATCAGTTTCATATGCAGGTTGTTTAGAATTGTATTTAACACCTTGTTCATTTCTTTGGCCTTTTTGGCTTCTAGATTAATAACCATCAAAAGAGGCAAAGAACCATAATCTCTAACATTAATGATCTGAAGAAACATCAAACAAACAAGGTGCGTCCTAAATTTTATTACAATATTTAGTGTTTCGACTGGATATTACCTAGCCTCTTTCGGTATCATCTAATAGGCATACAAATACATGCATGCTCACTAGGTTACTGCATTTGGAGGGGACAGAGTCATTTACCTTCTGCAAGCTATTGAGAGACATCATCATAGATTCAGGAAACCACCAATTGGTCCTATTGGCTCCCATGTGGTGAGTTCCTACTTGTTCACTTGGAAATCTGTGCTCCAAACACATTAATTCACTTGCTGTCACATATTGACCATGCATGTTTCAAGAAGGAACTGACATGTTCAACATTTGTTGTAACAATCTCTTAATGTGAATATTTTGTGAGTTATCTCTTCTGGTGTTGGATTATGTTCTGCAGACTTTGATCGATGGCAATAAATGGGCTTCTACAGTTGAACAAGCTCTTGGCAGCCTCTTAAATGCCTTCATTGTGACTGATCATAAAGATTCACTCACTCTAAGAGGCTGTGCGAATGAAGCCAATTATAGAAACCTTAAGATTATCATCTATGACTTTTCGAGACCAAGGTTAGAAGTCAATTAAGCATATTAATGTTTCCGTTTAACCTTCTGCATGGGCTATGACTCAGATATTTGCTATCTTTTCATTTATGCAGGCTAAATATACCAAGGCACATGATTCCTCAGACTGATCATCCAACTATTTTCTCTGTCATACATTCTGATAACCCAACCGTCCTTAATGTTTTGGTGGATGTGGTTCGTACTTTCAATTTTTGCATCCACTTACTAAATTTGTTTATTATTATAGCCTGATACGACGACGATATTCACAGCTTAGTATTGTTTCCTGGATATTTCAGAGTGGTGTTGAGAGGCAAGTGCTTGCAGAGAATTATGAGGTGGGAAAGGCAGTTGCCTTTGGGAAAAGGCTCCCAAATCTAAAGGATGTTTACACTCTAGATGGATACCGAATGTGAGTAACTTGTTAGATTTTTCATGGACAGTCTTGTTTTATCTTCACTTGCAAACAAAACAAATCTTTTGCATGGCCGGAGATCAGTTGTTCCTTTGAATAGATTTTTGAACTATGACATATACCCCTGTGTGTCCTGGCTCTGGATTTCTCCAACATCAGTTTTCCACCATAAGACAAACTTGAGAACTGTTCCAATAGAAGCCTTTTGTTTGACATTTTGATTTCAACTCCCTTCAAGAACACTATTTTTTCTACTCTTACGCCAGGTTTTTGCGTGGGCCAGTTCAGACTACTCTTCCTTCTCATTCTCGTAGACCTTCGCGACTCTGTGCTTCTTTTGATGACCAAATCAAGGATCTTGAAATAGAGGCCTCAAGAGAACAAAACGAGATTAAACAATGCTTGGGACGTAAGAGGGAGGCAGAGGAGAGTCTCAAGGAACTTGATTTGAAAATGCATACACTGAAGGTAATGTCTTGTTGATTAATCCAGTAGACATGCCACAACTGGAGTTCCCAGTCTTTATAAAATTAAATATAATCTGCTCAAAAAATATTTATAAAGTGAAATAATTAACTCCATTTCTGAAAGCTTTAGTTCACCCGTATTCATAATCGCTATCCATATGTTTTCTCTGTTTTGTTTATTCAGAAGCACCGCGTCCAAGAAGAGAAGGTTTTGACGACAAAGGAACTTGAGATGCAAGATTTGAAGAATACAGTCGCTGCTGAAATTGAGGCATCAACTTCTTCAAATGTTAACGAGCTTCAACTTGAAATCATGGTTAGTTTGTTGGTGAAACAATTTTATTGTCATTGTTTTTGCGTTGATATCATTCCTTAAGTTTTTGCCACGTCTTTTATTATATCAGAAAGACCGAGAAGAGATAGAGGAGAAAGAAGCTTTGCTGGAGAAGCTCCAAAACTGTTTGGAAGAAGCTGAGCTAAAGGCTAATAAACTTACAGCTTTATTTGAGAACTTACGTGGTATGCCTGTGTTGGACCACTGTGTCTGAAACACCTCTATCTCTTTCTTGGTTTGTGATCGAACATGAATAGATCATCTTGATTGAGGGGTCGACTCTATTCTTACATTTTCTTGAAATGTGTATGTAGAGTCAGCCAAGGGTGAAATTGATGCCTTTGAGGAAGCAGAGAATGAGCTAAAGAAGATTGAGAAAGACCTTCAGTCTGCTGAAGTGGTACCCCTTCTTGCCTCTACCTAAAGTTTTTAATCTTTTACTTGTTTTGCATGCAGAATGTAAGCGTGATTCTGTTACAGGAGAAAATCCATTACGAGAACATAATGAAAAACAAAGTCCTACCAGATATCAAGGAGGCTGAGGCTTATTACGAAGAGCTTAAAAATAAACGGAAGGTACAGAAAATAAGCAATTATATAGGACTTTTTCAAAATGACAAATGCAACTTCATTTCTTTCTATATAACACCCAAAGTTAGAATATATCTATATGTCTCTCTTAATCTCTTTCAAAACACTCTCTGAGGAAATGGCCGGGTTGAAACCCAGGATGACATTTTGTCTGGTCTATTGAACTAGCTTCTAGACTAATGTGTTTTGGCTGTAAATAGATTAATTTCTTATCTTCTTGTTGGTCATTGCCAGTGTTCATTTCTTTTCGTGTTTCTTACGGTTACGAATTACATGTGCTAAAATTTCAGGAAAGTGACCAGAAGGCCTCTGAAATTTGTCCTGAGAGTGAGATCGAATCTTTAGGTCACTGGGATGGGAGTACTCCTGAACAGCTCAGTGCTCAGATTAATAGAATGAATCAGAGACTTCATCGAGAGAATCAGCAGTGAGTATTTTAGTATTGCCTTTTTAGCTCTTCCTTCACACAGAAACGACCAGTGACAGTAAATTACATGCTTCAATTCTTTGGATGCAGGTTTTCTGAATCAATCGATGACCTTCGGATGATGTATGAGAGCCTGGAACGAAAGATTGCAAAGAAGCGCAAATCCTATCAAGACCATCGAGAAAAACTCATGGTTGAGTTTGCAGATCTGTATTATGTTAAAGGTGTATGTATTATTATAGCTGCATCATTTAATGTATTCGTTACTGTTTGATCAGGCCTGCAAAAAGGCTCTAGATTCGCGTTGGGGAAAATTTCAAAGAAATGCATCTCTTCTTCGGCGTCAGTTAACATGGCAGTAAGCATTACTTTTCCATGGCCACCTACATATATAAATTTGTAGTTGGTTGTCTCTTGAGATTAGTATGATTTCCATATGGAGCTTTTTCTTATGTTAATGTTCAAATCAGATTCAACGCTCACTTGGGAAAGAAAGGTATCAGTGGACAAATCAAAGTCAGTTATGAGGAGAAAACTTTATCCATAGAGGTAATTGACACTACCATGCTACAATTTTTGCAATTAACGTGCCCATATTAGTACATGATGGCTTTCTTTTTCGACAGGTTAAGATGCCTCAAGATGCAACTAGCAATGCTGTTCGAGATACCAAAGGTCTTTCAGGTGCTGCATCCTACCTCACTCTAAAAAATCCAACATATAACTCATTGCCATCTAAGACATTTCCTATGTCAGCCATTGGTTGAGTCTAACGCTCTTCTCATTATATTAGGCGGAGAACGTTCTTTCTCGACTTTATGTTTTGCATTAGCTCTTCACGAGATGACAGAAGCCCCATTTCGAGCAATGGATGAGTTTGATGTGTTTATGGTATTATGTCCTTCTAAGAATCTACTCGTCAGAAGCATTACACGGGGATGAGACAACAACTTGAACTTTCTGATTTTGAAAAATCCAGGATGCAGTCAGTCGGAAAATCAGCTTGGACGCTCTGGTGGATTTTGCAATTGGACAAGGATCGCAGTGGATGTTCATCACCCCTCATGATATCAGGTAACAGATCAATACTTTGGAACTACGTATGTGAAGTGGATACGTGGATGAAACTCTCTCTCTCTCTTACAGCATGGTGAAGTCGCACGAGAGGATAAAGAAGCAGCAAATGGCTGCTCCACGTTCTTGAAAACAAAATAACCTCTCCTTGTATAGCTCCATAAAGGTACACACACTATCACTCACTTAAGCATATGATAATTCTGTGTCTGCAATTTTTTTGCCCGTTCTCACTTGTGTGTTTCTTTGATCGGCCTCATCAGGGAATCATCGGCTTTGAGTCAAATGCTACAACACTTGTTTCTTCCCTTCACTTCACAGTTGCTTTCTTGACAATAACGAGCTGATGGAAAGTTTGAGAAGACTGAAGAGCTTTGTGTATTGGTTGTTTTTACAGGTGCCGAGTGAGACCCTTTTTTTTTTTCATTTCGTTTTTATGAAAATTATTTATTCTCTTAACTTTTTGATTTTTGAAACTGTAATATATCTAATTTACTAATTTTTATTGACTTAAAATTATCATGAAGGGAGACAGATATTTTTAATCTATTGAATAAGCACAGATGGCGTTGGTACTGCTGACCGAGGCCTGAGAACATTATTTTGTGACAGTTCATTCATGCAGTTAACCAAAAGAGACAGAAAAAATCCCCTAGGCTCCATAGCTACTTGCTATCAATTAAAATGGTTTGAAGAGTTTTGCCATTTGGTTTCAATTTTACACGAAAAACCTAGCAACATCAAAATATCTTCTCACACACTTTATTTAACAATGTAAAAAACCATGTTATTTACATCACAAACTAGGAAAATAATACAGTAATTTAGTAGATAACTCTTAAACAGAGTACTTTATAGTATAGATTACTTGGAAAATCATAACATTCGGCTTTGAGGCAATCCGATGAACAGATCAGTTTCGACGTCGGATGTGTTCATGTTTCCGTAACCACAGGAAGCTGCACTCTTCTCATTATCTAGGCTCCTCGACTGCATCCACAAGGGTTTTTCTTCAAACTGAAACCACAACACATGTTCCTCCTTCATTAATCCATGGAAGATCAAACAAATTAAAAGGGATCATGAAAGTGGCAATTGATATATTTTTTTAAGTGAAATTTAAAATATGTAGTCTAGTGACTTGTACAATCATCAGTGATGTGCCAACATCGTCCAAGATTCAATCCCGCAATGCATGTTGTCAAAGAAAAGTCCATATGTCAAGTCCATGCATGTTTAAATGAAGTGTCTCCATCAATGAATACATACATGTATTCGTCCTTCCACTGTATATATAATATATATATGTGTGTGTATGTACCATTTCGTGCAGGTGCAGCCTAGGTCTCTCGTTCAAGAGCTCTCTCTCTCCTTCGATCTAATGAAATAAGATGTAGGAAAAAATCTCAAGGAGAAAAATAAATATATCCACACAAAAAGGCAATTAAACTAGTATAATTGGTATTGTATAGTATTGGGTACCTCTTCTTCTAGTTTTTCTACTTCATCTTCATTTAACTTGGCCTGCCAAAATTGTAAATCTGAAATGAACAACAGCACCCAAAGAAAATTGCGATGTGCTGGTTCCATACATATAGCTGATCATATCTAGTGTGAAACGTCTCACATAACATATAAAATAATACATTTCTTTAGAACACCCCTAACTAGGTTTTTTTTTTTTAACATCTAAAACACTTTTTTATATGAATCGATCAGAGTATACAAGATTATCAATGAAACTACAAATACAACCAATGGTTTGTCTAATGAAACATACGATAAAGAAAATATATAATCGTCTTTATCTTTTTTGACGCATAAGGCTATATATTATTGTTAAGCACGTCATGAAAATTAAGTAATTCTCAATGAATTTTTACCTTTCTTGACCTGACAATAGTAAGGCTTTTCTCAAGCTGGATAGTTATCTCTTTGAGCTCATCCACCGAAGACGAATCCAAATCTTGCCCCATCAGCTTCCTAAGATAGTATCGTGTTCACGTACGAGTGTATTGTTCATATATGCAGTAGTCAGTAGGTACACAAAGATTAGTCAGTAGATATTAAAAAAGATTAGATAACAACCGGCAATGGAGTTGAAGAAGGTCAATCCTGTTCACCATTACTGAGATTTCCTTCTTAAGATCTTGCACATATTTCTCTCTTTGGAATCTCTCTGCCGAAAAATACTCCCTTCTGTATATCTCACACCGTTCCATCATCTTCTCCATGCTAAAGTCATTTTTATTAATTGGGATATATATTAGCTATAGCTTCAACAAGAATATATTCATATGCAAATTTAATTATGTATTTTTGTAGTCATATATATGCATATACATATATATCTTTCCAAACGTAAATTTAAAATAGTCACGCTTGACCTATCTCAGGAATCATGACCATAGTCTTAAGTTATGATCAATATGGTTTCGGAAAGGGTAAGAACAACAAGTAAGAAGATCTTTTAGCAAAGTTAACCAAGAGACTATATATAATACATTGTTTCACAAAATGTTGGGGTTTGATGACTATGATTGGTATCACACTTGGTCACTGTGACATCATATGACAAAATGAGATTTTGGATTTTGGACTAATTTGGATCTATTAGAAGAAATTCACTTACCTATCAAAGATAAACACATACTGTATAAAATCATGTAAACTATCTAGTCTCATCATCATACATCATAATCATGTAGCTTCCTAATCTTAAAATCGTCCATTTGTACTCTTAAAGTATGGCATGAACACTGAGATTTTTTTATATTTAATTATAGTAAAAGTGTCAAGTGGTTTCAGCATGAGTTCCAAGACATACTAGGTTCAAACTTCAAAAACGCTTTTTCATGGAAAACCCTAAATCATTTGCTCGTGCTTGAAGACGAACTTAATTTTAAGGTAACGAAAACATTTGGAAAATTAATTGTGTTTTTGGTTTAATTCATTAAATAGAAATTCGTGGTACTAGAGAGAAAAGCTCTACATGACCAAAAACAAAACCCTTCAAAAAGGCATATTTGGGGAAAAATTAAATTCAACTGTTGAAACTAACTAGAATCTCCAGTACAATATCATTACTTACTAGATGAATACTTAAAAAATTATCAAAGTAAGCAAGAACAAAAGATCCATATATATGAAGTTTAATCAATATGATTAATGTATATATATATATATATATATATATATATATATATATATATATATAAAGAGTATTGACTGGATTAAAAGTCTCATAAATGATAAATAGAATTACTTACTTGGAGCTAGCGAAATCATATAATTTTCCCTTTTGAGAAAAGATAATGGCGGCGACTTGAGCATCGCACAGAACTGAAAGCTCGTGAGCTTTTTTCAAAAGACCTTTCTTACGCTTAGAGAACGTGACTTGTCTGCTCGTGAGGTTCTCGATTCTTTTGATCTCGATCTTCTTTCTCGCCATCTTCCTGCCAAGATTAGTAAATTAGTATGAAACCCTAATCAAATCATCTGATCACTTTTTGGGAAAATATGTGTAATAAATATGTTACTTTAAGAAAGAACTCACTTGGATTCAAATCCAAACACAGAAATGAGTTCTTGATAACAGGAGGGAGATCCAAAGACAAAGATCAGGAATCAAGAAGAAATCAAGAATTCCCAAGAAAACCCTTTTATCTTTTCTAAATCTGTCAAGTTTGCTTCAAAGGCCTCCAAAAGAACAAAACAAGCCGTCGACCAAGAAGATCTGAGATATCTAGAAGAAATACTTTTAACAAGAAAAAAAAAAAGATGCAAATGAAGTAAAATGAATGAATGAGTCGTAAACTAGATCCCTCGAAAAGTCTAGTCTTCTTCTTGAATATTTGTATTTTGGTGTACCTCTCCTATGCAGGAGGCGCAAACCCTAAGTTTAATTAGTCGTCTTTGACTCTTTGACTCTTTGCTTTTGCTTTCTGAATAGTTAATTACTCTCATCAGCGAAATAAACATATGTTATTTTGCATATATATGCTACTTCTATTCTTCCACGTTTGCCTAGCATTAACAAATAAGTAACTTAATTAAAAGCTTCTAATTAAGCAGTCTCCATCTCCATGGTTTTGATTTTATTTTTTCCTTCATGTGAGGCAAGATTTTAGTAAGTCTATGCTATCCATTAACCATTGACGGTACACACTAAATACTACTACTACTCAAGAAAATGGTTACCACCAATATGATGGTCCATAGACTAAATTAAATTAATAGCATCATTATTGCGAATTAAATCTTCTTAACATAAATCTCTAAGATCATGTGTACTAAAGTGACTGAGACTCTACTGACCGATCTTTAACATCTTAGGTTAAAATTTTCTTCTGACAACGAAAAGACTTGAGGGTTTTTTTTTTTTTTTTGAAAATCCTTAATCTTCTAGTTTTTATTGTTACAAAGTACAAACATTTAATTACAAGCATATTTGCGATAGGTAATAAGAAAAAAGTAATATATATTGACAATTGTAATGGGCTGGGCCAAATAAACGTGTGGACTCAATTCTCAATATGGGCTAAATCATAATTATCATAATGCAAAAAAGGAAAAACCAAAACAAAACAAAGAAAAAAAAAAAGGAAAAAGAAAACAGAGTTTTATACTACATATGTGTCCTAAAGAAAGTTTTCTCATTCAGATGTCGGAAACATCAACGTATATCAGAGAGAGAGAGAGATCCAAAGATTCATAGAAGACTATAAAAACTTGTTGTGAAGAATTTGAAGATGAAGGATAGAGAAGAATCATCATCTAGTTCTTCAGGAACATCAAGAAACAACAACAACCCTAATGGAATCATCAACGGCGAACACGAACCTAGAGAAATCAACATCCGATCATTCTCTTCTGTTCCTTCTTCTCCTCGTAACGCTTCTTCTAAATACGATTTCGTCAAGGTTCGATCTTTCTTCTCTTTTCAATTGTCCGGTTTCTTTTTTTCCTTCAAAGTTCTGATTTTTACTTGTTGACGACATATTTTCAGGTGAAGGTATGGCTTGGAGACAACGCAGATCATTACTATGTTCTGTCTCGGTTCTTAGTTTGCAGAATGTTAACTGTTACTAAGGTTTGTTCAATTTTGATACCCAATACCTTTTGAATACGGTGGCACTGAATGATTCTCACATTGGTAATAAAAGACTTACTGATTTTTTATTCAGATCCCAAATCATGAGGCCATAAAGATTTCTCTTGAGCTCAAGAAGCTTCTTATTGACAACAGTCTTCTTGATGTGTATGCCACACAACTCCTTCTTCGATTAAATTTACATACTTTTGATGTTCGCTTGTAACATAACTTGCTTTGCTTTCGTCTTTGCAGGTCTCAGTCTGATTTAGAAACCAATTTGTTTAAGGTGCATACTTTAAATCTTTGATGCAATTTATCTGATAATCTCTTATGATTATGTTTTAAAGTATTCTGATGATGATTTCAATTTTGAAGCTCATGGAGCGACGTGGTTATGGGGAGGAGTACATTAATCGTTACAATATGATGACAAAGTAATACCCTACATGCTTTTTCTCTTGTTCGATCAACTTTTCTCAAAATTCATATTTTTTTTATTTTTGATTTTATTTTGGTTCTAGATTTCATCATCAAAGAGTGCCTCTTGTCATACTTGTTTGCGGAACAGCTTGTGTTGGCAAGTCTACTATAGCAACACAGCTTGCTCAGAGACTAAACTTGCCAAACGTCTTACAGGTAAACTGCTCTGTAACCATTCTTCATCTGTTCATTCTCATTCGTTTGTGAGTTTTTGAAACATCGTATGTGCTCTTTTGTTTCACAGACAGACATGGTATATGAGCTGCTTCGAACAGCAACTGAGTATGTTTTTTTCTCCTTTTTAATTATGCTTATCCTTATCATATACTTTTAAGAGTTACATTCTATGATGTATAGATGACTATAGATTAGCGCATTAACACATTTATTTCTGTGTAATTTAGTGCTCCATTGACATCAACTCCTGTATGGACGCGAGAGTTTGCTTCATCAGAAGAGTTGATAACTGAGTTCTGTAGAGAATGCAGAATTGTTCGAAAGGGTACTTCCTTTTTCTGTTGAAAACTATTTGATTCTTTTGCTTTTGTTTCATCTTGTGTTTGTGGATTGTTACTCTCTTTATTCTTGTTTTGTAATGTGTGTGTTTTGACAATCCTCAATGTCTTGTGGTTGTTTAGGACTTGGTGGTGATTTGAAGAAAGCAATGAAAGATGGGAAACCAATTATAATTGAGGTAATTTGTTTGTGAAATGCTGCATAAGTTTGAATTATATTCCAGTTATCACACTTTTTTCTAATCTTGGCCAAGTAATTACAGGGAAGACATTTAGATCCAAGCATATACTTAATGAATGATGAGAACAAAGCTCCATCGAATGATTCCGAGAAGAGCAGCGCAGAAACAAACTCTTCAAGTGATTTAACATCGGACAAGAATCCCGAGGCAGGTTCTTCTAACATGAAAGAAACCGAGAATAGTACTATGGAACCCCATTCTCATGATGAAGCCATGGCATCTACGGAAGCTATGGACCAGTCAGAAAAAGTTACACAATGTAAACCCAATACTCTTCTTATTTTTCAGCATAGCCTTTTTTCTTTTTGTGAAAAATCTTGCAATTCTTTATTTATGATTGATTGTATAGTTTATTTTTCGTTTTGTGTGTGCAGCTGAAAGTTCAAGAGATGCTGAAAAGAAAAGCAAATCTGCAGATGGAAGTGGAAAGACAAAATCTGGCCCAGAACCAATAGTCATATCTATTGTTTTAAAGATGTCTGAATTCGACCATAAGGTGAATCAAGTTTTTGTTCATTTCGAGCTATATAACTTGAAAAAGAAGTACTCATTCTCTATTCTTTGTTTTCTTAATCTCATTTTCTCAGGCTTTGCTAGAGGAGTGGATCTCTTCCCGTACGTCTGGAGAGAAATATACATCAAAGGTATTAAACAACCTGAAGCAGAAAAACATCACTAAACTGATGTTGAAAGTTGTATGAACACATGTTTGGCTTCTCTTTCTGCAGGAGAAAGATAGACTAATTACAAACCTAAAGACCATTGAAGACTACCTTTGTTCCTTCAATTCACAGGTTTGTTGTGTCCTTCATCACTCATAATTGTTTTTCAGGTTATACGGTTTTAACATTTCTTATTTGTGAACAGGGAGTGACTGTTGTAAATATATCCGCCACCACATTCCCGCAGACACTAGATTGGCTGCACAACTATCTTCTTCAGGTAAGAAAGAAGCTAGCAAATTCAAAGCTTTGAAAGTCTAAATTTACAACAGAAAAAAAAAGTAACCAGATTCTTCTTCATATCTTGTAGCGTATTGAGGAAGGGATCCGATCATCGGAGAATGAGGCACCAAAGTGAGCTGTCTTCTCTACTGTAATCTTGTGTGATACCTCAGAACAGAAACTATAAGGAAATTGTAATACAGTTAAAACACTTGAGATTAGAGGGGTGTCAATGATATAGCGGATTTTGTGTTCTATAGCGTCGTTGGCACTTTATCAGAGAAGTTCTTGCACAAGAATTTGTTGCATGAACTAATACAGTTACTTAGATTGTCATTTGTAATACATAATTATCCGACATAATAGGATCTTCCCCTAGGCATTGTCATTTGGTTCTCTGAATCTCAGCTCTGCCTCGATTGATCCTTAAGAGCCAAAGAAGAGATGCTCTTCATTCACTCTTGAGGCTTCAGGCTCCATTTTAGCTGAACAATCAGTCACAACAACGAAAACAAGATGGATGGAACATCAATTAAAGACTAGTGTAAAACCTTAGGCTTGCAAACTCTGCTTTGGATCGAGCTGAAGAAGTCCTAGGACGAGTACTGGAAACTTCTTGATACGCAAAATAATTATAGGAAAAAAAAGATGGAGATGCGGGGTATCGATCCCCGTACCTCTCGCATGCTAAGCGAGCGCTCTACCATCTGAGCTACATCCCCAATTGCTAACAGCACACTAAACCATGAATTTATACTTCTGTTAAATAACGGTCCAGTCACGTCCCTCCTCTTTATAAGTCCGAGCCAACATCCACAAAACCCTAACTTATCTTTCTCTTCTATGTTCCTAGTCTCTGATTCTTAACGCCGTTTTTTCTTCACAATCTTAAAATTTCTTTTCTGATGGAGTAGTATAGGATTTGGTTGCTGAAAGTTCTGTTCTTGAGATACCTCTAATGTTTTCAATCACTTTGAAAGGATCTTTCTCCATATTTTTTCAAGCTATCTCAATAACTTGTTTTTCTCTTTTTTTACTTCTGTGAATTGGGTTTGTGTTGTTTGCAAGTGACGATTACAAGACAGGGACATCAGAAATTATCTGTGTTGACTATAGTCTATAATGGGAATCTCTCTGATGCATTAACAACTTTTAGTTTTTTTTTAAAACCCTTTTTTTGTATTTGTTTTTCTGATTCAAAGTATTAGGCTTTACCAATGATGGAATTCAAATAATCATCAGATCTGATGTGTATACACATGATTACAATCATTGATGCTGAGGTAAAGCCAATTCATTCCCATCATAATCAACCACTTTTGCCATAGTCAAATCGTTCTTATCTGTTTTGATCAGATCTTAACACATATTACATGTTTCTTTCATAATTGAAAGATATTGAATCTTGCTATTGAAAACAAAGTCAAGATCTTAATCCAAAGATAATCAAAGACTGTAGAAGCATGTTCCTCATATATTAAGAGATTGTGTTGAAACTCTGAAGTCGCAAAAGATTATCGATTATCACTCTTAGGAGTTGATAATCGAAATTGCCATGGCTTGTAATAATGACTAATGGAAAATAACTTCAAATCCAATCACAATGAATACTAATATCTACAATTCAAGAACCGTAATGAAAGATCATCTATTCATATTTCATAGCATCACTTTTTCATAGTGTTCATCTGTTTTATAACCGAAGTTGTTACTTTGGTATTGTCTCAAAGAGTTCAGATTCATTTTTATTTCCCCAACCAATGTTAAAGCCGCCAGTTCCTTCTCGTCTAATCCCTTTGCTGGCCCGAGACTGCATCTTTCGTTCCCGTGCTTATCCAAAGCTTTCCTGAACTTATTGATCTGCACATTTCAAATTGGAAAAAGTGAGATTCAGATTACTCAATGCCAAAAACTCCATGATATGAAAACGACTGCAAAATGTATTATTGATTAGTAAAAAGATTTGACTTACGGTGGCAATAGTGCAGCTAAAGCTACAGACTTTACCCTCTGCTCCTCTATAGAACTTAAAGAAAGGAAGCACATGAACGTTAAGGCCATGACACATTGTCCTAAGCTCTTCTTGATTCACTTTGAGAAACATGACATTTGGGTTTGATTCAGCCAATTGACAGATCTGTTATAAAATAATACCAAAAACATATCAAACATACTGAAAATCTGAAACAAAACAAAAAAAAGTTGAAAGCTAGCTCTTAACTAACAGAGTTATTCATTAATACCTTTGGGTGGAGAGATTTGCAGCCACCACAACCAGGAGAGTAGAAATCAAGAACAACCAATCTATCTCCAGCGTTTAACAAAGAGTCAACAAGATGATTAGCAGACTGAATCTCAAACATGTTGTGTTTCGTTGACTTTTCCCACCATCTCATTCCTCTACTCATGCCAATTGATGATGTCTTTACCTGAACCTGAACCTAAACCATTTCAAACATAACTCTATTAGGAAATCTATAAAGTCACAAAGAAACGAGAAAAAAGACAAAAGAGATTTGTATTATGTTGCTGTTTGCTTACAGGAGCCACAGAGGAAGAAGAGGACAAGGCAGTAGTAAGGGAATGGTTGGTGAAATCTGTTGAAACCATGAGATGTTCCTTCAAAGCAAGGCTCATAACCGGAGAAGAAAGTATCGATTTTGATGTGTTCTCCTGAGAGGATGGAAAAAACCCAGAGACCCTATGATTGGTTCCAAGAGATGAAATTGCATCCATGTCACAAATCTTGTGTTTTACGGAAAGACCAGAAAAAAAAAAAAACTCAAAATTTCTATAGGTCTGATGGAAACAAGAAAAAAAAAAGTGCAAAATTTTGAATGAGGAAAAATCAGAAAAAGCTCATCACTTTATAGGACCTCTCGATATCAATGAAAGAACACAAACACATACGCAGAAACTCGTGTTTTATTTATGTGTCAGTGTGTGGGTAAGACAAGAATTGGAATTTACTGGAGAGGAGGAGGTAGGAGTGTGTCCTTGTTATTATATCCAAACTAAGACGATAGATTGTTATGACTTTATCCTTTTATCCATAACTATTTTTCACCGTTGATTTCGTGATTTGTGCTATAATTAACGTTTATTGACCAATATTTATAAAAATGAGATTGGTCAAAATAGTAAAATGATGATAAAAATCTGAAGATCCGGATTAGGTTTACACGATTATATTAATCAAAAATTATCCACAATAATATTGTAACCTCTTTTTATAGTATTTCCAAAGTGAATGTAAAACTGTAAAGAGAGTAAAGAACATCATTGTCAGGGAGGAGTCGCATGAAACGTGTAGCTGACTGTGTTCCTCGTTGGATAGGGTCCCCAACTTGGCTTTACATTCAATGGTTTTGCATTTCTCTTTTTTTTTTTTGTGTAACAACAATCCTACAACTGGATGACCATCAATGATATTACTATATATGTATCTCACTACATAAGGAATTAAAAAAAAAAAAATTAAGGTGATCGAATAACATTTTCCAATTTCTTTTATAAAATAATAAGAAATTTATTTTCTTCTTCAAACATTCTTTTTCTTTATAGGTGATCAAAATAACATCTTTTATTAATAATAATAAGAAATTTGTTTTCTTCAAAAAAAAAAAATCTGACCAAATAAAAAAAAATGTTTGTTACATGGTCAGACTCTGGATTGCCTCTTCTGTCATTCATTAAATTTTGGTTTGTTTGCATTATCCATTATCTGATTATATTTATAGAATAAGATAAAAATAGAAAGGTTGTGCAGCTGCAGCCCATTGTTTTTTTTTTTTGGATCTGCCAATAAAATATGGTCCAGTTACTCCAATAGCAGCCCACAGGATTTATAATCCAAAAATGTGCCTTAGAAACTAGGGGTAAAAGCTTTTACAAACTAGACTGAAAAAAACAAAATAATATATTTTTGTTTAAATATAAAAATATACATATCGTCTACTTTTTTTTTTCTTTTTAAATTATATATTCCACTGTACTTTATATTCCAGAATTTATTTTATAGTTTTAACATTGTAGTAAATAACAGCTTTTTTTTTTTTTTTCTAATGCTGTGTGCTAGTTTACGTACATATGTGATACTACTATTTATGATTGACTGTTTTGTTTGGGTCATTTGGCAAGTATCCACATTTCGATTGAAGCCCACACTTTAAGACTTTAGAGCCCAACATATGAGAAAATGGGTCTAATAAGTGATGACCATAAAGCTAGCTCCCTTAAGTAATCACATGCTACAATTATCTTCTTCTTCTTCTTCTGATAAACTTACAAACGAAATTATGATGCTTGTTTTATACGAGTACTAGGCAGATTGAGTCGGAAGCATGCACATGAATATAATCTTTGTTTTTTCAACAATACTCATCTTCTCTTCAACAATGTAGACACTTGGCCGGCCATTCGCATTAATTTCGGGTATTAGGAAACTAAACATGACGTCGTAGATTTATAATATAAAGTGTTGACTGCACAATACAATAATCAAAGGCTTATTACGATGATAAGCGAAGAGACCAGAAAGGTCTTTCGCGATCTATGGCATATCTTGAATCTTGGTACGTGGTCTTGTCTTACTGGATCATTTCCTTAAATAGAAATATTAGTAGCTTTCTTACCACCTAATTTGCAACATTTTCTATAAGCATAAATTAATCTTTTATTAGACGACCAAAAGTTTTTTATTCGATCCCCCTCCATGACATTTTTGTTTTTATCAATTGAAAACATTATCGATTAGTTTGACCTTTTGTGAATACTAGTAGTTTTAGTTCTTTAATAAGGTGAGATTTTCTAAAATATATAATAGATGAAAAATATACAGTATATATCTATATATAACAATAAACATTGGTAATAGGAGCCAACTTATGCATTATGTCAATTTTGATATAACAATAGACATTGGTAATAGGTGCCAACTTTTGCATTATGTCAATTTTGATATAACAATGGTGACATTGGTGAGAGTCAACAAATCGTAAGAAATTGCCCTCATAGCTAGGGAGTATCCCGCAATATGATGAGAACGACTTATCTAATCCAAGTTTTGATCAAGGATCGGTTGGTTGGCTAGCTCGAAAAAAGCTTCACTATCTTTGATTCGATCATCTCACCTTTAAACAGTATAAGTGTTTTTGCATCGGATACATTTTTGATGCTATAAGATTCGGATGAGCTAGGTTTACACATACGGTAACGGTATAAGTGAATTCAGTAAAGTTTAGAGATTATATTTAACACAAAGCTATATATGTACGTGGCTTTATATATAGTCATTTAACACAAAGAAAATTCTCAGATTTCACACCTACTTTTGCAAAATATACTCTTAATTTAAACTCTTACGCTATTTAAAACTTTCACCATATCATACCCTACTTTGCTGCTGCGTATATACTCCTATGTAACACACTAAACAGTATAGAGGCGGCTAAAGGAGACGTAAAATGTGAAAGAAATGGTTTAATTAGCATATAAATAACTAGTCTCGTAGCAGTAGAGATTTCTTTCTATAGTTTTAATTTAGTAATTATTTTAGGAGATAAAAGAAAAAGATTGAGGGATGGTGAAATGTAAACTGTGCGCCAATCTTAATTGTTTGGTGAAACTCAACTATGCCAAAGACGATATACGGTGATATTATTTTCCACTTAAATTTTTTAATACATGTACAATTGTAGCAACCAAAATGAAAATAAAAGAAACATCTATTGGCTAAACAATTTTTAAAGTATCCACATAAGAAAATAATGCTTTTATATTACAATAAAGAAAAAAAAACAAATCTTTTACATTTGACAGGTCCTTTCTGTCTAATGTCTATGGTGGACAAAATAGTGTTGCATTTAGATGTTTTGTCTTCTTTTCAATTCCATTTCTTTACAAACATAAAATAATTTTTTCCACAAAGTAAAGAGAAAGGGTTTCATTTTCTTGTATTCTTTTTTTTTTTTTTGTCAACATTTTCTTGTATTCCTTATTAGAAAATGAAAAATGGACCACTCATAAATTTATTTATCTACTAATTTAGATATTAAATTAGATGCAATGTTTGATGGTTTAATAACCAACATAAATCATCAATCATCGTCATTTTGTGATACCACTAAGCTGATAAAAAATAAAATTTTCTAATATTGAACGAAACATATAATACATATAAAATTATCATCAAAATATGTTTTTAAATCGATCTTTTGACCCAAAAAAAAAAATCGATCTAAATACATGTTTTCCAATAAGGATCGTAGTATTATTGTCATGATCGTTGTAATGTAAAAATACTGATCTAAATACATGTTTTCTAATAAGGATCGTAGTATTATTGTCATGATCGTTGTAATGTAAAAATACTAATTTACAATAAATAGATTCTTCTAGTAAAGTAATAACATATACAGATGATTATTGACTGTATTTCTAATTAGCTACATGTAAAAGGATTAAAGTAATTGGATTTCTAGGCGAAAATCCACCTTGAACACCTTTTAGTCCTAAATAAATGCTAATTTATGGTACCAAACTCAAAATGTGTTAGAATTACACCGAACCCACTTCACTCTCCAAATCTATTTCATTACATTTCTTAGAACTTTTCTTTAATGTTTTTCTTTTTCTTTTTCTTTTTAAATCATTAAACAACAAAAACTTTGACGAATAAATAACCGATAAAAGGTACCAGCAAAAACATCATTTGTCAATCATGGCTTCTTGATTCTTCTTTTGGAAAAGAGAGTTTTAAAATTCAGCACATATATTTATTGTTAAACATTACTCCCTTAAGAGTCATCTAAATTTCAACTTTTTATTATTCTTATTTGCTAACATGCGCACGGACGACTTTCTATTTAAAAACTATAATGTTTGATCTCCGAAGTGGTTACATATGATAACCTTAAAGATAACTATGTAACTTATATAAAAAGTAATTATCTATTATAGATAAATGAAAAAGTTTATAAAAAAAATAATTTTTTTGAAATTCTATACGAGAAAATAACAACAGTATTTATCATAGTTAAATAATTTAAAATATGATCCATCATATCATTCTCCACAAACGAATAAAGAAAGATGATATTTGCATCATATTTAAATTTTTGGGATTTAACAACGCAATTTCTAGTTATATAAATACGTATTTTACATGTACAATCCTTTTCTTTATCAAGTATATATACTGTATATATATCTAAAAATCATGATCTCTAAAAGTCTTCTGATAGTGATACTGATCACTAATCGTGTTTCCACCATAAGCATTTAAACCCACATAGTTATTTCTCTGTAACTTATTTTTTTCCTAATACATTGTCACTATTCATTGTATTACTTACCTGACGTAATAAGGTTATAGATATGTATTTTCAGTAGAATTTATGGTGACTATGCTTAATGCGATAGTATTCAAAGAACTTACTTATAATTGTATTCGTTCTCCTGTTAATTCACAAATCTATATATATAACTTTTTTTTAGTTCTTATAACGATCCAAAAACAGTTCTTTATTTTCTAGTTCTTGTTAAAGGTCTGCTAATTTTATTTATCAAATTGAATTATTTTCTGCGAATATTTAAAAAGTTTTGTAAAAGGGGAAAGTGCTAAAACAACCTACCCAAGTTGCGTTACACACTACGTATCTTTCTCCTCACACAAAAAAAAATGGTGGAAATATAATAGTTTTTTTTATAATTTCTTTCGAATTCTAAATAAAAAACAAAAATTTCGTTTTGACGTAATTTTCTTATAATTAAGAAAATGAAATATTGCAATTTTGTTTTTCTCCACACCTTCAAAGTTTCAACCTTTATAGTTTCATTTGGCTCTTTTCCCTTTATATTTCATCTTCCTAACCTTTCTCCCTAACTTCTCTGTTCATCTTTTTTCAGTCTCTATTTATAAAAAAAAATATCTTACATAGTATTCTCTGAATCCATCTCTCCAAGAAACAGTTCAAGATCAAATCAAGAAACGTACTTATAAGTTTCTGATTTTGAAAATATCATTAATTCATCAACTTGTTGTTTCATTTCTAAAGAGGGTTTAAGGTTTCTCTTGAGAAAACGATGGAGACTTTTTGTGGGTTTCAGAAGGAGGAAGAGCAGATGGATTTACCTCCTGGGTTCAGATTTCATCCAACAGATGAAGAACTTATAACTCACTATCTCCATAAGAAGGTTCTTGACATCACCTTCTCAGCTAAAGCTATTGGTGAAGTTGATTTAAACAAATCAGAGCCATGGGAGCTACCATGTATGTTTTTAAAGAGCAACATGATATGATCAAAGTTTTAACATTCTTTTTTTTTTGTCTGAATCAAAACGAGTCTTCTCTCTGTCTCCTTCTTGAGATCTCACGGTGTTTGTTTTCTGGTAAACAGGGATGGCAAAAATGGGTGAGAAAGAATGGTATTTTTTCTGTGTGAGAGATAGAAAGTATCCCACCGGTTTAAGGACTAATCGAGCAACTGAAGCCGGTTATTGGAAGGCGACCGGGAAGGATAAGGAGATATACCGAGGCAAATCGCTTGTTGGGATGAAGAAGACACTTGTTTTCTATAGAGGAAGAGCTCCTAAAGGTCAGAAAACCAACTGGGTCATGCATGAATACAGGCTTGAAGGAAAATTCTCCCCCCATAACTTACCGAAAACCGCAAAGGTTAACCCGAAAACCCCAACCAAATTTTACTCTGTTTTTGCCATCCAAAATCCTCTGTTTTTGCCTTTTGTATACTAAGTTTGCTCTTTGTTGTGTGACTTTTCAGAATGAGTGGGTGATATGCAGGGTTTTTCAGAAGAGTGCAGGAGGGAAGAAGATCCCGATTTCGAGTCTAATCCGAATAGGCTCCCTCGGGACCGACTTTAACCCTTCGCTATTGCCCTCTTTAACCGATTCTTTGCCTTACAACGATAAAACCAAAACAGAACCTGTCTACGTGCCCTGCTTCTCCAACCAAACGGATCACAACCAAGGAACAACACTCAATTGCTTCAGCAGTCCTGCTCTTAACTCAATCCAAGCCGACATTTTCCATAGGCTCCCACTCTATCAAACTCAACCCCTGCAGGTTCCCACGAATCTACAGAGCCCTATTCTCGCGCAAGAACACTCGGTTCTACACGCTATGATCGAGAACAACAGAAGAAGACAGAGCCACAAAACGATGAGTGTCTCACAAGAAACCGGTGTTTCGACTGATATATCTTCGGATTTTGAATTCGGTAAGAGACGATTCGAACCTCAAGAAGATCCATCTTCCTCCACTGGACCGGTTGATCTTGAACCTTTCTGGAATTACTGAAGAAGATTCAAGAGAGGTCTCAAGTCTCATCATGTTCATTAATTTACTGTCAAAGAAAGAAAGTAAGAAAACTTTTTTCACCTTTTAGTGTGGTGTGTTAAAAAGTTTGTATAGATTATTACCATCTCAAATACTTCCACTATACACATTATACTCTCAATTTAAAGATAAAAACTTAAATATATGATTTGATATTTGACCAAAAACTATATACTATATAATTTGATACTCGTTAGAGGTGGAGAGTCTGTCTATTGGGTATTTATGAATGATAAGATTTCACCTAACAATCTTTAACATATTCTTCTATTGGTAATAACCGTTGACACCATGTATATCTAATAACTGCATTCTTGACCAAGCAATGCATTTGAATGAGAAAAAAAAAATGCAATTAATTAATTGCTTATATTTTAGTTGATTGTAAAGGTTACGTTGTTCTATTAGATCATGTATCTGTAGTTAAGCGATTCTTTAGTTTGCAGTCTCTACTACGATGTTCATAATCAATTGTATATATACGTAGAACGACCATCGATTTATTTGGTCAAGAACTGATGGATACGTCATTGTAGAATTAGAAATGTAGAGTGTCTCAAGTTTTACAAAGAAGACACTTCAAATTTGATTTTTCTATTGTAAAAAAGCATCTGAAAAAGATAGAATGATAAGGTATAGTATATTCATATATGCATCTCACATCTGGTTTATTAAAAGATTGGGAATGTATAAAGCGAAACACTATTTCCATGAATCTAAAAAAAACCTTAATTCACGTAACGTATATCAATTAGAAGAGTTTTAAAAGTATCTCATATCTAATACTCCTCTAATACTACTCCCGAAAAGAAGATGTGAAGAGTGAAAACAAAATTATATATTATTGAATAATTCTGATAGTTTTAATACGATTTTTTTGTTTCAAAAATCTAAATAAGAGATGATTACCGTAAACCATATATTCATAGATAATTCTGGTAAGAATAATTTTATCTATAAAAAAAAAAAACAATAACAGGTAAAGCTAATTGGCTTGTTTAAAGCTAATCAATGAGAGTTTGGTGTTGACAAAAAAAAAAAAAAAAAAAAAAAAAAAAAAAAACAGGTAAAGCTATATGAAATGATCCTTAGCACATCTTCTGTATCCCTCTCTCATTCGTCCCATGACGAATCAATTCCGTTATAAAGCTGTTATGCGTGTGATGCTTGATATATTTGTGTTTGTGTGTATTGTCCATATATGTTACGTAGCACATCTTTATTTTATTTTTTCGTATATTCTCTTCTTTTTCAAGTCTTTCGACATCATGATACATATATTCTCAACCTCCATATATCACTATGCAAACCAAGTGATGACTATTGACTAGATATGTTTAGTGACCAGTAGTCAAATCCATTATATCATTTTACTCAAACGGCTTAAAAACTCATCCTAGTCTAAACTTTGTATACGTAATACTGTACGTAGTAAGTTAGTATCTAAACTAATGATCATATATATAAACCATACACATTGATTTAAGCTCGGATGAAACTACAGTTAATTAATCTATATACCGTTTCCAAAACTAAAAGGAGGGTTGGATTAAAATTTTGTACAATTCTAATTTGGGGCGGCGTATTATTTATGTCATTAATGTAGAGGATGGACCTGAAATCAAGTTAATTGCGGGTTTTACATGGATACGTATATAATAACCACAACCACACGTGTCGTGATTAGATGTTAATTGTTCACCAGTTTATTTCCATTTACAAAAACAATTTAGGATTTATCCCTTCTTTCTTCATATTTTAATTATCTGAATTACCTCCCAAAACTAAAATCAAGACCTCGGTAAATAAAAATAGTGATCAGCCATAGAATTTTCTTTAAGTTTTTGTTTTATTTCCAAAAAATTAGTATACTACAGGTTTACACCTCCTAAAAAATAGTATACTACAGGTTTACACTTCCATTTATGTTTTTTTAGTAAATTGATTACGAAAAGAAAAAGAAAAAAATCGTTTGGACCTAAATAGTTATGGGTTTAGTGTGGCCCGGAAGTTTTTCGAGATTTATAACTAAGGACTCCTACAGTTATTTACACTAATTTTACAAAACTAGGAATTTTGTTTTCATGATTTTAGAATTTATGTGATTTGTAAATTACCACTCACCTTTTAAATATTGACGGATTGTTATCGGAATCTTGAACTTGAGTAAAACCGGTATCGAACCAAAATTATATACAAGTGGGCATTAAGCATCATCCATCACACAGTAGTTTCATGCGCAGCTCATTAAAGTTGGATGAAGAAAAAAAACTCATAACGTAAAGATTAGGTCCAGTAAAAGCCCACACAGTATTGAACTGCCGATGTCTTCGAACCGGTTCATAACTTTTAAAGCAAACCGGATCGAACCGTGGTTTTTGGTTTTTAGGCTGAATATGCGTAAACCACCATGTGAAAAGAAAAGTTGGATTCGCTGGAAATCAGATGCGACTCACTCACTACTACACAAACATATTAGTATCCCATCGACACCCATATATGATATATATAGTTTGCTCGATCATCTTGCTCTGTCTGGTTTTTCCAAGTGTTTGGTCCAGTTCACTTTCAAACGCATCATAATACTTCAAATGCACCCAAAAAACAATATATATATATATATATATATCCTAGCTAAAAATACCTAAACAAATGTGTAAAATCACATGAAAACCTAATAGACTTTAGGCAGACATGCCTCATTTTATTACAGAAACTATATTTTCTACCAAAAATTTATTTGACAGTTGGTAATAAATTATAGTTGAGGCCAATCCATTTTGTGATTGTTTTGTTTATATCATAAAAAAAAAATCAAAGAATAAGTACTATATTCATTCTGTACTTTGTTTATATCTTTCATTTTGTACTTTTGGATATTCTGTTTCGCTGAGAGAAGATCCATCACCTTGTAATATTGTGCATGAACCAAACCTTTCGATTATTAAATAAATCGAAATCCCAAAACATAATAAATATAAGGTAAATATTTATGGTTTTAATAGTGAACAAAAAATACAATATAAATATATTAATAATATATATATATATATATATATATATTAAAAATGCCAAGAGTAGAGAACCACATAAATCTCACCAGGAGAAGAGAGTACCCACCTTCCATCATTTCCTTACTTTTCTTTTTGTTTTTGTTTTTATCTAAAATGTTGTTCTTGATAGTAAAGTCCTTTAGCTACGTACGCTCATATTCACTATTTATTATATAGATACTCCTTCTGATCCAAATTAATCCATATATTTTCCGAGTTATATTTTTGAAATGAAAGTGAACGTTTTTTATTAAAATGTTATTATGTTACATAATGTTTTTTTTTTCCTTTTCTTAAACATGGATCAGTTTAAAACTATTTAAAGTTTGTATTTCCTACATTATGAATAAACCAAGAGGCGTGAATAATGTCGTTGCAACTTGCAAGTACCAACAGTTATTATGATATTCATTTTTGTGTCTGATTAATACAGTAAACGTTTGTAGAAATGTAGCATAAAAATCAAGAGTTGGGTTAATAAAACGAAACTGTTAGATGATCTAATAAAACCAAAATTTGCCAATTATGTAAAAAGATGTCGTAATTGAAAGCACAGAATTCTATGAAATGTCGGGTCCATCTTTACAATGCTTTTTCTTGTTTTCTCCGTATCAATTTGCTGAGAAACAGTTTGTTCAAAGTCGTAATGACCACGAAAATGACAACTCTTATCATATAGAATACAAATTGGAACTTGTAAGAAGATTTTGTTTATGATGCTTCCTATGCATTCGGAAGCAATTAGGAATCTCCGAGGAGAGGTCAGCCAACTCAAAATACCCACAGAACAAACTTGATCTTTCTTTCTTTTTTTTTTTTTTTTTTGTCTAACAAAACAGTTTCGACATGATTTTTTTTCTCGTAATTATTAAAGATAGGTTGTAATATTTTAGTCAAATTTTGGAATCACCCTATACGTAAATTTTGATTTGCCCTATTGCACCAGTGTACGTTAGAGGAATCTTAAGACCACTTGTGTTTGTGATTCCTTTTTCAGGGTTATATAAGTGGACGCGTAAATGCATAGTTCAATATATGTACCAGTGCAATATAAATATAATGTTTTTGTTATACCAATTATTAAAATAATATTAAACACGATTAAATTATTATATCGTACTATTTTCTATCCGCTATTCTGTAATATTTCAAATTATTTATGTACTACTAATTATTTTCTGATTTGTTAAATTTATATACTGTTTTATACTTTATGTTACGAATTAGATTAATGATTTTTCTAAACAAGAACCTAACTTTGCATGGTCTTTTTGACGAATCCACCATACACTAAAAGTTAAGCAAATAAAAACATTGTTTTACTCTGGTCAACAGTAATAAAAAGGTTATTTTCATTAAAAAAACATATAGATCCAGCCACAGCGGGATTATTAAAATCAAACTAATAACATAGCATTGCCAATGGTGTATAGTATTTATATTGATTAAAATGTACAGGTTTTTGTTGGACGCAACTACTCGAACACTATCTGTTAAAGCACTAATGCATCCTTGCGCATCACTACCAGAGGCCACAAACAGTTTGCTTTGATTAAACATATGGAATAAATAAATTTATACTACTGATCATCAGAAAACGATCATGGATCAAGAACGTCTAGGACATCGGAGACCAAGGATCAAGAACATTTAGTGCATTTGGACTGGTGTCTTCCAAAGATCTTCCGACCACATAGTGTTTTCTTGCATGTACTGACGTACGTTCATGATGTCTTATATATAATTATATTTAGGTATGATAGTGAGATGTATTCGCTTCTCATCGCTTAGTGATAACGATTTGCATGACTATAGATTGGATTATAATGTTGATCCACAATAATATTTGTACCTCAAAATCTAGGTAACGAGTTGTAACTGGTTGATTTAATAGATAGATCTCTATCTATAACATGTATACAAATATTTATCCCCAACACATAACATGTATATTGCTGTCATAATTGTTTCCTTCTAATAACTATTCATAGTTGGAAATGACAATTATTCGGGGGAAAAAAGAATAGAGACCATATAGCTCATAGCTGACAGCACAACTGAACACAGTGATCTCCTGTCAGGTGTCAGGTCATATAAAATCATACTCAAAATAAAAGTAGACACATATATATATATATATATATTCCTTTCTTTTTTCATAAAGAAGAGATAGTTATTTTTCTTTTCAATTGTTAAATGTAAAAAGTGAAATTCTAAAAGAACAGACTCGTCAATTATAATTTTTTTTTGGGTGTGTGGGTGTTTCTTATTACTTTTACTTTAGCTACATCGATCCTACATGGTTTCCATCAAGAATGGCTGAAAGTTCTCAATCACTTCAAAAAATTTACGGATAAAAACATTTTATGAGTCCTAGATGATCTCTCTATTCTACGTTGTTACTTTAATGAGTCCTAATTCTACGACCGGATTCAGAATCAGTGATGGGTTTGAGAACGAAACTATAATATAAGGCGTGAAGAAGTGTTTATAATCATGATATAAAGGTAAAACAAAAAGAAGATCAACTAAAATTAAAAAGCAAGAAAAGAAAAAAAAAAAGAACTTCGTGTGATGTTGGGATTAATATATAACACAAAAAAAGAGAGTACGTAGATATTTGCATATAACCGTAACAGATAAAAGTGGCAGCACGAAATAATAATAAAAATTGCCGAAAATGCTAGAGACACAAAACTGTGGTTTTGAGTTGGATAACAGACAAATTAACCCAAAAAGCAAACCCTTTCCAAAGTATGAAAATTACGTCACTGCAAAATAAAGGTTTTGCACCTAATGAAAATTGATATAAAACACCAAAAAAAAAAAGAGTTTAAGTTGAGAGATTTTTAAAATAGAGGAGTATGACGAGTTTTTGGTTTTGCGAGGTAAAAACTAAAATATTTAAATTTTGGTTGACATTTTGGAGATTAATTGTTAGGGATTTTGTCAAAGGAAGAAACTATAAGAATAAGTGAGTAGAAGATCTATGCATGCCTCTCTATGGGACCATGGTTGACATCTATAATTGACTCGAGCAAGACGATCTTAGGAAGATATATAAGTTGGTCGAAAAGAATGATACAATGACTAATATTTACCAAAAAGAAAAGAAAGTGACTACTCTATATGTAAAAATACATGCAAGAAAAGAAGTGATCCTTACAAAAATTGTAGAAATGTATTAATATTGTTTCAAATATACGTCATATCGTTTTTTTACGCATTTTGGAGATATTGTGACTCTACCATTTTCGTAGAACCAACAGAGAACAATGAGGAGAGTATATAACGGCTTCTTTAAAACATGAAAAGACCGAACCAAACCAAAGGAATGTTAAATCAAGCTTTCTTCGAGCATGCATCAGTTCAACTATTCCGATCACAAAAACCATAGAAATGATGTAACATCAATTTATAAGGACGTTAGTTCTAAAACGTGGAGTTTACGTTCTGTCATAAAAACATAATCAAATAAAAAGAAAATTGTTTATGTTTAGTTAAAGACTAAAATAAGTATAGACAATGGAAATGAGAAAATATATATATACGTACGTACATGAGATGAGAGGTGTGGTAAAGAGATGATCGAGAGCAATAATAGAAGAAGAACAAAAGTGGCGAACAAATAGGACCGACGCTGAGCGGAAACAAACACGGTGACGTTACAATCACCCGTCAATTCTTTCTCTCATCAGTGATCATCAAACCAACAATAATGTTTCTCAGAATTGTTCCTTAAAAATCAATAATGTTCATCACTTTCTCCCTTGACTATACTACGTACGTACTATATTAAAGTTATTTGATATTTTTTTATAAAGCAATTTTTTTAAACAATACCCACGTTTTATCACATAATACAATCGAATCCCTTATATGTATTAATTTATGTATTAGTTAATGTATAGTTGCAAAAGTCCATTTAGTCCCCTCCAACCAGCCTCCACATTGGATCTATGATTCAATTCTACAATAATATAATTAAAATAAAAATTATTTTTTATAACTATATTAACATGTTTTGTCGTATGGAAATTGAATATGCAAGAATATAGCACATCTAGGTGCTGAAAATTATTAAATATGTTTCATCTCGTACAGAAGCGCATTTCCTTAATTAAATATACTTCTCCTCAATATGTATATTCAAATTAATATGGTAATATACAAAGAATATAATGCGTGAACAAAATTATCTGCTTATATAATATTTAAATAAGTTACTAATTACCAAAATATGTATAATTGTTTTTAGTATGTGTACGTTATGTATATATATATATAGGAGCTCGTAAGCTCACCAGCCACCACTATCATTACACAAGTCGTTCAGTCATGCCTCTTGGTTCATCTTCACAAGTTTCTTGATTCCTATCTTAGTGTTTTACTATTATTAAAAAAAAAAAATATATACTCTACGTAAAAAAAAATGAAAACACGTAGCAGATGTGTGGTGGGTAGGATCCAACAACGTTTCTCGATCAGTCTCATATTCAGATGCATCAGAGTTCTTATTAACAGATCTATTTCTTTCTTATCTTAAACAATATTCTCTCAAGTTTTACTTTCCAAAATATATTCTGTTTTTCACTCTCTGTTCTTATATATTGAGTGTTAGTGAGAGATTATATGAAATTTACCCAATATTGGTCATATATATCGGGAAAAAAAAATGTCAAGAAAGCCATGTTGTGTCGGAGAAGGGCTGAAGAAAGGGGCGTGGACCACCGAGGAGGATAAGAAACTCATCTCCTACATCCACGACCACGGCGAAGGAGGCTGGCGCGACATTCCCCAAAAAGCCGGTACATGCACACTCATCTATATATATATACTTGGTTAAATAATATTGTTATTATTAAAAAAAATAAAAATTATGATTAATAATAGTGTAAATGGTGTTTGATTAGGGTTGAAACGGTGTGGAAAGAGCTGTAGGCTGCGTTGGACTAATTACCTCAAACCTGAGATCAAAAGAGGCGAGTTTAGTTCTGAGGAAGAGCAAATTATCATCATGCTTCATGCTTCTCGTGGCAACAAGTACGTTTCTATGTTCATATGTGGTAATGAAAAGTACAAAAATGTGTGTGCGTGTATCCTCGGATGTATAGTGAAATGCTTTCATATAATATTACTTTAGGTTGAAGACATGGTCGTCATTTTGATTCTTTCTAATTCGGTCTATCTCTCTTTCCCCTAGGTGGTCGGTCATAGCGAGACATTTACCTAGAAGAACAGACAATGAGATCAAGAACTATTGGAACACCCATCTCAAGAAACGTTTGATTGAGCAGGGTATTGATCCCGTGACTCACAAGCCACTAGCTTCTAATTCCAACCCAACGGTTCATGAGAGTTCGAACTCCCTAGATGCCTCTAGTTCCGACAAACAGTACTCCCGGTCGAGCTCAATGCCTTCTCTGTCTCGTCCACCTCCATCTGGTAGCAACATGGTTTCCGAGGTGACTGAGATAAGCAGCAATGATGGGGCACCAGTGCAAGGCGGTACCTTGAGTTGCAAGAAACATTTCAAGAAATCGAGTTCTACATCAAGGCTATTGAACAAAGTTGCGGCTAAGGCCACTTCCATCAAAGATATATTGTCGGCTTCTGTGGAAGGTAGCTTAAGTCCTACTACAATATTACATGCAAGCGTTTTCAATGGCTTCTCTGAGCAGATTCGTAGTGAAGAGGATAGTTCTAACGCTTCCCTGATGAATACTCTCGCTGAATTTGACCCCTTTTCCCAATCGTCATTATACCCTGAGGATGAGATCAATGCTACTTCTGATCTCAACATGGACCAGGATTACGATTTCTCATACTTTTTCGAAAAACTTGGGGGTGATAACAACAATGAGGAGAACAATATGAATGTCGAGTTCAACCATGATCTCCTCATGTCCGATGTTTCCCAAGAAGTCTCATCAACTAGCGTTGATGATCAAGACAATATGGTAGGAAACTTCGAGGGTTGGTCTAATTATCTTCTTGACCATACCAATTTTATGTATGACACCGACTCAGATTCCCTCGAAAAGCATTTCATATGACATCTTCTTCGTATCCAAACAAAAAGGTTCCAAACTATCTGAAGACGTAAAACAATGGTTCTGTATCCAACGAGAAGTTATGTATATATGTATGTCGTATTTGGGTTGTTTAGTATATATATGTCCAAGGTCTCATGGTTAATAACTCCCCCACGTTATTAATACCATGCTAAATAAGGGTGTTTGACTCAAACCGATTTGAGTTAGGGTTTCTCTTACATTGAGAACCATGCATGTAATGTAACCTCGCGGTTCAATTACGCGCGCGGGCCACGATATAATGTTTAATATTGTACTAAAGTTTATTAATAAAGCTTGTTTTATTTAACTTATTCTTTCTAATAGTTTATTGATAAAGCATGTCTTATAATTATCTTAATCAGTGTCCATTATAATCATTAGTGCCCATAATAGTCATCAAATATGCTCCTTTATGGTTTTAATGCTCTTCTTTATGATTAAGTCATTTATTGACTCCAACTTTACATGGCATGAAAATAGTGGCACTGGTACCTTTCGTTGGATTAATTTGAACCGACCAAAACATCCCTCTTTCCGATGTATAGTATATATTTATTGTAAAATAAAAAGGAAATGTTAAAAAGGAATAATAAACTAAATGTATAAGTAAAATAAACAAGAAACGTTAAAAAAGGAATGATAAACAACAAAAATGACCAAGTGGACTAAGTAGTTCTTATATCTATTGCATTTTCACCGGATCCGGATTCGAGGCCGGTTACATATAATTTGTAATGATGTAAAAAAACAAAACAAAAAACTAAATGTATAACAAAAATAATAATGATTGCTTAAAAGGAAAAGAAACTCCAAAGAGACCAGTGAATTTATGTGGTCAGTAAACAATTTATACATGAAAGCCAAAAATCACGAGGTGAAACAGAGCTCTAATATGATTTGTGACCCGACAGTTCTTGTCTGAAACCAAAATGGAATCCTCAAAATCATGTAATATTTTTACTATAATTTTTAATGATATGATTGTATTTATCAAAGTATTTAGGTGCATATTAACGAATGCAAAATCGGTTTATTAATTACAATACCTTTTTCATTTTTTCTGTTTATTTGATATGATTTTTATCTTCTCAACTCAGTATTACAATTTTCAAGCCTTAACATATATATAGAAACATGATTTCATATCACAATGCACTCACTAGTTCCAACTTCCAAATAAAGAAAAAGACGGATCGATCATAGGACTTGTTAGAGGTTTTTTTTTTTGTTTTTGACAAATAATTCGGAGGAGTCTTGCTCACTTTTCATATAATTGGCCATTATGAGACCCACTCATCCCTCAATCATGTTTTCGAAAAGAAAAAGAAAAATGAATTGTAAAAATACCCCTATGATCTTACTAAGAGACACTAAACAATATTCTGCAACTTACAAGACCAAAATATCATCGTGATTCCTAATTCATGCACATGCTAGCTATGTGTCTTTTGCATAGATCATCAAGAATTCTACATTTAATTGTTTTATCCCACTCTCCTAATCATAGTTTTATATATATTCCACCATCGTCCACGAGTGGTTCGCGATTCTATATTATTCACAACTTTATATTTTGATAAAAAGCATTTTACACATAATAGGTTTTTCAATCTTAAGCACGTTTTTGCTATATATAATATGTGTCCCTTTTGTTGGCATGTGGTGGAACTTTTAATCTAATTATCATCTTACGAGAAAAGCTTTTAATCTAATTAAGTAAGATGATAAACATTGATACTAAACTCTTGATTTTACAAATTGTCAACTTGCAAAAATAGATCACAAGCCACTTACATTACTATTGAAAGAATGTAAGTTGGTGTTAATTAATCATATATACTATCGTCTTCAACAATCCGATCCAATTTTTTCTTTTGTCTCAAACACACTTTATTTGACAATTGAACCAATATATCTTATGCATCATCTACCCAAAAATCAAAGTGTTAACATATGAATTAAAAAAAAAAAAAATCTGCGAGCATTTGGTGCTATCATTATTGATTAAGTCTAAGATTTGTTAAGATGCTTATGTAAAAAAAAAAAAAAAACTATATATGACCATCTCCATAAACATAATTAGGCCTAATACTAATGGGCTCAACTTTAAAGCCTGAAATAGTATTGTAAACGAATGTGGAGAGCCTTTAGATTTATTCATCCCGTTAATAAATGGTGGTTGGTCAAATCAGTTTCGTAAATATATATAAGATTGTACAACCACACTGGTGACCTTTACGAGGTAATTTGAATGAGGTTTAATAAGTAGGATTAATTGGATTTTTAGTACATTTTTGAAACATAATTGTAGAAATAATACATTCACTATTCATTATTAGCAAACTAATACATTTTTACTATTTGGATATTATTTAGACACTATTAAAAATACTCTTAAATCTAATAACTAAAATATTCATCAAAATATATTTGGTTTCTATAAAATTTCAATTACATAAAAATCTATATTTTTTTCTCTATAATTTGATATGCATTTTTTTAATAATTTCAAATATTTTTCAAACAAATTTTGATACGTCCAGCTATACTTATGTACAATTGTGTGTCGATGTACAGAAAATCATCCGTACAGCGGTCTGTATATACGTATAATTGTATGTGTACATATATTTTCTGGTCTATATATGTATATTTGTTTATGTGTAAATATGTTTATTTGTAGTTGTTTCCCTTTGTACAAATATTTGATGTACAATAATATGTTACTGTACAATTGTCTGTCTTTACATATATATGAAATAGTAAAAATGTACTATTTTGCTAATTATAAATAGTAAATGTAGTACCTTTATAATTATGTTTCAAAAACGTAGTAGTTTGCCAACACACCATAATAAGTAATGCAGAAGTTACGATAATCTTGGGAAGCATCACTTTTGACCAACGGGTTGAGTTGGGCTATTTCTGTCTCTATAAATAGCCATTTCTCAGTCTTATCCTTAAGTACACATTCTCAAGTCTCCAGATTCTTGATCAAATGAAAGAATGAATAATGGAAAAGGCAGCAGCAGCGGTGGTGGTGGTGGTGGAGGAAAGAGCAGTGGCGGTAATGGAAACGTTGGAGGAGGTAAAAGCGGTGGAGGAGGAGGAGGAGGTTACATGGTAGCACCGGGGACAGACGGAAGTGCTTACATCTCAAGAGGTGGGTTTGAGAGTAACCCTCAAGGTTACTTTAGCAACCTGCATGGTAGTGGACAAAGCAAGAAGTGAGTGATGAATACTTGAGTGTTATACTACAAGCACGACTGCACGAGCTATCTTCTTTGATCTATTCTCTATTTAATAAAATGCAATGAAGTTCAAATAAGTAATGAATAAATGATTTTTTATCTTTTTATGAGATAATTTGTGTTATTGCTTCCTTTCCACTCTTTTCTTATGTCCTTTAACCAATCTCGTAAGTCGTCGTTATGAAATATGAGTCAATGGGAAGATATAAAAAAAAACCAACACGATCATGGGCCTTGTTGGATCAAATGTTAAAGCATCACAACTACCAATTTGCTTCAGTTTCAGATTTGTATATGCATTGCAGACAAAAATATAAGATTTGCAACAATTGAATAAATTATATAATATACATGTATTTGTATTTTTGGTCGAATGTCAAGGTCATTCATTGGCAAATGACTCTTAGAGTCATTATTCAAAGTTTAAATAATAAATCTCATATTAAATAGGGATAAAAATGTATAATTATATATATTTTAATATGTGTGAATTTTGTGAAACTGACATTCTATGTGAAAAGTATTATTTTTATTACAATCAGAATTATAAAAACGTTCTAAAACACTATTTAGTAGTATTGAAAAAGGTTTGTTTGTAGTAAAAAATAATAGCTGATTTGTTTACCATTTAAAAAAATAAAAAAGGAAATATGTAGAAAGATTATTTAGCAAAAATAGCATTCCCAAAGGAAAATACAAGTCATGGATAGAGAGCCAACCATTTGAGATAAGCTGCATCAGCATTGGATCATCCGAAGAAGGAAGGCGTTACCCACGAGTCCCTTAATCAGACGTGGCGGATTCTCAGATATTCTCTCTCTCTCTCTCTCTCTTTTTAAAGTTTCAGTCTTTTTTGTTGTTGTTGGGTTTGAGAGGGAGAGAATTGGTGTAGAGAGAAACGAAGGAAGAAGAGGAAGAGCAAGATATAAGATTGGGGTTTTCTCTCATTTTACCTAACAATCCACTAAGATTCTTGTGAGAGAAACTTGAATCTCTGATTTTGGATAATGTCGAGCTCAGCTGCTTCCTTGTGCTGTTCATCAACTCAGGTCAATGGGTTTGGTCTTAGACCTGAAAGGTCGCTTCTTTACCAACCCACTTCGTTTTCTTTCTCCAGGTAATTCATCATTTTAGCTGCTCTTCCGAGTCCCCGGAATCTAAAGTTCCTTCCTTTTTCCTTCTCTTTGAGGCTTTGAATTTAATGGTTGCAATCGTAATCCTAGCGAAGACTGTTTACTAGTTTTCAAATATAATTTTCGAACTTTGATCGGTGTGACACTAGATACAGTTTGTTGTAGTTACTACGATTGCTCACAGATAGGTTTGATTGGCATCGTTGAATTGAAGTATGCTGAAATTTTGTGGTTTAAGTGAAGATTATTTGGTTTGTATCATTGTGTGTTTCTTCTGTTTGTGGGTATGCTTGAGTAAACATGTTCAGTTCCTGTTTGATCTTGAGAGCTCAATTAACACTTTGGTATGTATACTTTTCCAGAAGGAGAACTCATGGAATTGTGAAGGCTTCAGCTCGGGTTGATAAGTTTTCGAAAAGTGATATCATTGTTTCTCCCTCAATTCTCTCAGCTAACTTCGCCAAATTAGGCGAGCAGGTTTTTGTTGCTCTCCTCTTAGGTTTTCTGTTTCAAAGACTTCTTGTGTTTTGTTTCTGCATTTCACTCCTTTTGTTTCCGGCTTCTTCCAGGTTAAAGCAGTAGAGTTGGCAGGTTGTGATTGGATTCATGTTGATGTGATGGACGGTCGTTTTGTTCCCAACATTACAATCGGACCTCTCGTGGTTGATGCTTTGCGTCCTGTGACTGATCTCCCGTTGGATGTTCATCTTGTAAAGACTTGGCTCCTTTTCTTATTTCTCTATATATGGTTTCTTGATGCTTCAAGGCACATTTCTGATTAAAAATTCTCTACATCTAGATGATAGTGGAACCCGAGCAGAGAGTACCGGATTTCATCAAAGCAGGTGCGGATATAATCAGTGTACACTGTGAACAGCAATCGACCATCCATTTGCATCGTACCGTTAATCAAGTACTGATATTTTCTTGATTCCGCTTTAATTTTTTTTCCATTTGATGGAGTACTCTTACAATAATCACACAATGTGCTGCTACGATGATGTTTAGATCAAAAGCCTAGGGGCTAAAGCTGGAGTTGTCCTAAACCCTGGAACCCCATTGAGTGCAATAGAATATGTCTTGGATGGTGAGTTTTTTTTGTCATAATACTGCAGTTGCTTTGGCATGAGATGGTAAGATTATTCTCATTTGAGTATTATTTGTTACTGAACTCAGAGGTGGATCTGGTCTTGATAATGTCGGTCAACCCTGGGTTTGGTGGACAGAGCTTTATCGAAAGCCAAGTAAAGAAAATCTCGGACTTGAGAAAAATGTGTGCAGAGAAGGTATCAATCAAATAACTTTTCTCCGAGTGAAAGCCTCTTCTCTTCTCAAAACATTTTCTTGTTCTTTTAGGGAGTCAACCCATGGATTGAAGTTGATGGTGGTGTCACTCCAAAGAATGCATACAAGGTGAAGCTCGAATACTCGTCTAAGTTTCAAATCCTTAACTCACATTTTCCTGCTGTAGATATATATGTGCCCTAGAGTTCTGTAGAATATGAATCTTTTGTGGGCTGGAATAGGTTATTGAGGCTGGAGCAAATGCTCTAGTAGCTGGATCAGCTGTATTTGGAGCTAAGGACTACGCAGAGGGTATAGAGCTCAGACCGTTGTATGTATACTTTCTGAGTTAAGCTAGTAGGATAATATTCTAACATTGGTTCTGTTTGTTTGAAAAATCTGCAGCTATAAAAGGAATTAAGGCAAGCAAGAGGCCAGAAGCTGTAGCTGTGTAATGTGAAGAAACAACAACCGAAAAAGACTTTGTTAAACTTAGGTTAATGATTTCCCCATATCCATATAATCCATGTTTGTACTCATACTATTTTGCTCGCAGTACAGAAATATGAATCTTGAAAACAAAAATTTGCAAATTTGAACCTCGTCTGTTTCTGTTTCTTCCATTTCGTGGTGAGCAAATCCAGTGTTTTTCTCTATGGTTTGATCTGAGTTGTTATAACTGTTATTTCAGGAACAGTTGAAAGATCAAAGACGATCACCCAGATGTTGTTGTCATTGTCTCCAGTCACCATAAATCCATAAGAATCAAACTCAGTTTTTTCAATATAGGCTCCTTTATTACTCTTCTGTACCATTGTCTATAGATATGCAGATTCCATACCTTTTGCAATGAAATACTGTTATAAGAAATAAGCTGTTACATATGTATTTTGACTTTGGAAAATAAAGCATTTTCATCTGTCTTGCTACTCTTGCCCTAAAGCTCATTGTTAAATACTGTGCTCGATCTTCTGTAAAAGCTTTATCCTTATATACAATCAAGAGCCTGAGAATGAACAAAAAGATCATGAAGTTCGCAAGATTGACTTGCAGGAATTACTGCCAATTAGCTGATAGTACTCAAACAGCTTGGATTGGTCAATAAACCAGCTGACCTTAGATATCCATTCTCTCGGTAAAACCTGGCTAGCAATTGATTCACCAAAAGGTTAGGCAATGTCCCAGTTTTGATCATGTCACAGTGCAACATCATTATATCTGTATTACGTTTTTCTTGGAGATGACCCTTTAACATCGAAATGTAACTCCATATGTCCGGGATTATCCCACCAGATCTCATGTCTGAGAAGCACCTGCTAGCTCGAAGAATGTAGCCGTTCTGACATAACCCTTGAATCAAGCATGTAAACCCCACATAATTCCAGCAGCTCCTCTGTACAATGGATTTACCGGTAACAGCTTGATTGTTTTCCCGATAAAAATCAATGGCATCAGATATTCGCCCTTCTTTCCAGAATCCATCTATTAAGCAAGCGAGCGTGTGATCATTGGGGTGGATTCCAGCCTCTAGCATGTCACTGTACAGCTTGAGTGCTTCTTTCATGTTGGCCTCCTTGAAATGGGCATCGATCAAAGCTGTGTAGGTCACAACATCAGGAATTATGCCTTTGATGGTCATCTCAGAGTACAAGCCCATTGCAGCTTTTATGTTTCTCACTTTGCAGTAACCATCGATCAAAATAGAAAAGGTTAAGATGTTGGGTTCTATGCCACTTGCTGTCATCTCTGAGCACAATTCCAGAGCTTTCTCCATATTGTTATTTTTACAAAACCCATGAATCAGCGAATTAAAAGTCACAGAGGTTGGGAAAATTCTCTCATTCTTCATGCTCTGAAATAATCGATATGCTTCTGCTAGCCGATCTTCAGTACAAAGCCCGTTGATAAGTATAGTATAAGTGAATACATCAGGCAGAAGATTCAAACTTACCATCTCGGAAAACAATCCCATTGCTTCCAACATGTCTCCAGATCTGCTCTGTCCATGAATTAAACAGTTATAAACATATAAATTTGGATCAACCCCGAACTTCACCATATGCACAAAAAGGCTCCTCGCAGCAACCAATTCGCGCGCTTTGCAAAAACCATCGACCAATGTGCCGAAAACAACAACATTTGGCAACAATTCAGCAACCAAGATCTCCTTATACAATGTGTAAGCTTGCCTCAGGTTACAGGTCTTGCAGTAACCATCAATTAATGCACTGTAAGTATATAAGTTTGGAACAACGCCATGTTTCTTCATCAAGCTGAACATTTTCTCCGCTTCCTCCATCTTATTTTCCCTACACAGATCACGGATATATATGGTAAAGATATAAACATTCGGCTTGATCCCTAACGACGTCATACCATCAAGAAGTTTCTCTTTTTTGGAGGATAAACCTTGTTTGAAACAGCATTGGAACAAAACTGAGTAAATGTGGACGTCAGGGACTAAACCACGAGAGATCATAAGTTGGTAATCAACCCAGACTGAATCAAACCTTGTCCTTCTAACCAATCCATTCAAAACCGCAAGACAAGCTTTCGAATCCGGAGAACATCTCATCTCTCGACTCACCCAAAGAGCTTCTTCAAACAAACCCATCTCTAGAAGCTCCATGATTAATAGACTAAACACCCCAATACAAAATGTTGTACTCTGAATATCCTCGAGAGCATTGAAAACTCTATAAGAAACGTTATTCGGCTCACTGTGGCGCCGGAGACTTTCTATGAGGCTTTTAATCAAACACCTGGCGAGCGTATACTTCTGAGCTCCGGTCAAAACGTGAATTACTTCCGAATAATTTCGGAGATCCTTTGTTTTCGAGATCTCGAGTCTCGAAGACGTTTTGAACAGCTTGAGCGCTTCTTCCGTGGATCTGCATTTCAGAATTGCCTCGGCTAGACTCGGAGAAGAAGACGATAGATAAGCCAACGAAGATGCTGAATTTGACGGAGAAGGAGATTGGGAAAACAATCTGAAGGTGAAAAATTGGAACTTGTTGATGTAAGCTGAACAAGTTCTATGTTGGAGAAGTAAAAGCTTCAACATTCGGAGAAAAATGTCTGATTCTGATGGGTCAAACTGAGAAAAAACAAAAAAAAAACTACACCTTTGCAAACTTCGTGATGTGGTACGATACTCTCATCGGTTTATTCCGGTCAACTTTGGTTTATTATATCAGTTTTTTATAACAAAAATTAATCTTCGCAAAAGATAATGATGTTAATTAGTGATCTAAATCAGCAGAAATAATTTGATGGTATGAAGAAGGAAAACCTCATAAATGATCCCATTTCTTATGAAAATGTATATGGAGTTTATGTGAATCATTTACACTACAACAAATTTCAAAATCACACGAACTTATTCATAATTTGATGCATTTTTTGTAAATTCTGAAGTAATATGTCTTTAATCTTTGATCATTTGTTGCTGAGACGGTCAATGAGTCTAAAGGGGAGATGCACTAAAAGTTTTTGTTTCCCATTTACAAAATATTATTGTTTGACCAGTAATAAAATTTCCTACTTTTCAAAAATTAACTAAAAAGAATTAAGAAAAAAAAACGAATATTTACAAGTAATACACTCTAAACCAAAAATATTAGGAAACCGACTGAGAAAGTTTTGGCCTTTTCCTAGCAATGGGCAAAGGAAGCAAAAACGAAACCCACCGTAGCAAGTAATCTTCGTATAAGTCTCTCTCCCGGCCTCAGTTTCGATAGAAGTCGTATACTTTGTTTCTCATTTTCCGTTCATTTGAAGCCGAGCCTGCCTATAAACAATGATTGGTCTAACTCCACCAGCTGAGGATCGTTCAGAGATTGCCTTCTTCGACCTCGAGACGACGATTCCGTTCCGACCTGGTCAAAGGTACGCGATTTTGGAGTTTGGATCGATCTTGGTTTGCCCCAGGAAGCTTGTTGAGCTTCGAAACTACTCTGTCCTGGTTCGACCTGCTAATCTCGACCTCATCACGCCTCGCTCGGTGAAGTGCAACGGCATCAAACGTGAAGACGTCGAGTCAGCTCCTACTTTTGCAGATATAGCCGACACCGTCTACGATATTCTCCATGGTATTGTACAGCTGAATGAATTGGACGAAAGTTCTGCTCTTTTGTCGAATTTTTGTGTGTCTATGTCCAAATGGAGATGACAGTGTCACATTTTGAGCTCAAAGTTATGAACTTTCGAGCTTTTTGTTCAGGTGTGTTGATGTTGTGCTTTTTTGGTTTATTTTGTAGGAAGGATATGGGCTGGTCACAACATATTGAAGTTCGATTGTCCAAGGATAAGAGAAGCATTTGCTGAGATTGGACGAGATCCACCAGAGCCAAAAGGCACCATTGACTCGTTAGCTTTGCTTATTCAAAGGTTTGGGAGGAGAGCTGGTGATATGAAGGTAAACAATGATTCTAGAGTGAGAGACATGTTATCTGGAGCTTTACTGAAATGGTTTCTTCTCGTGTAGTCAGAGTCTTGAAGTGACATAATTAATCTGTGGTTTTTTTTTATTTGCTTGATGGAGACTAGCTCTTGAATTCGAATTTGACAGTTTTGTTGGGGCTTATTGTGTTTACTGTGGACATTTTTTTGGACAGATGGCGACTTTGGCTGCATACTTTGGACTTGGCGACCAGACACATAGGTAGTTGTTATACATGCGAGCTTTTTGCATTACGGTGTTTTCATATGGCCGCTTCAGTTCTTAATGCTTTGCAAGTTTCTTTGATCTCTGTAGGAGTCTGGACGACGTCAGGATGAATTTGGAGGTTCTCAAATATTGTGCCACTGTTTTGTTCTTGGTATGCTCTCTTTATCATCTCAAGATTGACTATCTTGTGTTGTTTCCAGTTGCTTCCTTTCTGGATTTGTAGAATATATTTGATTTTAATGATGTATGCTATGTTTCAACAGGAATCAAGTCTTCCAGATGAACTTATAGAGAACTCGGTCAATTCTACTCCAGAAACAAGTTCAAGAAGGCGTAGGAATATCAAAACATCTCCCCTGCAACCTCCCACAGATCAGCAGACAGGAGAAAACTGTACAACTATACCTATTTTATCATTTGTTTCATCCGCAGAAGCTCAAACAGATCCATTTGATATGAGCAATTTGAAGAACGAAATAGCGCAACAGGTGCTTCAGTCAGATGTTCCCATGAAAGAAAAAAATCGGTTGTCTGAGACTGTTGCCTCTGAGTGTACCGGTGACCAGGAAGGATTCTTGGAGCTTGATAAAATATCATTTTCAAGAATCAGAGCAACTCATGTCCCATTATATGATGGGAGCCAAGCAATGAGGCTACAGCTCTTCCTTGGGGACAAACCCCTTTGGCTCCATTGTCCTCGTCTGAAAGTACGGTTTGGAATCAGTGGGAAATTTCTGGATAAAGTTGGGAGACGGAGGCTGAACTTTGTAGTTGATCTGTATCCAAGTCTCTGCAATGTACTGCAAGAATGCGACAGTGCTGCACAGTCAAAATCTATTGATTCAGGCAGCAGTTCTGACTGGAACCCGGCAGTGATTCCAATGAAAGGATTTCTAAACTGTCCTACTGCAAGGATACAGTAAGTTCGCCAAAATCTCCGTTTACTGATATCATTTAGAAACCATGTTTTCTTAGCTTTTCCTGATTTGTTTCTTTGTTTGTGCAGTATTCCCGCAGAGTTAAATGGAAATCTAGACCAGTATGCAGCTGAGATACACCAGAAAGAGTTTGCTGGAGCTACTGCTACTCAGAAACACATTTCTAGCAAACCGAAGGCTGATGAACTTGAGTCTTTGTTGAATCGGGGAACTGTTCTCGACGCTTTCTTGGCTCTGGAGCCATATGATTATCAGCAGAGAGCTGGAATCCGTTTAGTTGCTAGAAAACTAGTTATATATCAGTGAACATTGCCCAATAGCACCACAGAGAGTAAAGAAATCAGAGTTTAGTGAGCTAACTCTGTAGGGATTAATTTATGTACTCATGAAAGACCAACATAGAACTACTGTTCAGTATATTGCTAATTATGTTCTTAGTTTTAAATTTACTTGCAATCCAGATCTAGATTCGTCATATGCACATGGTTGTCTGTAACGTAATTGCATTTGCAATCTTGTGTCCATCCGAGGAAAGAGAAGCTTTTCAGTTATGTAACACATGACTATCTTTTCATCTTTCCATGGGTGATAACATGTTCAAACAGGTGAGGGTAACAAAGGAAAAACATGATTCAAGTAAACGATGATGCTAAAAGGAGAAGGAAGGTCAATACATAGTATAGAGAGAATGTGAGTGAACATGATAAAAACACATTATATGTTTATCAACGAACTAATCTACACACCCACAGAATGCTTTTCAATGCTCTGTCAAAGTTGAGCGGCAAAGCCAACATTTCCTTTGAGAGGACTCAGTATCTTTTTGGCTGTAGCAGCAGCATCCTTTCTGTGTTAGTTGATCATCATATGTTGTTTGATAAGATGCAAGCAAACCGGTATAACACAACATGGATTTCAGTTCTTTTAAGGTTTCTTTTAAGTTCCCAGAGCATCATCCTGAGGAGATGAATCCCGGTTCTCCTCTTCTTCTTCTTCTTCTTCCTCCTCTTCCTCATCATCATAGTCAGCAGAGTCAGGCTGCCCATTTAAATCAACATTCACACCGTTCATTTTCCTAACAAACTGACCCTTAACACGCGGTCTCCTCTCAGCTAGGCGTTTCCTATTGACATACCTAATCTTTTTATCAAAACACCTTTGGTTCCTTTTTCGTCTAAATTTAAGCAGAGCTTCCTCTCTTCTGTCAAGTTTATTCACCCTCACCTCGTTAGAAGAGGGATTTCCTGCCGGTGACCAAGAATGATGAACCATAGACATCTGACCATTCTGTAAAGACATCTGACTGTGCTGTAATGACGTATTCATTGGGTGGTGGTAGTAAGGATATCCCGTCATTCCATTCGGATGACTAGGTGGGCAATGAGGAAGTTGATGACCATATTGAGGCATCATGGCTGCTGATTGCATCATAACTTGGTTCATGACCCCATGCATATAGTAAGGATAGCCATTTTGTGCAGAGAAACCTGAGCCATTGATTTGAGATGAATCCTTACTTCTGTTCATAGCAACCGGAGGAGTATTCACATTTCCTTCTTGGTAGTTCCTACCATTAAATTCCATTGATGTCGGAAGCGTGCGTGACCGTTCAAGGGATTGTGGATAGCTGGTGCCATTCTGTAAGTTCTCTCCTTGAGAATGGGTTTTCTCAGTCTCTTTACTTCTGCGGGCGGGTTTAGTGTTGTTGATCCCTCCACTAGCCACTGCTTGAAACTTCTCTGCCAAACCCCGATGAAGATGGAGTGAGCCATTTCCATTGACATGAGGAGGATCCTGACTGCTAGTTCTAAGGACAGTAGATTTGACATATGTGAAGAAAGCAGAGGACTCTCCAATCTTCAATCTACTTTTCTTTGGTGCTGGAGATAATTGTGCTGCAAAAACCCCTGCCTATATTAGAATTCACCAAAATAAAGCTAAACCTTTTTCGTGCCATTGGAAAGTGCTACATTAAAAGTGAAACAATCACCTGGATTACTATTCCTTTTCATTGGCTCATGGTGAGACCCAGCAAGCTGATTTAATGGAGGCTCTATAGCAGTAACAGCAAGAGAAGAAGTGGCTGTTCCATCAGCACCAAGACCACCATCACCAGCTTGAACAGGAGCAGTAGCAACAGACCACTACCAGCACAAGTATGAGCGCAAACTAAAAAAAATCAGTTCTTCTCCATTTTCAGAGGGCTTTAAATTGTCAAATACTTCCTCACCTCATTTTCCTGGTGACTTAAATTTCCTCTCAGCGGGTTGGTGGACCTAAGACTTCTATCATCAGTGTCGTCAGAGAACAGGTTGGTACTATTCGTGTTTGGATCACTTGGATCAGATCCCACGAGATCAAAATCATAGCTCAACATATTCTTTTCAGCAAGTCCTAGCTGGCAAAACAAAAATATATACGATCAATCGCATTAACTCCATGCATCAAGGTCTTTTATTTCCAGAAGACTACAGACTGATATGACAGATGTAACTATCAAGAAATACTTGAAAAACAATAAGACGTATATAGAGAGCTTTAGACAAGTAAAACAAACCATGCGTCTTCTTCTCCACATGTGTGTCCACAAATTCAGAAGCTCATTGGTCCGAAGAGGCTTTACAAGGTAGTCAGCTGCACCTAGCTTCAAGCACTTTACCACGACAGGGACCTCGTCTTGCCTTGACATCACTAAAATGGAAAAATATTATAAGATTAGTTAGCATAAAGCTAATGATCATGCTTTCAAGATAATGTTGATATGCAGAGAAAGCACAATTCCTAGAACTCCAGGGCTGGATGATAAAACGGAAACGAAGAGCAAAGAACACAGCATACTTATCACAGGGATTCTTCGAAGATCTTTGTCTCGTGTGATGTACCTCAGCATCTTCATACCCTTGGCCATTGGGAGATCAATTTCTGCCAGTATTATATCGATATCAGGTCCTTCTGCATTAAGTGCGTCAATCACCTGCCTTGCTGATTTCACTGAAGTCACTGCATTTCACAGAAAATATAAACCATTCATCCAATGTATTATCTATGAATTTTCACTAAACACTAGAACAAAAGGTACAAAGAAAGCAATGAAACACTATATAGATGCATTCAAAAACTAAAATATGGTACTAAAATCAACAAAAGAGGATCTTATTTATCATATCTGACACATGAAACAACTGGATTTAAAAAGCCTGCCTGTCACAAGAATAAGACAAAGACCACAAGAAATCCTTAATGGATCTCCTCCAATCTACAGTAGTAATCAGTAAAAAAAAAAAAAAAGAGGATCTTGACAAGTTAAAAATAGGAAAAGCAATGAGTTGAAAATCATACCCTGGTAAGAACACTCAGAAAGGAGAGTAAAAACCTCTCCCAAGCTCTTGGAATCATTGTCACAAAGCAAAATCCTGACTCTGCTTCTATCAATGAACCCATCTCCTCCTTTACACTCACCGTTCAAATCCATGATCAGATTTACAACTAAACCCACAGACACACACACAAAAAAAAAAATCTAATCACAGGAAACTATTTTCCCTAACCAAAAACAAAAAAGAAGATAATACAAAATTAAGAACAAATACACCCGACAATAGTAAGTGCTATGAGACTTCCATGGCCAAATCAGAAACTAGGGTTTCAGGTACAGTGTCCCTACAAAGTCGCCTAATTTATATCCCTACACAAAGTAACTTGATCTCACAACCAAACAAAAACTACTCTTTTAATCCCCCAACCTAATCTTTTAGCCATGGAACCAAAACTAACAAACAAAAAAGCTAAATCTAAGAACAAAGTGATGAAAAGACAAAAAAAAAAAAAGTGAAATTGTTGTTTTTTGGTTTCTCTAAGGAATCAAATAATCGATAAAGAAGCTCAACAAAATTCACCGGAGATCCGACGTAGCGCCGGCGGTGAGATGAGGATAGAGAGATGGGATAGTTTCCGACAAGAGGAGTGAGAAGAGAGAGAGAGAGAGAAGACTCATTGTTTTGTCAATCAATGGTCAAATTATGAGACAAATCGGGAGAGAGCAGGAGGGATGGTAAATCTGAGACCGTTGAATGAGGATACGATTGGACGGTGAAGATCAAAAAGTTTTCATACGAAAGTGCGCGTTAATGTGTTTGGACTTTAGGATATTTTTTGAGGGTGACGTGGACTTTAAAAAGTGCAGCAAAAAAAAAAGTGGTGTGGATAGTTTGGTAGAGATAGAGAAAAGGCCACGTCACCTATGTCGAAAATATCTTATGATATTTTTATTTTGATATTTTTTATTTTTTTATTTTATTTTGGTGGATACAGATAAGAACATGCATCTCTCCCATATCAAAATCAACAAATACATATCAAATATCGACATATTTTAAAAATATATATTTGGAAAATCTAAAATTTTATTTTGACCAGAAACAAAAAAATCTGAAACCAAACTTTAGGTATTCGGCTTCGTTTCGTTTAGTTAAAGAAAAAAAAACAAAAAAAATAGCAACACATCACAATTCACGTATACTCTTATGACACATTCTTTTTTTTTTTGTAATAACTAAAATATTTACGACACATTCATAAACTAAAAGCTTTAGTTATACCACTCCTTTCATGGTAGTTGTAAAATGAGTTAGCATTGTGGTTCATTATTAACTTTTGAAATCGGTGTGATAGCATTTTTTTTTGAAAAATTCGAAATTGAATGAAGATTTTCTAGTTCTTTAATTCGACCTTGTAATAATGTATTTGCAAATCGCATCGCAAAAGAAAGAGAAAAATGACATGAGCACCAGCTAGGGTCTTTCCTTTTCTCACAAGATCAACCTATTCGCATCAGTCTATCTGGGGGAAGAAAAAAGAAGACAAAATCATGATGTTAATCCCTTATTAATCTCGTCATCAGTGGTTGGGAGACAAATAAAAATGTGGTCAAAGTAAGATTATAATTTTGTATTCCTGATTGGTTTCTATACAGCAGCGAATCTCGTTTGTACAGGTGGACGAAACGATTGCATAAAAATATTTAAGTTGGTTCACCGCAAGACACGTCTCGTCCCGGTTCTAACTTTTTTATTACGTTTTTGCCTTATACGATTGTATCTCGCTTTTCGGTTTTATCCGGTCTGATTCCGGTTCTGTATTTATTTATTTGAAGCTTGAAAGAGAGTGATGAAGCGGGAAAAGACAAAAGCACCCTTTTCAGACACGCGGGATACTGTAACAGATGTATTTATATGGTTGTTGTGCGGGGGTTTTCTACATGTCTCTGCTAAATCAAATCTTTCTATCGGAATCTGAATTTCGTGCTCCTTCGAGAATTTACACCGGTTCTGTAAGTGCTCTGAGAAACATGTAATTTCCTGTGTAAATCTTACAGTCCTTTCAATGTTTTGTCTATCGGAGACGTTCAAGAAGCTCATGCATACCAAGTGTTCGATGAAATTCCAAGCAGAAGAATGAGTTCTACAATCAGATCAAACCGGTTTACGTTGTTGCTAACAAACACTACGAAGCTGACACGTTATTTTTGCTCTCATCATTTGGTAGATCGTTTGGATCATTCATCCTCGGAGTTGCAGGAATTTATTAGGCTCGTTTCTTCCCCAATTGGTGGTCTAGATGATCTTGAAGAAAACTTGAACCGGGTTTCGGTTTCTCCATCATCCAAACTTGTTACCCAAGTGATCGAATCTTGCAAGAACGAGACTTCACCGAGAAGGCTGTTGAGATTTTTCTCATGGTCGTGTAAAAACCTCGGTTCTAGTTTACACGACAAGGAATTCAACCATGTCCTAAGAGTTTTAGCTGAGAAGAAGGATAATACAGCTATTCAGATACTCTTATCAGACCTTAGGAAGGAGAATCGGGCGATGGACAAGCAAACGTTTAGCATTGTCGCTGAAACTTTGGTTAAGATTGGTAAGGAAGACGATGCAATAGGTATCTTTAAAATCTTGGACAAGTTTTCATGCCCACAAGATAGTTTCACTGTGACAGCTATTATAAGTGCGCTTTGTTCAAGAGGACATGTGAAGAGAGCATTGGGAGTTATGCATCATCACAAGGATGCAATCTCTGGGAATGAATTGTCTGTGTACAGAAGTTTATTATTCGGGTGGTCAGTACAAAGAAACGTCAAGGAAGCAAGAAGAGTTATACAAGATATGAAATCAGCCGGGATTACACCGGATTTGTTCTGTTTCAACTCGTTGCTTACCTGCCTCTGCGAAAGAAACGTTAACCGAAACCCGTCTGGGCTTGTTCCTGAAGCTTTGAACATTATGTTGGAGATGAAGTCTTACAAAATTCAACCTACATCTATTAGTTACAACACGTTGCTCTCTTGTCTAGGAAGGACAAGGAGGGTGAAAGAGTCATGCCAGATTCTAGAGCAGATGAAGAGATCGGGATGTGATCCCGATACAGCGAGCTATTACTTTGTTGTGAGGGTTCTGTATTTGACAGGAAGGTTTGGTAAAGGCAACCAAATAGTAGACGAGATGATCGAGAGAGAACTGAGACCTGAACGCAAATTCTATTATGATCTGATTGGGGTCCTTTGTGGGGTTGAGCGGGTAAATTTTGCGCTTCAACTGTTTGAGAAGATGAAGAGAAGCTCTGTGGGTGGTTATGGTCCGGTCTATGATCTGCTCATACCAAAACTATGTAAAGGAGGGAACTTTGAGAAAGGAAAAGAGCTTTGGGAAGAGGCAATGTCACTTGATGTTACACTTTGTAGCTCCATTGATTTGCTTGATCCATCTGTCACAGAGGTTTTCAAACCAATGAAGAAGAAAGAAGTGGAGACTACAACGGTGGATCGTCGCGCACTTAACTTGAAGATTCACGCTAGAATGAACAAAACGAAGCCAAAACTGAAACCAAAACCGAAACGCAGGAGCAAAAAGAAGAAGAATATGCGGCATTGATTGATCTATTCTAGCCATGTTTAGAACATTCGATGTAACAACAGCAGTGTATCACAATTTATATTTAAAATCAAGTCAGGTGATTTCTCTGCTTTCTAAATGCAGAAGCAAGGACGTCAGATTCTTCTGATCATTTTGAATGTATTATCTTTACAAGTAACTCGTTAATCTGAGTAATCTGATGCAAGAGTTGAGCTATTCTCTGCGTTGAAACACACAAAAATCATGGAAACAAAAGACACTGTTAGAAACGGGAAATGTAATGTGACTATTTCAACATTTCATCGAACAACTCTCTCTGTAGGGGAAAGATAAAAACAGAGCATGAATGAGATTCCCAACCTCGTCTCTCTCTTTGATTTTGTCTCTAAGATTAGCTGCTACGATTTCTCTTTGGCGAGTTCGGTAACGCATCAACCACCAAATTACGATGATCATGAACGGATAAGATGACCGGAGAGTTATTGAGAAGGAACAGAGACTATTTCTGGAGAAGCACGTCACCAAATTCTGGAATTTCGACAGTACTCGAGCGAGAAGAAGCTTCCACCACCAACCTTGGACGATATCAATCTCAAGTATCGATTTCCACAGAGATTTTCCGATGGTTTCCGAAAACTGAGAACGCGATTTCAGATCAATTCCAAAGTGTTCGTCTAAATCAGACGGATACAAGAGTGAGGAAGAAGAAGATGAAACAGAGACTGTCGACGAAGATGAGGATTTGAATCCATCGATGTAGAGGTTCTCGTGGTTGATCGGTGGGAAGATAGCGAGATCATCGTCGTTAGCGATATCCGTCGAATCTCTAATGAAAACCATCGACAATGCGAGTTCGTTTCTCAGATCAAAGTGTGTGATAATGTAACAATCGATGCTCTAATGAGAAGTAAATGTCCGGTATTGATAAAAGGAAAATATCATTATCATCAAACAAAGATGGGAAAAAATTATCAATGTATACACAACATAATCTACAAGACAACCAAATATCTCTTCTTTTTTTATATAAAAAAAGATCACAAATAAGAAAAATCTTCTTTCCTTCAAAGTAAAAGGAAGGAAATAAACTGAACCTGCAATTAGGAAAGGAAATATAAAAAAACAAACCAAAGAGAAAGTGATCTCTTTCATCCTACATCTTTCTGAAAGCCAAAAACTAAACATGAGAAGAAGAATTAAAAAAAACAAAGATTAACCAAACAGAGTTTGACATGGGAAACCACCCATCGTCACGGCACCGAATGCATTTCCTCGCCGGGAATATAATCCATTTCAATATTTATTGTAGTCTTATCATCCGACAAGTCAACTTGAGCCGACGCTTCTTGAAGCTGCAACGCGTATTCAAGATTCCACAGCACATCTCCCATTCCAGGCCGATCAACACCATACTCTGCTAAACATTTCTCTGCTGCCTCCACGAATTTCCTCAACGACCCTTTACTAATCGTCCCCACGATTTTTGGGTCGATAATTTTATCCAACATACCTTTTCTATGCAAATTCATAGCGTACTCTGCCAAGTTAACTTGTTCTCTAGGTAACTGCGGGTTTATCACTGGCCTCGCGCATAGGACCTCGAATAACACCACGCCAAACGAGTAAACATCGGACTTATCAGTGAGCTGCTGTCTTCGGAAGTACTCGGGGTCTAAATACCCAAAACTACCTTTCACAGCGGTACTTACATGCCCTTGTTCCATTGGGGCATCTTTCGAAAGTCCAAAGTCTGAAACTTTAGCGACTAGGTTCTCGTCCAAGAGAATGTTGGTGGTCTTGACGTCACGGTGGATGATCCCTTGAGCTGCACCTGTGTGGAGATAGTGAAGCCCACGCGCTGATCCAATGCAGATCTCTAGACGTTGCTTCCAGGACAAGGTAGGTATAGGGTTAGGGTCATTCTCTTTTGAGCCGTATAAATGGTCACGCAGAGGACCATTTGACATGTACTCATAAACGAGAATCATCTCTTTGTTTTCGTCACAGAATCCGATTAGAGACACTAAATGTCTGTGTCTAAGTTTAGACAGCATCTGAATCTCTGTCTGGAACTCGTTGATCCCTTGCTCTGAACCCTGACTCCCTCTTTTGATCGCGACTTGTGTCCCACCGTCGATTTCTCCTATATACACTTTTCCGAACCCACCAACTCCAATCACGGATTTCTCATCGAAGTTCTGCGTAGCGATCTGCAATTCGGTAAAAGGGAAGTAACGTCCCAATCCCTGGTTAGAGAAGAAGCTAGAGAATCCATTGCTCTTGCTCTTCTTGGACCCGAAAATACTCATACGCCTTGACGTTGACCCGCCTTTACTCGAGATGTAACTCGAGTGACTTGCGTGCAAAGGAAGCAACCATGACGAGAAACTGTTCTGTTTTTGCCAGTCTTTAGGACGTCTCTGCCACCTAACGAGCAACACAACAACCCCTAAGAAAGCGGTTAGAGCCATCACGAATCCAATACCCGCAATCGCAAGCTTCTTGGACGACATCCCAGCAATAGGCCCTTTGTATTTCCCGTCAACTCCGAAAAGCCCATCTAAGCTCCCAGCTGCATTGTTCAGCTTCATGATCTCTAAACCGTTAAGAATGGCATTCGGTTTACCCGACTGAAGATTGGTACTCGGTCCAACCTGAATCAGAATCGAGCCATTGGTGATAGCAGACGCATTAAGCACAAAATCAGCGTAATACGCCGTGCCTAAAGCGTTGGTTAAGGAGGAGAGGTCAAGTCCAGAGATGGCAGAGAGCTTATTGATGAAAACATTGAAGACAAGATCGTTAAGCGATTTGCTTACAATGTCACAAAAATGTAGCCTAATGAAGTAATCATGACCCGAATCAACACTCATCCTCCATGAAAGATTAAAGTTAGGTTGCGAGGTTTGGGCATCGGCCATTTCCTCGGCAGAGGCGTAAACCGGATTAGGAGCGATCAGCGCGGTAGCTCCACCTTCAGGATAAGTAATGGTACTAGGATCAACGGTGACATTTCTCGAGCCTTGAGGGAACGTGTTGTAAGGTTTATCAGAGAGCCAAGTACGAGAAAGAGGATCAATCTTAGGAGAAATCAGATCGCCGCCGATGTTTAAGCGGTGAGAGATCTGGAGAGAGAAGCTGCTTAAGCCTCTGAAATCAGGAGCTTGAGGAACAGAGGAAGCAGAATCAGGGACAAGCTCGTCGGGAACAGAGACGATTTCGAGGGCGTTAATAAAAGCCGTGGAGCCTTTGTGAGGTTTGAAATAGAGAGAGAGCTTCTCGGAGGCGTAGACTAGATACTCTTTGAAGACGACGGAGGAAGTGTCTTTGGTTGAGAAGTCGTGCAAGAGGACGGTGGTGTCGGTGGTGACGGAGAAGACGGAGTTAGTGAGATTGTGGAGAGGGTGGATGAGAGGGTAGAAATGGAGACGGATCCAGTGACGGCCAGGCCGTGAAATGTAGAAGGAGTAAGTTGATTTCCCGGCGAAGATTCGAGCAGTTAGGTACAAGGGAAGGGAGGAGGTGGAATTGGAGAAGGAGGAGATCGGGATTGAGTCGACGGAGATTTTGATGTCTTCGTCGGTTTGGAGAAACGCGACGGATTGCTGATCGGATTTGAAATTACGGCCGTCGGAGAGTTTTGTTTCGGCGGAGGAGCCGCAGTCGATGAGGTAGTTATCTGCCGGGGTATATGAGGAGTTGGAATTGACGGCGAAGAGGAGGATGATGAGGAAGAGGATGGAAACGTGGGAGGAGAAATTACGAAAATCTCCTCCCATTATTTCCGGCGAGGATTTTAACGGTGGTGGATGGTGAAGATAGAGAGAATTTTAGAGGTTTACCATATATAACAACAAAACGATTGGTTTTTAAAAATTTGAACGTAATTGACTTCAAACGTTTTATGAAACCCCTTGCCGCCGGGGAAAATACAAATACAGTAGTACCATTATAGTTATTCATTATTTTTGCTTTCAGTATTATTTTCTGGTTTTGTTGAGAGCACGTATGGGAGCAACGTGCAAAAGTGTATGTAATTTATGTTTTTTTTTATATAAAAAAAATGATTTTGGGAGTCAAAATCTTAATTAATTATCTATAGGATAAGTTTTTTTTGAGTAAATTATTACAAGCAAAACTTGAGAAACCAAATTGGTAGGCAGTTAAAGAATAAAAAAACTAAAACAAGATTTTAAAGTCTTAACGATAACTATAGTCTATAGTGTTTAAATAATGGTCTTGTTTGGTTCTAAATTAGTGAAAAGCCATGTTTAGTAAGCTCTCTATTTTTTGTTTCTTTTGGGGGGTTTAAGTGTGGATAGTAATACGAAGACACTCTTGGGTATTTGATTTTATGTTAATCTAAATCATTATATTCTTGTCAGTGTAAACAATTAAATCAATACTTTGTAAATTTGTTTAAAAAGTTATGAAACAAGAAACAAAATAGAAGAAACAAAGGAAATCTACGTGTGCAGATACTTTCACCTTTCAAGGACGCTTAGTGGACATCAAAACGACACGCTGTGCGAACCCGAGAAGTCAAAATCCAAAACTTCATTATCTGGCATTAAATTTTCCATCCAAAGCCCATTTTGGCTTATGGATAGCGCCTGCCGCCTCTGCGTGTCGTTTTCAAAAGAAGTAAAAAGAGGTCTATTAAAAATCACTTCGCCGTCTGTGGGGATCGAACCCACGACCACGTGGTTAAAAGCCACGCGCTCTACCACTGAGCTAAGAAGGCTATCTTGCCAACTATCAACAGTTGATATTAATAACGAATATCCTATAATAATCATTGTAAATGCTACATACATATTTGTTAAACATGTTAATAATTCTGAATATACACACATATACATACTTCTATGACCTTTTTTTACAAATCGCAATTTTCAAGTATTTCTCCATGTATATATCAATATATGGCCTGTTTTCATTTGGGCCAACATTTTTGTTTTCGGACTTAAATCAAATAAAAACAATGAAGAAACTCATAATACAATTTTTTGTCAGCAAAGAAAAAGTGATACAGAAAATTATATTAAATATATATGCCAACCATGCAGTATTTGGAAAGCTCGCAATGATCTTTTATTCCATAATAAAAGATGGGCTATACCAATCCTTATCCATCAAGCTATTATGGATCATATACTGTGGAAGGATGCTACTAGATTAGAGCAGTCTCATGTTGGAATGATTCAGCAAAAAACAAACAGGAACAATTATCACACTCACTACAGATCCTTAGAACAACCTAACTCTTATATTTGTTACCAGATGGATCTTGGGCTAATTCTAATTCCCGAGCAGGAATCGGATGAGCTCTGCATAACTATCAAGGTAAATGCATTCTTAAAGGTTCTTCATCCATTGAACCTACAATGTCTGCGCTAGAAACAGAAGCTCTAGCTCTCAGGGAAGCTCTCCTATAAATTAAACGATTGAACTACTTTCCCGTCACATTTTGTGGAGACTCAGAGCTTTTATACAGGTCATTGGCTCAATTAAGAAGTGGCAAGGACGCTCCTAAGGAAGTTGCTGAGATTCAAGGATATTTGGAAGACATCATGGATTTGACGAATGCCTCTTACAACTTCAAATTTATAAGAAGAACGGTTAATGTAATAGCTGATCGTCTAGCACGAGAAGCTAGAACAAATCAGTCCTCTATGGTTGTAACTTGGTTGTCTTGATGTATGACTCTCTTGTAACATATTTCTATATCTAATAGATCAGTTGGCCGACAAAAAAAAAAAAAAATTTTGTAAACTAATCATATTTTTGTCTGTCTCTCATATAATTCGATGATTTTATATTATTTCGTATAAATAGAGCTTAAACTGAACTATATACGACTTGTTCGTCGTATAGTGTTTGTGATTCTAATTTCTAAGTCAACTTAAGTTTGGATAACCTCTGAGATTTTAATTTATACATTAAACCCCATATGTGTATATATATAGTTTTCCAGTTATTGACCACCAAAGCTTTTACAGATCATAAGTAAATAATCCAGCCATTCCTTGCACGTGATTTCGAGTTTAAGTATACAGAGAAATAATACTGGTGTTGTTGACAAAGACTTAATATTTACATTTAAGTAAACCATTAGAGTTTAAGTTAAACTGTTTTAACTATGCATGTATCTTTACTTGTTAATAATATTTATTAAGATGTTCGATTACAAAATTTTACGTTAATGATCATTGATCAATGAACAAATTACGGTCTCTGTTCTAACTTCTAAGTAATACTTATACTAAATATAGATGAATGTATAATGTATAGATGATTAGGTAGATTACATGTCACAATACTCTGGATCGGTTAGATAAAACAACACTATCCAGAATCCATAATTTAAACAATTATTTAATAAAAGGGTTCTTATTCGTTATTAATCAAATTATTATGTGATAATAATGATGATGGTGATTGTATAACAAAAAATACCAATTACTATAGAGTAAGAGATTTCATAATATATAATCAAGATCTAGATCTAATGGTACAATTTAAATGTTTTAATAGCATGGTTTGTGAATGCATATATGTAGATTTAAAACTATTATGCGTATAATTTGATTGTTTCTCTCGTTTATAAAAAAAAATAGTAATTATTTACAAAAGTTTAAACAGTACGTAGATATATAGCATGTTAATAATCCAGGTTATAATAACAAAAAGGTATGAGAGATGTGTTTGACTTTAAAAAATATGGATGAACGTAGCATATTGTCCATTCTAGTTATTGGGGCTCCTTCTAATCCAACCCATACCAAAAGGGTTCAATTTTATTTTTTTGGAAGCTTTTCCTTTTATCACCACAAAAAAAAAAAAAAAAAAAAAAAACACACATTTGATACAAACCATAGTACATTAGTACTTCAAGTTAATAATGAGATTAATGATCAAATACTTCAAAGAATACTTAAATAAAATGGATACTTAGTTTTGATATATCCAACAATATGATCATATTGGAAATTCACCTAACCATAAGAGTGTCGTTCGGTTGTACTAAACACAGCAACGCCAACTCTTTCAACCTTTTCTTTGACATGATTTTACCATACTTAATCAACAATATACAATATATATTTATATCATCACTTCTATAAAATATATATGTTTTTAAAAAAAAATATTCAGATATTGATTACGATGTGTAATTTCTCCCCATATAATATTTAGGCAGAGTTCAGCCGTCTGAATGTTCTGTCTTTTGTTATATAAAAACCATGAATCATTATATTCGTTACTAATTGATATATAAATCCAAAATTGCTTAAACACATCTTTTGTTAAAACAAAGAAACCAAAACCGACAACTTATTCATGCTTCAATTGATGTTACTAACTGATCGGGATTGATCGTTTAACCATTAATTGTAATTAAACTCTGAAATCAATTATCTATGAACGTACGTATACGGTTCTTCAAAATCACTATGATCATTCATATGATTTTTTTTTTTGTTGAAAAATAAATAAAAGAAAAGAAAGAAATCAAAACATATACTTCTCGACTCTAAAAAATCAATATAGATGAACGTATACTTTTCTTAAACACTATAGAATTCATATACCACTAGTCCACACAAAAAAATATATATATATATATATTCGTGTGACATTTTCAGTTGAAATAATTATCACAACGTATACTTGTCGACGCCAAAAAAAAAAAATCAATTATCAAAGAACGTATACTTTTTTTTTTAACACTACAGAAATCATATATATATATATAGCACTAATTAGAGAGGGAAAAAAACATGAACATTCGTATGCGATTTTCAGTGATAAAGAAAAATCAAATCAAAACGTTTTGAGTGTATATGTTATTTTTTGTTGGACTAGTTTAGAATCAAACATTCTAGATCAGTTTATTTAAATGAATTTAATTCCAATCGATACTTATAACTACTAACTATATTAATACAACTCCATTATACAAGGTCTTAATTAGCAAACATTTCGAGTTTTCTTTCTATGTAAATAATTCTGCCTAAAAATATAGAAAAAGGGTTACCAAGTGAACGTGAAACCATTCAAGTTAATATATACGAAAAATAATTTCCAAATTTTTCATTGCAAATTTTCTCATGTCCGAGACTCAATTATAATGGATTACCCCCTAAATTATTACAATATGCCATTAATTAAAGGAAATGATTGAGAGTGGATGATAAGGAACAATTATTTATTTTCTGGGGGTCAAATATATAAATAATTATATATAAGAAAATAAGTAATTTCAAACAAGCAAATGGAGAACTCCCTAACCACCAAGTCCAAGTCAATAAGACCGCACACCAAATGCATGCCACAAGGTTGGACAAAGTTTGATCATTTCTCTCTTTGTGTTATCGAATTGTATAATTTGCTTTTGAGTGTTTTTAAAAAATAAAACTGTTAACTTGGTTAAATAGGTTTTGTCACATATTAATAATTAATTGTAAACATTCTTATACTTTTCACGAAAGCTAAACTTAGTAGGTTTGGTAACATCCTTATACATACATACTATATGATCATTGATCAAGTCGCCTCAAGAGAAAAGTTCTAAAAGTTTTGGAGATTTCTCACTCAAAAATCATTTTAAGTTGTATATAAAAGCAGAGCACCATTCTTTTTTTTTTTCAATTTAAATTTTGGTTATTATAAAATTTTACTTTACTCTTTTTAGCTCTTATCATTATTCAATTTCTTGAAAGCTAAGCCTCCAGTTTCCTCAAACCTATCATTATTAAGCTTTCAATTGAATACTAATACATAGACTCACTCTCTCACAATTTAATATGTATGTATCATGTATCTACTACTCGCATATACATATAGTATATAACAATGGAGTGTATAGTAAGCATCCAAAACCAATTAAAGCACTAAGCATATCACACAAGCAAAAGACTTTTCAAGAATATACGTATCAAGAGTTAAACCCAAAAAATGAAACCTATTTCTCCTAACAACATTACCTACGAAACCAATCTACATTAACCTAACAAGGAAGTGTTGTGTTTCATTATTTTATAATTGTTCTCTACACACAAGAAAGATTCTATTCTAATTCCATGCAAAAAAAAAAAACACTTTGCTTTACAAAGAAAAAAAAAATTTAATTTTTTATTACTTTGTGTAAACAAACAACTCCTCATCTTCAGGCAAAATCGGTTGGCCTATCTCCATTCCCTTCTCTAACACCCAACCCACAATTAAATTTAAAGAAAAAAAAAAATATATATATCTAGAAAATCATTACGTATATATATAAACATATATAAAGAGGACCTTCAATGAGAAAAGCCTTTCAAGATTTGGTGGATCATTCAAGAAACACACATCTTCAAAATTTCTTCAGAGTAAAGAAATAGCAAAAGAAAGTTAGAATGAAGAGGACAATGGAGGATCCAAGCAAGCTCATGAGAAGATCAGTCCACACCTTTCTCCAACACTACCACCGTGTCACCACCGCAGCCGCCGTGGCACTCCCTTTCTCAGCTTGTCTCCTCCTCTCTCAGCCTTTCTTCTCATCTTCCTCTTCGACCCTTCACGCGAGGATTAACACGCTCTTCCGCGGAGCTGGTTTCTCTTCTTCTCTTGATTTCTTCAACATCTTGAGCCTTAAGCTCTCACAAACCCTTTCATCCTCTTTATTCACTCTCCCTTTCTCCCTCACTTTCCTCCTCTTCTCCAAAGCTTACGTTATCAAACTTCTATCAAGCAATAACTCAGCTTCGTCCTCTGTTTATTACCTCCGCCTTCTCAAAACATACATTTGCAGCTTCTTCTTCCTTCTCTCTGCAAACGCCTCTGCTTTTGCTCTGTTTTTCGTAGCATTCAATACCCTCGAAGCCTTTGGATTCTCTTCTAGAAACTTTTACGCTATCCTCTCCGTATCCTCAGCGATCATCTACTCAGTCATCATCGCCAACGCCTTCGTCATCTCCAATTTAGCCTTGGTTTCATCACCTTCTTCTTCTTCAGGAGGATACACAAATATTCTCAAGGCGTGTCTTCTGATTCGGGGAAGAACTTCACCAGCATTGTATCTTGCTCTGCCTACTAATCTCGGCTTAGCAGGAGTCGAAGCCTTGTTTCAGTACAGAGTCGTGAGATCTTATTACAACGGAGACAGAGATATCACATCCATAGCTCTTGAAGGAACCTTCATAGCTTACTTATACGCTCTCTTCTTGGTTCTTGACACCATAGTCAACTTCCTCTTTTACCAGAGCTGCATCAAGAACGAGGAAGATCAAAAGATCGGTAGAGGAGACGACTACTCCATCAAGATCCAAATCAGCGAAACAGAGAACACCAAAATACACATCAAGGGTTTATACGAAATCTTGTGACTTTCTTCTTGTTTTGGTTGGATGTAATTATTGAAAAAAAGTGAAAAAAGACTTTATGAGATTATTGATTCTTTAAGGATAATCTCAAGTAGCTTTCACTTCAAAGAAGGGCAAAGGTAAACACTAAACAGTGGAGAACAATCACACCAATCTGCAAAACCTTTTCTTCTACCTCTGTTTCTGTTTTTTTCTTTATTTATTTTAGTCCATTGTTCCTCTTTTTATTTAATACTTTTTCAACATTGTAAAGTCAAATATACCAGAAATTTTCAATTTAATGCAAATCTTTAGTATTCACATTTGGTTAATCCTACAGTGAAATTTCATTGCCGACATAATATTTTTTGCAACGATTCTGATTACTTCCAAAGTCTTTTTGTTATTGAGCAAAAGATAAGTTCAAACAACAATCTTTTATTAGAAAAGATAGAAGAAGAAGAAGTGTCATAGTTAGACAGAAGATGCGAAAGCAATTGAACTTTTTTTGTTGTTTTCTTTGAAATAATATCCTAATAATAATACTGAAAATTGTGTTAATGATAAAGCTTAACTTATAAAGACAAAAGAGGGGCTAGTGAGTGGTCTACAATTCTACATCACTAATCTCTTCACTTGAATCTCTAAAAACAAAAATACCTTTAATACAATAATTCAGTTCTACCTATAATTTCTTCTAATGGAGAAAAAAATATGAATGAATCTAATTTACCTTTATTAGTTAAAATAGTAGAATCTGGATAATTGAGTGAAGGAAAGGGTTTTTGAGCTTTTGAAGAGGGATAGTAAATAATGTTTGCTTCAAAAGAGATCAAGAAACAATCATGCCAACAAAAAAAAAAAAAACTTACCAAACATATATATAAAGGATCATGGTCCATATTTAGGATTTTATCGTTTTATATAAATCCAGGTCCGATGATGACAAAAAAAAAAAATTAAAATTAAAATAAATAAATCCAGGTCCGATTGACCGAATTGTATAATCTGGTCCTATCAAACCAAATAAACTGAACTAAACCCTTTAACCGGATTTTCTGATCAAACCGGCCGGTTCGTGGTTTAAGAACAAAATCTCTAGGGTTTCTAATTTTTTTAATAGTTCGTTCAGTTGAGTTTCTTCTTTCTCAACTTTTTTCTCTGCTCATAGACAGCTTTGAGCTTCTACTATTTCAAGTCAAAGATATATACTCCTCTTTTGCGTCTCAGTTTCTACAGAGTTTGTGGGTTAGTTCTTCTGCTTATATGATTCCTTTTAATTTTCAAAGTTCTCTGCTTTCTCTTGCGTATCTGCTCAAATTGTCTCTGTTTTTGTTGTTTGCATTCGCATAATCGTTTCTCATCTTGAAAAATTCGAACCCACAAACTGGGTCGATTCGAAAGTTTCTTGCTTTGAACTTTTTTTTTTGTTAGCTCTAGAATGCTTCTATGATATGTGTGTTCTGACATTGTGGTGGAGATGATGGAATGATAAAGTAAAAGGTCTGAGCAGGTTATGAGTAAAGTGTGTGGCTTTTTGATGTTTAATTTAGTTTGGAGGAGACCAAATTTAATCTTTATAGGAGAGGGCCCTTGTACATGCCTTGAGCTATGGCATATGTGGCTCCGCAAACTCTCCAACAATGAACTTGATTGATTTCAACACTGCACCATGTGCTCTGTTGTGTTCAATCTGTTGGGTCGATTAGAAAGGCTTGGGGTTGCTATCTACTATTGATTGCCGACCTCGAGTTCTCCCTATATACATTTAGTTTCCTCCTGCTTCTTATCATCATTTAGCTGCCCTCATAAGTACTGCACTGATCAAAGACCTCCTTGACTGATCCACTTGAGATTATCTGATACGTTTTCTGTCGTGCTTTGTTATTGTTTGATGCATTTTGACAAAGCTTGTTTGATGTTATGATCACCTCATTGTTGTATGTGTGGACTATAGAAGTTACATTGAGTTCACTATTTATCTCTGTAACAATCACGATTTAGATTCAGTTCTACCAATTTTTAGCTTGATTTCAATCGATTTTAGTTTCACAAACTGAGTAATTATAGGTTTATAATTGAAATATGATATGCATTTTTTTGAAGCCTTGGGGTACCCAGAATCCAACTTTTTAAAACTCGGTCATTGTCTCTATCTTTGACCCTTACTTGTTTATTTCATTTTTATGTTACTTCATGAGGTAATATTCTTCGCATCTGTATAATAGTTTCTCCTCCTCAATTGATTTCCTTTTTAAATATTTTTGCAGCATAAAGAGTGTATATAATGGCTGGGGGATCAAAGAGGTCTAAAAGAGCAAGACTTAATGACAGTGAATCAGAAGACAGAAGCGAACAAGAAAACCTCAACGTATTATTTTTTGTTGATTTCGTCTGGTTTAAGTTATTTAGATGGCTGTGTAGGCGAGTTTATTTGGTTGAGAATTCTATTGCAGGTCAAAAGCGTGAACGAAGATTATGAATTATCCAATGAGATTGAGGATGATGAAGTAGATAGCGAGGAAGATAATGAGGGAGAGAGTGAAGACGATGACAAAGGAGATAGTGACGAAGATTCTGAAGAAGGAGATAGTGAGGAAGATGCTGAAGAAGTAGATAGTGAGGAAGATGCTGAAGAAGATAACAAGGAAGATGAGGATGGAGAAAGCGAGGAATTTGAAGATGGAAATGATATAGAAAGTGAGAGTGGCGATGAAGGTAATGATGACAGTAAAGATACCGAGATGAAAGATCTTGAGAAAGAGTACATTGAGCTTCGTTCACAAGAGCAGTAAGATTTCACTACAAGTATTTTCTCAAGAGTTTTGTTCCTGTCATAGTGAATTATAATATTTGTTACTAGAAACGGTGGATAGTCGTATCAAAGTTTCATCTGTTTAATCTAGAACACAAACAACTAGAGCATAAACAGGACTGTTGGCTGGATTTAGAAGTTAGGTTCGAACTCATTAAAGCAATTGAATATGTTCATGATAAGTAGAAATACATTAATATAAAGGAAACTAACAGACTTTTGTTGAAGGTGCATGTCAGATACTCACCGTCTTAATCGTGGTGCACCGTTTATTATCAAAATGAGCGAATGAAAGCTGAAACAAATGTTCTTTATGTAATAACTTTTTCCTGGTATAGGGATATACTGAAGAACCTGAAGCGTGATAAGGGTGAGGATGCTGTAAAAGGTCAAGCCGTGAAGAACCAGAAGGTAATGCATTTTTCTATGATTCGTGAAGTAGTCTACTAGTCAATTGCATATTGCAGATGTATATTTCTATCTATATGTTAATGAAGTTCATCCAGAGGGAATTTTTGTCTAAGACAATTCATTTCTTTGTACTCTATGTGAAGGCTCTTTGGGATAAAACTCTGGAGGTCAGATTCTTACTTCAGAAAGCATTTAATAGTTCAAACAGATTGCCACAGGTACGCTATTCTGTTCTCCTCTTTTATTTATGGTTGTTTGTTTTAATATGCTTATGACGGAAGGTAATCCTCTTCAGGAGCCTGTAAAATCGTCATTTTGTTCGGAAGATGAGAATGTCTTGGCAGCATATACAGATCTACTTACTTCATCTGAGAAGACATTAAATTCCCTCTTGGAGTTGCAAGAGGTATGTATGCGTAGCCTTGATTCAGTAACTGTATATTGTCGCTTAGTACTTCATCTCTCTGCCACCTTTAGTTACTCTTTTTATCGAAACGATTATTTTTGCAGGCTTTGCTTGAGAAGAACTCCTCTGTTGATCAACAAGTGAATAGTAAGCCTTGTTTTACAGAAAAGATAATAATTGTAAGTCAGTATAAGCGAGGGTCAATAATAACATCCCTTTTATTTATATTTGGTCAGGAACAGTTAGTGCAGAATCCAATAAATCAGATGCAGAAGATAGCGATGAATGGCAACGAATATCTAACTTGCAGCAAAGGTATTCAAGACTACTGTTCAATCAGACACTTGAAAGTTCTCCTTGTTCTGTCCAAACAAAAGAATTTGATTAGTAAAAAATGATTGACTTCATTCAGAAACCAGTCTCATTATCATTTATGTTTCATTGCTAATACAAAATTGGTCTTTCCTATGTAGAATGTCTGTATTCCGAAACAAAGCTGTGGACAAATGGCAGAGAAGAACGCAAGTCACGACCGGTGCAGCTGCTATTAAAGGAAAGCTCCACGCCTTTAACCAGGTTTAGACAACAAACCCCATAAACGTTTTTGCTCTTATTCATCTGAAGATCAGTCAGGAATCTAAATGATTAATTTTCAATAAAACAGAACGTTAGTGAACAAGTTGCTTCATACATGAGGGATCCAAGTAGAATGATCAAACAAATGCAACAGTCAAGATCTACTGTTGATATTTTTGGAACAGTAAGTTTTGGCTTTAATAGTAAATGCAACCAAGATCTGCTTCTCTCGAGTAAGTTGTGATTTTTAAATTTCCATCCACAGGTCCCTGGGGAAGCCATGGAACCAACTCAAGAGGTAGAGTAACGGTTTTCTCTAACCAAGTCAAGTGAATCAAATAATTTATCGGTCTTATTGATTGTCTTTATAATGCATGTGTACTTTTTCTTGTTCAGGGAAAACAACTTGAAGGAGACCCTGAACTGATAGAAGATGCTGAATTCTATCAGCAGTTACTGAAGGAGTTCATTGAGACCATTGATCCAGCTTCCTCGGGTATAAATACGTCTTGGAATCATTAGATATGAAATACCTAGCGACTGTTTAGTCCAACAACTCAAGTCTTTACCTGTGTTGAAAACTTGATTTATAGTTCTGGTTTTCCGTAAAGTCTTTTGGTATATACTGAAGTCTCAATCTTGGCATTGGCAGAGGCGGCTTACTATGCGATGAAGAAGTTTCAGACGAAGAAAAGGAAAGTTGTGGACCGGCGTGCCTCTAAGAGCAGAAAGATCAGGTAAGTGACACACATACACACATAGTTTTCAAGGTTTTATTCCTCGTCCATAATTCTCTCTTTTGAATCATTTCCGTGTAAAAAAAATGAAACAGGTATAATGTTCATGAGAAGATTGTCAACTTCATGGCACCACGACCAGCAAAGATACCTCCAAACACTGCGGATTTGCTGAAAAATCTGTTCGGTCTGAAGACCAGAAACGCTCTCTCTGAAGCATAAAAGTTTTAAACAAACCCGCAATTTTGAAACGCAAGAAAATATGACTTTTTACTTTGTGGTGTGTGTTGTATTACAAATATCGACATCGTTTCTTATTGAAAGCCATATTTTAAAGCATCTAAGTTCATCTGCTCCTCGTACTTCCAACATTCATCGTTTGAACTTGAAAATGTTCAAACAATAAAACTTTTGACTGTAGTATATAGCACATATTTTCGAGTGGATAAATCCTCATTTTCTTTATCTATCTACTTTGTACGAAATCTTTTTATGGGTTGGTAAAAACAACATCATAATTTAACAACAACATAGTTGAAGGTTGGTAAAAACAACATCATAATTTAACAACAACATCATAGTTGAAGGTGATGAAGTTGACTTGTCTGAGAAATTGGAGTTCACCGTTGTTATGAAGTATACTCTTAAGGCTCGTGCTGTGCCTAGAGTGAAGAAGACACATCGTCGTGGGCTCATGGCTTAGAGACAGAGCACCTCTCTTTGAGTTTGGTTTTTTTCTTTTTTCAGTTGTTTTGCTATGTAGAAACGTTGTCGTTTGCTAATAAATGCTGAAAAGGCCATTTGTGGAAACGTTGTCGTTTTTAGTGAAACCCTAGAAAATTGAGTGAGTGAGACCAATAAAGCTCAACTAGTTTTGTTGTAGATTTCAGCTTTGCTAAACTCACCCGGTTTCTCTCTGATTCTCCCTACTTGAACATTCGATTAATCTATTTCACAGAACAATTCTTTGGATTACATTGTATGATTCCTTTTTAGTTCTGAAATTTTCCTGCTTTCTCTTGCGTGTTTTGTTCACAGTGTTTTTTTGCTCAGTTGTAGTCTAATGGGTTCTCTTGAAAAATACGATTTTTATGAGCTGGGTTGATTCTTTTCTTCTCCGCTGTTGGCTTAGGTTTGGAAAGTTTCTGTCTTTAAAGCTTCTGGTAGCTCTAGGATGATGATGTTCTTTCTAATCTGTATATGACATTGTGGTGGAGATGATGAATGTTAAAGTAAAAGGTCTGAGCAGGTTATGAGTAAAGTGTGTGGCTTTTGGTGTTTAATTTAGTTTCGAGGAGACTAATTGGAAAAAACATAATCGGAGAGGGCCCTTGTCCATGCCTTGAGCTATGGTATCTGTGGCTCCGCAAACTCTCCAACAATGAACCTGATTCACCACGTGCTGTGTGTGCAATCTGATGGGTCGATTTTTAAAGGCGTGGGGTTGCTTTCTACTATTGATTGCCGATCTAGAATTCTCCCTATATATATTTTAGTCTCCTTGTGCTTCCTTATCACCAACTAGCTGCCCTCATAAGTCCTGCATTGATCAAAGACCTCCTTGACTGATCCACATGAGATTATCTACTAGTTCCTCTGTATTGCTTTGTTGAAGTTTGAAGCTTTTTGATTTAGGCATTGTTTTTGGTTGATCTTTATATGATTCCCTCATTGCTGTATGTGTCGACTACAGAAGTATTCCTGAAACGTAATAGCATTTGCCCTTTGTGGTTAAGCTGCAGAAGTATCTTTTAGTGTTGTTTTGATTGAGTTTTCACGGTACCCTTTGAGTATAGAGGATGATTACTCTGTTTGTTGATCCTTTAGAGTATCTCGTTCAATTGGGTTAGATATGAAAACCTATTATGTGTCTAGCACCCAAGAATGATGTTATGTTTGATAACTTTTATTGCAGGATTATAAAAAAAACTAAAAGGATTCTCTGTGTAATTCATTATGATTTGTTGCAATTTTTGATTGGTTTAGTGAGCAGAGGAGAGTGTGGAAAGAGATGAGTGGGCACAAGATAGCGCACGCAACATTGAAAGGTCCAAGTGTTGTGAAGGAGTTAGTCATCGGTCTCACACTGGGGCTAGCGGCTGGAGGGCTATGGAAGATGCATCACTGGAACGAGCAAAGGAAAACAAGAGTCTTCTATGATTTGCTTGAGAAGGGAGAGATTGGTGTTGTCGTTGCAGAGCAGTAGTTTAGTAGAAATGACGATTACCTCAAATTTGAGTGTTTGCAATGTAAACAGAGAGTGTTGAAACATAGATATCATCTTTTGATATTGGTTTCAGCTAGAGATAACACATCAATTTGTCATGATATTATGTTACAAATTACGTTTTTGTAGATTAACACCCTCCTGACTTTGTTTATTTTAACAAATAAGACCCATTCTATCTTTATTTAATCTAAATAGATTTCGTAATCTTTCTAGAAACGTGTACTACTAATTGGGGTCTGTTTTATTATCTCTACTCCTCTGTGAAGAAGCAAGTGTTTACTGTTATATCTAGAAAGACAAAAAGACAAAAGGAGACACAAAAGGGACGAAGGGAAGTACAGTAAGACGGAAAGTCTCAACTCCCCCACATCTGCGTCGCTTCGCTTCCTCTTCAAGTTTTATTCTCTCTCTCTCTTTCTCACTCTCTCTTTCTCACTCTCTCTTTCTCACTCTCTCTCTCTGACAAACCTTAAAGATAACAGATCTCGAGTACATGTCATTTCTTATCGCCTTCACCACTTTCTCGGTTTGTTTGTTTCTCAGCTTTCCTGAGGAAACAAGATAAACTCGCGTATCTTCGCATCAAGTCTTCTCTTTTGTATAGGTGAGTAAGATTCAGCGATGTTGGAACTCATCTTACTGATCCTTTTTGTTTGTGTATCGTTACGATCCTTTATTTTTTCCGATTTCGACGAAATCATTTGCTGAAATTTCAGTTTAGAAATGTTCGGTAAAGTACTCCTGATGCATCGCTTTGATGTTTCTGGTTACATTATATGTATTTATGTTACAATGTTGTGTCTCGCTGCTGCTCAGTTCAGTTGATTCACTGTTGTAGACAAGGATATGAATTTTTTTTTTAATTGAAGATTGAGTTCTTAACAGATGCCAAATCAAAACTGGTAATGGTTTTCTTGATATCTTCCGCAGAGTGCAAATGGAAATGCAAGAGGATAGCTTGTGGAGTTTGTTTCCTGTTCAGGATGTTGATACGGTCTTAACCAATAGATTACTCTACCTTGATCTTTCTTCGAGACACTTCAAGGAAACACTTAAACAAACCATGCTTGGCCAAGAATCTGCCTTTGAATATCAGGTACGCTTTGTCATTCCCCACTTGTGGTTACACTGCTCTGTGAATATCACTCTTTCACGACTGTGTTTGTGTGTTCAATGGATGTTTCATTTCGGTGTTTCTTGTCTCTCTTGTAATTCTTGTCAGTTCAGATCCACGAGCTTCATCGTCTATATCAAAGGCAGAAGGATCTGATGATGGAAATGGAGGAAACCAACAACTTTTACACTCAACCTCAACATTTATACCCTGATGACAGGGGTCACTGGATGGGTTCTTGCATCTCCACATCTAAAACTAGCGTTTGGTCACCAGAAGACGCATCTGCCAAGACTGATGAAGCTGGAATTTCTGGAGATGAGATTGCTAAGTCTGGGGAGAAGCTCTTGGATCTTGAGTCACTGTCTTCTGGGTGTCGTGGTATATGGGAAGAAGAAGGTTTAAAGAATGGAGAAGTTCATGAAGCTCCCAACTTTCCTAAAGATCAATCTCCAAGAAGCATGTCTCTTGAATCAGTTGTCCAGCCGGGAAGTGTGCAGCATTTAACTGGTTTGTCAAAGTTCAAATGTATACTGGACTTGAATGAACCTGCCAAGATTGAGGATCATTCAGATTATGAGCTTAATCAGTTCCTAACTCCAGCCCAAACAAGTAGTGAAAGAGCAGAACCAGAAATGCAAGAGCCGGTGGTATCTGCAAAATGTCAAGCTGGTGAGTTATGTTTACTATATGGTACTTGAAAACCTTGTCTTGATTTAATGAAAGCTATCCTTGTCTTTTTTGAATTGATCAGTCACTTATTCTGTGCAGAGAATGGAATCGACTTGAATATGTCTCCCCTTTCATTTGAAGACGAAGTAACTATAACCAGGACGATAGAATCAGAGCAACCTCAAGGGTGTCTTTCAGCTTCATTGCACAGAAAACACGGATCAGCGCCATCACATTCACGAGTGATAGTTCTAGCGCTCCCATCTTCAAAAGCCATTCCGATCTTCCACAAACGTTACTCCCGGCCTAGGAAGAAAGCTATACGTGGAGCAAACTCCACAAATGCTGAAAACTTTCCTCCCAACAAAACCAGGAAACGCTCAAATCTTGTCTCAAACTTTGGTGTTAATGAAGATGACGACCATTCACTGAGTACTGCCTCATACATCCCTGATTCTGACCATCATCAAGAACGTCTGGAGAAAAAGAGTTCAAGTTCTGTGCCCGAGGTTAAGAGAAGAAGACGTTGTAAACCACAAGTAGAATCAGGCAAGGTTATGAGAAAGATATCAAGAACCAAATCAAAGACCAGAGGGAGATTTCTTGCTACAGAGGAAGAGGAAGAAGAATTATCTGTAGCAGCAGCAGAGGCTATAGTTGATATGTCACTATCAGATTTAGCTAAAATGTCCAGCATCAAAACTTCCTCTGATTGTATCACTTCTCTGCATTGGTTTGCTAAAATCGCATCTTCGGTTGTTGAGGACTCAAAGAGTAAAGTTGGACTATCGGTGACAGGAATCCACTCTGATTACCGAAGAGACTATATTGAGGCAACGACATTTCAGCTAACAGAGATGAAGCCAGAGCAGCAAAGAACTAGCACTTCAGTCTCTACCATTGTTCATCCTAAGCACAAGAGGAACCTGCGGAGTCAGGGAAAGCGACAACTGCACAAAGCCTCTCAGCGTCTACAGAAGAAGATAGGAAAGCTTATGGAAGGTTCTGAAACGAATGATGCTAACTCCAGCTTGATGGAAAATATGATAATCAATTGGGGGACAATAACAAAAGGAAGAAGAGGCATCAGAAGTCCTGCTACTAATACCAAAACCTTGATACCTTTTTTGCTTTCTGGTTCTTGAGGAATCAAAGTTAGTTACAGAGATAGTACTGAAAAAATTCACTAAATCAGTGAAACTTTTGGGTTTAGATTTTACAAGTTCATCCAAAAGCGGATGAAATCAAACTAGTACTTGTTTATATAAAATTAAACAAAAAGAAAGACTTTTATTATTCAGTTCACAGAAAGAAAAAACAAAGCTAAGAAATTTAAGGAGTAGAGAGTTGGGAAAAATAAGGGTCTTGAAGAGTTTCTTGAAGAAGATCCTCGTCGTCCCAAGAATCGCGAAAAGTTTCCAGATTTTCGATGGAATTCAATATAGAATTTTTACACAGCGTCTTCCTCCATTCCTCTAGATGTGGGAATCCAGTGTAATCCGCGTACGTATCGCTATACTGCAAATATCCAGAAAAATAAAACAGAGTCTTATCATCCATCAGGTGAAAAAGATGAACTTTGAGAAGACAAAGAAAAGGGGTGAAACTTATCAGTACATTGAAGTCGGCAATGTCGTGAGTGTTGCGTTTAGGGATACCATCAGCTTCTCTGGAGCTGTAGAAATCATAGATTGATTGCATCATTTGGTCAGAAGAAGGAAGAGTTATTTCGCCTGACAAGAGCTTAGCGATCCACTTCCCTTGTGATTCGAAGAATGGGAACCCTATCAACTGCAAACAAAACAAAACAAAAAAAGTTTGAATTTTTCTAATCAGAGTTGTAACTCGTTCGTGAGTTAACCGAAGATAGAATAGTTAGCAATCGTGAGTTGAAACCAAATGTACCTTGCGAGGGATGCCGACAAAGGAGAGGGAAGGGGACAGATAAGGAGAGAATGTATGCTCGAAGAGTGGACCAACTCTGTTGTCATCAACTTCTACTCTTCCTTTGCTCTCAAGAAATGGAAATTTGTAATCATACCTACACGTATTTATTTTGTCTCTTTGTTTTGTCAGTTTACATTAAAAGTTTCCTATATCTAACAATCACAGTAAAATACTCTATTATATATAATTAATCTGTCCTACAATTCTGACAATTCTTTTTTTGTTTGTAACTATTCATATGTATTTATATAAAATTCTGAGAAATAAAAGTGGAGCGACTATGTCGTCGGCCCCAAGATATTGTCGCTGAGTAATTTGACAAGATTTGTTATAGTCTCCACTCAAAAGTTCAACATGTGAGTCAATCATTCTAAATTATTTAAGAAAAAACTATATTAAAAGGTAACTAATCATAGACTAAACAACGTTTTTAACCTCTTTCGTGGAAGTTGGAATCACTTGACATATAATAAGGAAATGACCACTTGACCAAATTAACTCTTGTCGAAAATAAAATATTAACTTACCCGGTGCAGTACAAAAGGGTGTCGGCTACGACACAAGACCCATCTTCGAAAATGACCCGTCCATCTTCCTCTAGAGATTCAATCTACAACCATTTGAAACTAATCAAAATAATTTTTGTATCATATACTAGTGTAGTGTGTAGATATGTGATGAAGTGACGATGAGAGTGTACCTGAAGATGAAGATGGAGATTTTGATGTTTTGAAATGACTTTAGACAAGCCAGGAGGAATGTCAAGTGATTTGCCACTTAGATGAACTTCCTTTGCCACTCCCACAAGCTCTATTGATATGTCCTGTCCACTCAGTGAGCATCCAACGACCACCACTACCTACGCAACCATTACATGCATCATACACCATGAAATCATCACGTTTACAATCAACTAATTGCTATACAAATCATATATATAATTAATTAATTAGTCACCTCATCACGAAAAGGATCAGGCACTCTGTAGATATGGCTATGAAGTTGCTTCCTCTTCCACAAATTCATTCCTACAAACACCAAAATCATGAGAAACAATTAACACATACTCCTTTATAAATGATGTTTTAGCCAAAAAAAAACTGTTTCATTTTAAGCGATGTTTTTAATTTTCTATGCAAATATTAAATATATTTAATAATTTTTGACCAATCATATAATACATCATATTTTTTTATTGGTTGAATTTATTTTGTTTAATGATATTTTTATAGAAAAAAAGAAAAAGATAAAAAAAATTCTTAATATATGTGTAATAACACTAAACATCAGTTAAAAAGAAACGGAGGGAATACCGTTTATAATTAATTTCTTATTATGATGTTAATTATAAGATAAGACTCGAAATAAGATTTTATTTCTATAAACCAATTACCTTTGATGGAAGGCAATCTAGGATAAGAGTAATGACCAGATGCAACAACAACGGCATCAAACACTTCTTCCGTAACCTCACCAGTCTCCTTCTCTACAATCTTGACCATCCATCTCTTCATACGATCATCATCATCATCAGTCGTATCATCATTCACCATCCCCACAAAGTCAACCCTAACATTAAACCTAATCATCTCTCCTAACCCAAACACTTGACAAAAATCCTTAAGATACAACCAAAGCTCCTCATGCCCTGGGAATCTCCTCGCGTCTCTTCCTTCCTTTGCAGTGAAGGGGAAATCAGAGAAACCCATTACCTCTCTCGGGGAAAGCAACCTCAAGGATGAGTAAATACTGCTGTGTACCTTTAGCGTTTTGGTTTTTCCCAATGGATCTTCTTCTTCAACGTTTGGTTGGTATAGCCACTGACCTCCCACGTCGTTGTTTTGCTCCATCACCACCACTTTATGTCCTTCTCTCTTCAGCTCCCGTGCCGACACTAACCCTGATGGTCCTGCTCCTATAACACATACTCTCTTTGACAGACTCTTGACTGGTTCTGTTATCACTAGTACCATTCTTGTTGGTGGATCGATGGAGATGGAATGAGTTTTTGGTTTGGTTCTCGTGGTCTATCACATTGGTCACAGGGCATGCCTTATATAGTGTTTTTTTTCTTGTTTAGTTTTTAGTTTTTAGTTTTTTTCTCTTTTTGGGGGTCAGTTTTATTATAGTTGCCTTTTTAGTAATTAATTACCATAAATATTGGAATCAGGTGAAGGATTAAAATTTAAGAGATACAATACATGAACGCAGACGGCAACTCTATGGAAATAATCACATTGCTTGGTGAAGTGAATGAATCTATTCAAATCTATTCGAAATTAATGATGTACTCCTAGGTCAATGTCTTTTTTTCTTTTTCTCTTTTAGTCAACAGACAATATCTGGTTGATTATTCATTCAAATGTCATTACCAAGTCAAATGTGTTTGATTTATATTTGTAAGAAAATTAAATATATTTACTTACAGAATTTATTTGTAAGAATTTGTTTTTACTATATGATCATTTAAATGTCATTTCCAAGCTAATTAAATTCCTTTCAAGGAATAATGATCAACAATAGTTGTATTCATTTACATAGTTGAATGCATCTATTACATTCATTGATTTGCTAAATGAGACCAGAGACTCTGACTCTGACTCCGACTCTGACTCTGACCAATGTCAAGAAAAGAGAGAAACCCAACCTAACGTACGTCAATATATACAACAATTTCAATCTTTTCGTAGGTCAAGATAAATCAACACCTATTGGTATTCCTTTACATAGTTGAATGTTACTCTCACATACTGTGAAGGTATCATGATTGGGAAAATCAGAAGAGAGCTAGCGTACTGGAGAGGCATCATAAATTGTGGAGGTCGGACATATATAACTAATATTTTGATTTGATTAGTATATAATGTATAGTAGGTTGATATGTTTCTCGTTGTTTCTTGGCTCATGGGGAATTTTTTATATAGGTAGGTGGTTTTTTCTCTTCTTGTTGTTGGTTTTATTTTTGTTTTTAAAAAATATATTGGACGTCACCAGGACACGTGTTATTTGAAATATAATTTGTATATACACCCGTTAAAACATCTCATTCCAGTAATCTACCAAATTATTCTTGTTACCAAAAAGCATGGCTTACTAGATTTGCATTTCACAATAATTCATTTTTTTCACCAAATTTAAAGAGAGAATAGACAAAAAGTTGGTTTGCTTTTCCACAAATTTCTCTTACTTGGGAATATTACTAAATTAGTATAAAAATTATTTTAAACTTTTATATACTATACAATATTAGACAAAGTTAATGGATCATATATATATTGCATGTGGAGTATTTTAAACAAAAGATGATTTGAGCAAAACTACGCGTTAAACGCGATTACCAACATCATTAGTTTACTATTTCACGAGGAAATAGTTAATGTACATTTTCATATATAATTAGTGGATACGGACCAATGAAAATTTGTTTATACGCCACCAAGCTGGATAATTTGGTTAGGTGGTATATAACATATCATCTTTCATAAAATATATCGAAGTTGTTAACAAGATTTTAAAACTTCTTCAACATTATCTTCTCAACTATACTATACATGTCTCGTTTCATCTAGTAAAAAAAAAGAAAAGAAAAGGCATGACAACGTCGCACGAATAGGATAGCATATCTGACGAGAGAATCGGGACAAAATGATTGACGTGATCACGTGAATATGCATGTTATATTTTGCTTTCGACACAAACAAAAACGTGTTAATACGTCCCTACAAACTAAGTAATCAATAGCAAATTAACCTTTTAATTACCCAATATATAAAAAAAGTAATCAATAGCAAAATCATTGGTGTCATTATTGGTTAAGAAAAAGAATGGTAACAAACTTAATAATGATCATTATTCAAATTCTATGCTAATATATATCGGAGAAAACAATTAAATCTTGAGTTTTATTATTATTAAAAAAAAAATAACGTTACTACTGTCTCCTGATACAATAGACTAGTTAATGACTTATTATGTGGATGGATGCATCTACAATATTTAGCAAGCGATTTAAACTTATCAGACTTCACAGTGTACAAACAAGTTCATCAGAAACCATTTAGCAAAAAAAAGTTCATCAGAAACCGTGACTACATCCGGTATTCCGGTAAGCTGTACAAGAGAACAAAGAACTAGTATCGAAGGAGAAGCTACGAAGATTCTTCTTGAGCCAGCTTCTCTACTGGGCTTTCCAGCGAGCGTCTCTCAGGCCCAGCTAGAAACCCATCTTTCCCCTCATTAGTAGTCTCCGGTTTAATTCAACCTGTTACCAGGCCTACGTATACGGTTGATAGAGTAAATTAAAACTAAAGTCAAAATATGTACATGAAGATTAGCATACTATATATATAAACAATCACAAGTTTTGATACTTGGCATGTTCCTATACAGTCGAATAAGAATTTTATAGCTTATTTATTTATTATTGCTTGGAGAAAAAATTACCTCGTTTCTTCTTTCTCGTGGTATTCAAGGGAATATATATAAGACAAACACACCAAGTCCAACAATATTGGAGCCTCTCTTAATTGGGAACGTTTAATGGATAATTTGGTTAAGCAAAGGAGACGAAGGTACACACGTCCATAATCTCTTCTTCTTCTTTTTTTTAGAGATTATTTGTGTATATTTTTGTATACATTTAACCAAGCAAAAAGGACATTAGTTGTATATCCCTTAAAGAAACATTTGTGGAACTAAAATAGTACGTTTTCTTGATCTTTTGTAGGGTTTCAATTTCTGAGAAGAAACAAACAGATTTCCCAACATCAGAATTGGACATAACCGGTAATTTCCGCTAGCTTGTTTACCATCTGTTTAATCTTAATTTGAATATGAAGATTTTGTAAGATGTATGATCAAATTTTTACATTCTTAAATATCATATATTGAAGATTATCCAGCATTGAACTGGCTGAAAAACCAGTCATATTGGTACGAGAAAAATGATTATTATAACGAAAAAGAGAGCGAATTTGCAATTTCTGTCGCGGCTGCTGCATTCGTCATTAGATCAATGGAGGAAGCCGATAAACTAAAAGCAAAGAGAAGAAGAGAAGAAATCAAGAGGTCACGGACAAAGATAACCAAACCGGTTACACCTAATACCGAAGAAAAGAGGTTAAGCAAATCATATACGCAAGAGGTGAAAATTGGAGGTAATTTATAAATCTTTATAAAACTAACTAGCTAAGTGGGTACTACTTAATACTATTTTGTAATCAAAGATTTACACTGAAATGAAAATATATATTTTAATAAGTTATTGACATTTTTATTTTCCTCTCAGAGAGTTTTAGAAAAAATCCACTGGAGTATCTGCCAAAAAACCATAGTGAAAAGGAAATTGGCTCTTCCTACACAACAACAAGACTTCCTTTAGTGCCAAGTAAAGCAGATTCTTGGGAAAATTCTCAAATTAAGAAAATAAGACTAAGGTGAGGTTTCATTCAATTATTAATATCCAAAGTATATATATATCTATACTTGTTATTAGTTACAATTATGTATATATATATATACTTGTTATTAGTTACAGTAAACTCTTTTTGAAGGTATGAGAAAATGAAAGCTGAAATTGTGGGCTGGGAAAATAAGAGAAAATTAGCAGTTAATCTGAGAATGGAGAAACGAAAGGTTATTTTCTAAAAAATGAAATCAATTGTTTTGTATTATCATTGTGAATATTATTTCAGGCGACTAATATACGATTTTGTTTCATACATGGTAATAATAAAGAGTGAATTAGAGAAGAGAAAACAAATATACAATCAGCATTATAAGTCACAATTAGCAAGGATTTATCTAATTGCTGATGGAGCCAAGAAACAACTTGAAGAGAAGAGCAGGAGCAAAGAAGCTCGCGTTCATGAAAAAGCAAAGAAAATGCGACCAACGAACAAAGTTCCTACAAACTATTTCTGTTTTCGGTGTTACTAACTAACTAAAATTAAATTAAAAAAATTCTCTCAATGAATAAAATTATATTTGTAAGTATCTACAAAATAAGATTTGAGAAACTCAAATCAGAAATAAAGAGAGTAAGTACCTCTAAGTATGATTATGTCTTTCATCACCATGCATAATATTGCAATTTTCTTCTTTTCTCCCCAACAAAAACTTATTTGTTATAATTTTCTCCAAAAGACATTTTCTAAATGATCAAAACGAAAAATTGATAATGCTCAAAAAGAATCAAATAATTAAGTTGATGTGATTGTTGATGTCTACGTAGACACGCTCTCTAACCCTATGATCCACATGAATAGTATTATCAATACTAAGACGAGTAAACACCCAAAAAAAAAGGGACCAAAAAGGATTTTGATAGATTAATTGATAAACTCTCGATTTGGTAATTACGATGTGCTCTCAAAGGAAAAATGAGGCATTCTTTGGTCCAGCCAGAGGTTTCTCCATTGGTAAGTAGCAACAACTGCTCTATATATGTCGTGGCCAGGACCACTCGCATTTACTTTTCTCTATTTTTTTTTTTTGTCGACAATTTTTTTTTGTTTTTGTTTTTGCAATTTTCTCTATCAATAGATTTTTGATAACTTTAATTATATATATATAGACGCGGTTTACAAAAAAAAAAAAAAAAAAAAAATTATATGGATGCGATGTTCTCACTCAAACTATGACGTGAATACTTAGAGATTTAAAGCTCACTTAACTAGTTTGATAAATATGATGTTTCCCTTCGGATTATTATAAAAGCGATCTTCCTCACTTGTGTGTGTGTTTGTTCTTCTTGAAAGACTAAACACTCTTTTTGTTCTCTACATCTAATTTTAATCTGAATATTATTACCCAAAAAAATAAAAATCATTTGGTCATAATAATAGTTACCATCAACTAGAATTGGCAGCGATCAAAGAATCAGTTATCGTAAATCAATTGATTAATAGAAAAAATAATTGATGTGAAGAATCTAATTCACATAGGGAGGATTGAAGAGATAAACTCAAGAAGGAGCGTTAGGATTAGCTGTCAGGGATCTAATGCGAGAACTTGATTGGCTGCAACCCATTCACAGATCAACAACATTGGGTCCCAAAACCAAACCCTTCCAATAACATCTATCCACGTCAGAATTAAGACATCAGTTTCTGAAGCCTGTCGGCCGTAGCTCGAGCGGGGGTGGGTGTAATCACTTAAGATCTTGATGTGACATCAAATGATTGGGAAATCTCTCTATACAGATTTAGAGAGGGAGGGCTTATCTCGTATTTATCCATTTCACTCTATAGACTTTCTATAATGTTCATATCTATATATGTATGTGCATTTCTTTTCTTCTTTCTCAACATCATATATTTCATTCATATCAACTTGTTCCACTACTAGAAGGCTTATATAGCCTCTCAACTAGGTTGTAGCCAAATCTGATACAAAAGTACGACTTCACCAATAAACCAATGATTGAAGAAATTAAAAAAAAAATCAATTTTACCTCTGCTTACAAAACTACCTTGACGGCTGGGTGTTATTAGGTAATAATCTCCAGATCACCGATGCACATGAGCGTCCTATTCCTATACGATATTTAAATAAGTGAACGATGTAAAACTAACCATATCTTAAAACAAGAATTACCAAGAAATCCAATTAAAATTGGAAAATATAATTTTTCAGAGAAAGAATAGATTATAAAAGAGGCTGAGAAGTGAGAACATAAAAATGAATTATTATTCCTACTCACTCGCAACTTGCAACAAATATCTCTAGTAGGGTGTGTGGTGTGCATCAACCTCACATCTCTCACTCTCATTTTTTTGACATTCGGAATACCATACTATAGTTTCGGATTCTAACGTGTTTACTCCAATAAATATTCCACATCTTGTTTTCTATTATTTAATGCATCTATATTTGTATGTATATTTTCAACTTCGTTTATATAGAATTGATGAAACTTACATTTTTTTAATATACGAATAATAAAATACATATCTATTATTAGAAATGTGCTTGTTTCTAAATCGGTGAATCACACGCTTCGCTATATCTACCGAGTAGTCAAAGACCCAATGCGTGCAATGAGCTAGCTAGAGAGATTTCAATGTTGAGAGCAACATGACGTAAAAGCCCTTATTTAATTAGTTTTTTTTTTTTTTTTTTTTGCTTGGCAAGGGAGAGGCAAAACACAAACAATCATCCTTCGCCACACATGTGCTTCTTCGTCCACATAAAAACCATTTTGACGTTTTGCAGGGACCATTTTAGAGAGAGAGAGGGAGAGAGGAGACAAGAAGAGAGAGAGCCTCTTTATTATAACATCAATATGATGGATCAAAGGCAGATACACTGCATGAGTTGTCGCTGTGTGATTGTGGAGAGTTTGCAAACTAAGAAGAAACAAGATTACAACATTTTCAAAGCAAAGAAGAACGAGAGAAGAGAGAAGAAGATCCAGCCACAAAAAAAAAGAAAAAAAAAGAAGCTTATTGTCAGTTTATTCTTTGCAAACGTGCGGTCTAAGTAACACATGTACTTCTCCTCTGTTTCTGATAAACAACTCTTCTCTGTTTCCACCAAAAAGAGACAAGGCCCTCACGCTTCTGTCTTTGTTTCCTACTCTTTGTCTCTCTCTTAACGCCAAAACAATTTCCTTTTTTGGTGAGTCAGGTCGAATTACGGAGTGAAAGAGCTCACATGGGAAAATGGGCAACTAACCGTCCATGGTCTAGGCGAAGAAGCCGAACCAACCACCTCGAATAACCCTATATGGACCCAAAGTCTCAACGGATGTGAGACTTTGGAGTCTGTGGTTCACCAAGCGGCTCTACAGCAGCCAAGCAAGCTGCAGCTGCAGAGTCCAAATGGTCCAAACCACAATTATGAGAGCAAGGACGGATCTCGTTCAAGAAAACGCGGTTATACCCAAGAAATGGACCGTTGGTTTGCTGTTCAAGAAGAAAGCCACAGAGTTGGTCACAGCGTGACTGCAAGTGCGAGTGGTACCAATATGTCTTTGGCGTCTTTTGAATCTGGCCGGAGCTTGAAGACAGCTAGAACCGGAGACAGAGACTATTTCCGCTCTGGATCGGTAAGACCTATCCAAAGTACTTTTCTTTTCTTTGCAAAGACAACTCAACCAAAAGAGGATTCTATATACAGGAAACTCAAGATACTGAAGGAGATGAACAAGAGACAAGAGGAGACGCAGGAAGATCTAATGGACGACGGGGGCGAGCAGCAGCGATTCACAACGAATCTGAAAGGGTAACAAAACAAATCGATCTTATTTTTCAAGCCGCAATCGCCAAACTTTTTTCAAAAATCAATACTGACTCATTATGAGTAATTGATGCAGAGACGGCGTGATAGGATAAACCAGAGGATGAGAACACTTCAGAAGCTGCTTCCTACTGCAAGTAAGGTAAATCTATATCCTAGAAGAACCCACTTTTAAGTTTAAGACTCTTTCTTTATCAGAAACCGGTTATTAAACCTTGAGTTTTTTGGATATTTCAGGCTGATAAGGTATCGATCTTGGATGATGTAATTGAGCACCTGAAACAGCTACAAGCACAAGTTCAGTTTATGAGCCTAAGAGCCAATTTGCCACAACAGATGATGATTCCTCAACTGCCCCCACCACAGTCAGTTCTCAGCATCCAACAGCAACAGCAGCAGCAGCAGCAGCAGCAACAACAACAACAACAGCAACAGCAACAGCAACAACAGCAACAGTTTCAGATGTCGTTGCTTGCAACAATGGCGCGGATGGGAATGGGAGTCAGTGGCAATGCTTATGGAGGTTTAGTTCATCCCCCTCCTCCTCCTCCTCCACCATTGATGGTCCCTCCTATGGCTAACAGAGACTGCACAAACACTTCTTCAGCCGCTTTAACTGACCCGTACAGCGTCTTTTTCGCACAGGTAAAACCTTCTTTAACTGTTTCCGAGAAAGGTGTTCAGAGATATAAAAATCTTGAGCTCACTGTTGTTTGCCATGATGCTGCAGACAATGAATATGGATCTCTACAACAAAATGGCTGCAGCGATCTATAGACAACAGTCTGATCAGACTTCTTCAAAGGTAAATACCGGCATGCCCTCAAGTTCTTTGAATCACGAGAAAAGAGATTAGTCTATAGCGAGTATTATTGATCCCTATATACTTCTTGAAAGATTGTTGTATCGTGATTGTAAAAACTGTTTTGAGTAAGGAAAAATACATGCAAAGATAAAACTTGAAAGCTTCACATTCATTCAGTAATGGTCAAAGTACGCAATAAACACTTTTGCTATTTTGAGGACAGTAACAAGAAAATTATGTCTCTCTCTCTTGCTCTCTTCCTCTTAAAATCTGTTCTCGAAGTTTAAAATCTTGTATGTTAATATATCATATGCACAAATAAACTTTTTTCTTTTTCTTTCACTGTTCGGAGACCAAAGGCCTAACCTTAGACGCAGATGTGGTGGCCTTGGTTCGACCTGGTTTTTGAGATGTCTTAGTGTCCTGAAGAGAGATAACAGTTTCAAAAGCACCAATAAGAGCTTTCACTTTGTTCTTCCTCACCTTTGTGAGCCTATTCACTGTCTCCTCAATCACACTGTTTACCAATGTAATCATCTTCTTCTTCCCTTCTACTTTTCGATGCCTCAGAACAACCTTCTCACGTTTACTACTTTCGCAAGAACCGCTTTCCCTCTCAACATCCAATCTTTTATCTTTAAGATTTTTCTTCTTTCCTTCGGTTTGCGTTTTCAACTCCTGCACAGCCCTCTTTCTGAACTTGATCCATCTTGGAGAAGAATTTTCAGGTTTCGGCTCAAGAACCTTTCCTTTCTTGAAAGACAGCTGATGAGCTAGAGTCACCTTTACTCCTGTCCTCTTAGGCCTAATCTTCTTCTCGGCTTTTGGACTCGCTTCAGGGTCTGCAGAACCAGTTTCTTTTTTCTTAGTCATCAAACCGGTACTGATTTTACCAGGAATCTGCTTAGTGGGACTAGAACAACGTTTAGGAGTAGTCAAGCTTTTATGTCCACTTCTCATGGTTTTGTTCTCAGATGATTCCTTCTTCTCACTCTCAACATCTTTGACGCTAGATTCAACAACACACACAGTCTTCTCTTTGACATCTTCACTGTTAATTGTCGGAGTCTTTGCCTTTTCCACATTCTTTGGAGCAGAAACCTTAAAACTTCCGGCGCCACTGACCCTTGAAACCTTCCCCATAACATTAACAGCAGTATTTGACTTCTCATTTCTCAAGCCAGGAACCTTTTTAACAACAGAGGAACCACTCAGAGTACTCTCTGTTTCTTTATTTTTCCGCGTTCTGTCATAGCTTTTAACGCTAGAACCATCAACAGAACTTGCAATCTCACTACCTTCTTTGGAGCTAGATTGTGAATTAGCAGAAGAAGCAAATGGTTTTCTTTTCACAGACAATGTATCCCCCTTTGCAGCAACAGAACTCTCCGGTTTGGTTCCAGGAACCTGTCTACTCAGACTTCCCAACGACTTCCTTGTCAAACTTGAAGTCTCAACTTTGATCAAAACATCTGAGCCTTCAACACTCTTTCTCCTAGCCATCTTCCACGGTTTCACGGCATCATCTTGATCACACCTCTTCCCATGTTTACACAAATCATGAGTCGAAGCCACACGATGATTCCCACGATAACGGGACTGAACCTGCGGTTTACCCATTGTTCCAGTCGAATGACGTCTCAAAGTAGCACCTTGTGGCTTAGGCACTTCATTGATCTCTGGTATAATAATCTCTTCTTGATCCTTGGATACCACAGATGTAACATCTTCCACCTCCGTTACATTTCCTGTTTCCACGGAAACTTCTTCAGACATCACCAGAGGATTTGTACCGCAAGAATTCTCAATCTCATTGACCTCTGAAGTATTCTCCTCAGCCATTGCCAAACCAGACCAGACCTGTAGAGGAAACAGAGTCCATTACCAAAAAAAATTCAATATTAAAAGAAAGTTTCAGGTTTATAAACAAACAAATAAATCCATTCATCTAACATATCTATGAACAGAGCACTTATGCTATACAAAAGTAGTGCTTCTTTGTGTCTCCAAATTAATTACCAAGTCTGATCAGATTGTAGAATTGGACATCATTAAAAAAAAAAAACAAAATCTTAAAACAATAAGATGACTCAACAATTCTTCTAATTTCAAAGAAGGGACAAATTAAACGATGTTGACTTCAAGAGTCTCGATCAAAAGTGTGATATTTTCATCGTCGATCATCATCAAATTCATCATTACCTAAACGACAAAATTGAAACAAGTCACTCGTATGCATACAACTAAACGAATATAAATTGACTTTATGATGAGGAGATTAAAGGACAATGACCTAATTCTACAGTAAACGCAATAACTACACGCTTAAAAACCCTACCAAAACAGTTTCAAATAAACCGTAACCAAAAAGTATATCAAAAGAAATCAAGAATTCAGATACCTTTAGATTGCTTCCTTAACTCTTATTCTCAGAGAGCTACAACAGAAGAAGAAGAAATATGAACAAAAAAATAATATATATATATATATATATGAGAGAAAATGTGTATATATATATATGAGAGACCAAGAAGTTTGCTAATCTTCCCAAAACGAGATTAAAAATTATGTTTAGTTGGAAACAAATAAAGATTTGATTGTAAGGAAAAAGAAACACGCAAAAAACACACACAAACAGAGGAGGCAAGAAATCTTTTTGTGCAGAAGTCTTGTGAGAGAGGGGAACAAGTCCTTTATTTTTTCATTTTTTTTTTAATACTAATCTTCTTATTTTAATTAAAATTTGAAGTTACTTTAGCTCGATTTATTATTTAATGTTTCAAATCTAGTTTTAAGTTATATAACTTGGATTTGATGCTATCGAAAAGAATCGGTGTTATTTGAATTTATCATTAATCTCTATATTATTTATTTCCAAAAAGCAATTGGAACTATGCATGAATAATTCTAATAAAGTTTATCATTTATTATGTTAAAAATTTTACTTCTCCTTTGGTTCGCTGGTTATGAGGGATGAGATGGAACTATATTTTTTTGCAGAAACGTATCTTACGATCTCTCCGTTGGTGAATGACTTCTTCTACTACCAACATTGATGGCATCGCAAGGTGGTTTGGAGTGGGTTTATTCTCCCAACCGTATTTCTGGTTCTATCCTTACTCTTTGGTTCAACTCTGGTTCCTTTCGAACTAAATGGGTTTCGTAATAGGCTTTGCCTTAACCTCGTTCTCCTTAATCGATAAAGTTCATTACAATAACATACTAAAAACACACGTAACTAAACCCAACACAATTGGGCTTTCATTAACTTCAGGCCCATTGGCCCTTTTCTTCATAAGTGACATAAAGTCACGCTTCCTCGTTGCTCTTTGTCTTCTTCCTCTTTGTTTACTTCTTCTTCTTCGTTACTTCCTTCTGCAACTTCTTCTACTAACTCTTATTTCTCATACTTGATTCTCTTGTGCATGATTGATCAAAGATGAGATTCCAACATCAAGTACGTTTAGGAGGTATGTAAGCGTCAAATCTTCAAGTTATAATTCTAGGTTTAGGTTTCTCTTAGTTTTCGATTTTGTTTCATCCGATCCGAGTGTTGTTTGAATATAATTAAAATATATAAATCCAACCACTTTGGTTTTGTTTTCCTACAGATTTTGTTTCGATGGCCATGGATAATAATGATGCAATCACCGCGGATGATCATAAACGTGCGGATCAAGACAGCAAAGACGCTCAGGAGGATCTTGCTTCCTTGGAGAATTCTTCTCGGAGAATCCTCAGAGAATCATCTTCGGCCACAACTCATACCTATTTGTTAAACTCCAAGGGTTTGGTGAGTGCAGAGCTTATTAAGGATGATATGATTCTGGTCGTTGGTTTAGGTTTGTCCCTCTGCGACTCGCTCGATAACACCACGAAACTGGAGACTAATAAAGCTCTGAGAAACCAGAAGCTGGCTCACCCAGAAGCTGCGGAACTGGCTGCCATCATTCACGGATTGAATTGGGCCTTGGAACTTGGTGTGGAAAGTATCCAATTCTTCTGTGACGACTCCTCCAATATCTTGGGCTACGTAAGTTTCTTTCTTCTTCAATTTTACCTTGAATCCGATATCCTGTACCGCTGTACGTGTCTTGTTATACACGCCTCTCATGTTTTTACAGGTTACTCGTAAAGTTATACCGAACGAGTCCATTGTAGCAAAACTTTTGAAGCAAGTGTTTCTTCTTCAGACAAGATTCACGTCTTGTCAGGCACTCTCTGTAAGCAGAGATATGACTTCTGTCGTCAAGCTAGCAAGAGATGCTATAGCTTCCCAAACTAGATGGTTTGAAGGAGACACCGAGTATGAGAGTTGTCCAGTCTGCTACGGTTACGTTTCGCCTAGTGATAAGTTTGAGGTGCAAGGCTGCTTCCACCGCATCTGCGTTACGTGCATGAGGAAGCCCTTCTCATCCGAACAAATCCTACGAGGGAACACAGCAATCTGCCCTTATCCGGATTGCGAGAATGATCTTGTGCCAGAAGATTGTAGAGGTTTTGCAGATGATAATGCTATTACTCTTATGATCCAGCGCAAGAAGGAAAAGGCGATCCCGGTTAAAGACAGAGTCTATTGTCCCAACCCTTGTTGTTCGTTTTTGATGTCGGACCTCGACCTCAACAGCCACGTAGGCAATAATCCTTGTCAGTTGTCAGAAGAACGGAAGTGCAAGGAGTGCGGCTTGTCTTTCTGCAAAAAATGCCATGTTCCATGGCACCACAAGAAGACGTGTGATGAGTTTAAGAAGTCGGAGTCATACCTGAAATCAGACCCGGCGCTTTTGGAGTCTTTTGTGAAGACACAGGGATGTAAAATGTGTCCCCAGTGTCAGAGCATCATTCAACATGGTGGAGGGTGCATGCAAATGACTTGCAGGTATGGTATATTGGATAATATTGAGCCTGCAAGTTTTATATTTATCTAGATTTGACTTTAATAATCTGTGTTTTGTTCATGGCAGAAATTGCAAACACGACTTCTGTTACACGTGTGGGGCTGCGTGTAAAAAGAAGAAACTGACATGTAAATGCTCGCGTTCAGGGAAATAAGCTTGACATATATATATCCAAGCTAGGTTAAGCTTGACTATATACATCACTCCAAATAGTTGCTTATATAACTTATGTATAAGACAAGTGACTTGTTTTGATGATATTGAAGATATTTATTAGTGATATCATACTGTTACTGTGTCTCTGAGAGCCAACTGTGAATTTTGTGTCAATAGGCTAGTTTTAGTCGAGCAATTATGTATGTCCTCTGTTACTGTAGACGCTAAATGCAAAACCGAACCAGTATGTGTTCGTGCAATAACTTTAAATCGCACTAATTACGGTTTAAAAAATAGTTTTTGGTACAGTTTCGGTTTGGTATAAACGGTTTAATAACTAGACCGAGCACGATTTATAAACAAACCTATTAAAGAAGAAGAAGAAGATGCCATAAAATTAAAATTACAGAGACTCTCTCTAATGAAGTGTTGTCAACGCCAAGAACATAAACATCTCCTCTCTCTCTCTCTCTCCCTCCTTTGAGTTTGAGTCCCCCACAGCCACACAGTTTAATGAATCAAAGTCTCTTCTTCATAGAAGCTGATTTCTAAGGTCAGTTTCTGTTTTCTGATCGTTTATTTTGATCATTAGATATATATTATCATGAATGATCCCTTCAAAGTTCAAGCTCTACATTTTTCATACTATACATGAAATCGATTTAATTATTATCATTATCAAAGGTTAAGTTAAGAGATTAAAAGTTAGAAAAAGAAAATTAACTGGTTGACTTGACTTGATAGTTGATATTGACTGTGCCATCATCGTCTTCATTGAGACCAACTTGGCGTTTTGAGTTTTGTCTTTATTCCAAAGTAATCCAAACCCAGAAATAAAATTCTTAAGTTCCAGAGACTATTTCATTTCTTTAATTTAAATATTATTAATGATTACATTACATCACCCAAAAAGGTCAACTAAATGCTCTTTGCCCATGCGTGTTTCTGTGAGTTTGGTAACTACAATATTTTGACTAATCTAATTAAATGTAAATTGGCCAAACTAAAATCTAACAATAATCACTGAACAATAGTATACCATAGTTAAACAATCAAATTTTGCTAATTCAAAGAAAGTATCACAAATGACATATCCTATTCTTTTAAGAACGATATGGTTTACTTTTCAACTCTAAATTTGAATAAGTGTTTTTTTTTTTCTTAATAAATATTATGGTTGTTATACCATTGAACAAGCGTCCAAATATATTGTTTTGTTTTTTTCTTCCTAAAGTACATCTCTAAATATTCTGGTTTCCTCTGTAATCATTTGGCTTGTTCTGATTAAGCAGGTTTGAGTTCTGCTCTTCTTGTGTCATTTTTATACTAATCTTGGTTTCTCTCTTTAAAGGTCACTTTTCTTTACAGCTCAACGTAATCAAAACGTACGTGAGGCTCAAACAAACTAAAAATGGGCGGCAACGTTGTGTTCTTGATCAGTAGTATGCTTCTACTACTTCCCATTACTTTTGCTAGCGATATGGAACGAGCCATCATGGTTATTGACGGTGCACGTCGAATCGCTGAGACCGATGAGAACTTTGTCTGCGCAACGCTTGATTGGTGGCCACCTGAAAAATGCAACTATGATCAGTGTCCTTGGGGTTACGCCTCTCTCATCAACTTGGTATATACACAACTTTTAGCTTTTTGATCCGTAAAGCTCTTCTTTCTTTTAATCTTTTGAATGATTTCAGAACTTATCTTCTCCTCTTCTTGCAAAAGCTATTCAAGGTTTGTGACCTCTATCACAATACCGGGTATTTGATTCTCTTTATAGACTTTTTTTAATTGAAATATTTTGATTGTTGTTAGCTTTTAGGACGTTGAGGATTAGAATAGGTGGTTCCTTGCAAGATCAAGTGATTTACGACGTTGGAGACTTGAAGACCCCTTGCACTCAGTTCAAGAAGACTGACGACGGATTGTTCGGATTCTCTAAAGGATGTTTGTATATGAAACGATGGGACGAACTTAACCATTTCTTCAACGCAACCGGGTAAGTGTGTGTCATCCTTAATTTACTATGGTGGTTCTATATGTGCCCTATCCCACAAAGGACTGAATCTTAGCTATAATTCCGCAGAGCTATTGTGACTTTCGGTTTAAACGCTCTGTATGGGAGAGATAAAAGCACCGGAAACGCTTGGGGAGGGGATTGGGATCATAGTAACACTCAGGATTTCATGAACTACACAGTCTCAAAGGGTTATGCTATAGACTCGTGGGAGTTTGGTAAATAGAATGTGCTACATCTCTCTCTCTTTTCTTCCATGTGCTCGGTCTGTTGGATATGTGCTTACAACTCCAAAACCAAATAGTGGGGATCCTAACATTAGTTTTCTTTCGGTCATTCTTGTTCTTGACTAGGTAATGAGCTTAGTGGAACCGGGATTGGTGCTAGCGTGAGTGTAGAGCTTTACGGGAAAGACTTGATTGTACTGAAAGATGTTATCAAGAAAGTTTACAAGGATTCTCGGACCAAACCTTTGGTTGTAGCTCCAGGTGGATTTTATGAAGAAAAATGGTACTCAGAGCTTCTTCGCATCTCTGGACCGGGTGTTCTTGATGTCATGACTCATCATATATACAATCTTGGTCCAGGTCTGTGTATAAGAAAACTAAGTCAATCTTTGTAGCTTTCTTACACAATGTTGGGTTTTAAATTGAACTGAATATTGCAGGGAATGATCCTAAGCTAGTGAATAGGATACTAGATCCAAATTACTTGAGCGGGATTTCGGGCACATTCGCAAATGTAAACCGAACAATTCAAGAAAATGGACCTTGGGCTGCTGCTTGGGTTGGAGAAGCCGGAGGAGCGTTTAACAGTGGTGGCCGTCAGGTTTCTGAGACATTCATTAACAGCTTCTGGTAAGACACAAATCACACAATCAAAACCCACTTTTCATAGTTCTATAGTTGACAAATATAAACTCTTTACCTTAGGTACTTAGACCAGCTCGGTATGTCCTCAAAGCATAACACCAAAGTATACTGCAGACAAGCTTTGGTCGGAGGTTTTTACGGTCTGCTTGAAAAGGAAACGTTTGTTCCCAATCCAGACTACTACAGGCAAGTATATAAACCTTAAACCATAATTCCTAAACCAATATAATAAACTATAGGTGAGTCATAACATAAACCTCTTGATCTCGAAAAATTTGACCAGCGCGCTTCTTTGGCACCGTTTGATGGGTAAAGGCGTTCTTGAGGTTCAGACAAATGCCTCGGAGTATCTACGAGCCTACGTTCATTGCTCCAAAGGAAGAGTGAGTGTTTATCTCTCTACCTGTTGTCCCTGAATCATCCTCTAGTTTCGAATTTGTAACTGTTGAGTCTATCATTTCAGGCGGGAATAACGCTGCTTCTGATTAATCTGAGTAAGCAAACAACGTTTACAGTGGGAGTCAGCAATGGCGTGAAGGTTGTTGTGCAAGCAGAATCGATGAAGAGGAAATCCTTCTTGGAAACAATCAAGAGCAAGGTTTCTTGGGTCGGAAACAAGGCTTCCGATGGTTTTTTGAACAGAGAAGAGTATCACTTGAGTCCACAAGATGGTGTCTTGCGTAGCAAGATAATGCTCTTGAACGGTAAACCTTTAGTACCAACAGCCACGGGAGATATCCCAGACCTTAAGCCAGTCAGGCAGGACGTGAAATCTCCAGTTTATGTCAATCCGTTGTCGATCTCATTCATCCTGTTGCCGACCTTTGATGCTCCTGCCTGTTCTTGAAGAGGATTGTTATTTGTAAAATTCAAACATTGAAGATACTATAAATTTCTTGGCAATTGTATGTATTATCTAATGTAACACTGGCAAGCGTTCATTCCAATCTAAATATTTCTCTTATACTGTTTATAGTATTCTCATTTGATTAAGGAGGAATATAGATTAGTAGAATGTGTCTAACTATACAATATGAAGATAAAAACTTGTAGTCTTATGTCTTCTTTCACTTGCAAAGATCAACAGACCATACAAAAAATTCGATAATAGCGAAGAGGACTAAAGTGGAACCGAGTCTAGGTAATTCTGAGACGTTTTCTCGAGAACCTTCTAGATTCTTCTACGCGGTCACACGGCAAAATCGGCATCAGAAACTTCTAGAACTTTGTGGGTACCAATTGGGTTCACGCCTGCCTTGAACATGTTGCCTTCAATGTACCTACACCATCAAATCAGATCTCTTCTTGTCAGAGTGGAGATTGAAGAAAGAAAACTTTCAACTTTTCTGCAAAATCAGTCATCTGAAACTCATCCAGATAGATGAATTTACATACAACTGTTTCACATTGTTCAAATTCTTAGATCGTTATGTCTGTGTAAATGCTATGTTGTAACATGAGAATTGGGTGGGAACTCACATTTCTTTGAGGAATGGGTGCTTGTAGAAAGCATCTGGGATTCTCCCACTAAATTGGTTGTGATCAAGGTACCTAGTTTCATCAACATCATGATCCCATGAGAATGCATATTTCCTCTTACATAGTAAGCAAATCAGAGACAAAGAAAAAGTTCAGCAATCTATCACAAAGACTTACAAGTATGTCAGTTTAGGAATATGAGCAATTGCAAAAGGAATGTTTCCGATAAATTTGTTGTAGGATAGGTACCTGCAGAACAAACAAAACGAAGATCAGAGACCTCCCAATACAAATTACTGTAGATTACTTGGAGAATAAACTCCGAGTTATTGTGCAGTGTAAAATGCTTACACAATCTCTAAGTTTGTCAGATTTGAGAGTTGAGCAGGGATCCCTCCACTCAAATAGTTATTATTCAAGTACCTAAAGTAGAGATTTTGAAAAGAGAACGCAATGAATATAATATATAAGATAAAATGAAAGAGTGAACCAAAGCCTGGATTCTGAAGGGATGCTTACAAGTTGCGAAGAGCTGGGAAACTTCCATCAAAACGGATGAGCTCCCGTATAGTTCCCACCATATGGTTGTTACCAACATCTCTGGGACACACCAAACCAAAATCTCAGTAAATTCAATGGAAAGTAATGATAAAAGACGCAAACTGTATGTAGGAGATGGCATTTGGTGTTTACAGGTGGCGGAGATTTTGCAGTGTGCCCAGTTCTGCAGGGATTCTACCAATGAGACGGTTTTCTTGAAGATATAGATACCGAAGCTCAGGAAGAGCAGCTAGTTCCTTTGGAATTTCTCCCTTAAAGCTATTGAAGCTTAAGTACCTTTAAGATACAAAAGAAATCATAATTATTTTGGATACAGATGGACAACCATAAGAATCTAAAAAGGAAACACAAAGGTACTGACAAATGGGTTAGTCTCTTCAGCTCCCCAATCTCAGCGGGAATCACATCTTGTAGTTTATTCCACCTCAGGTTTCTAATTGGAGAATAGAGTGAATGGTTAGGCGAAGAATTTGTAAACATGAGCATGATATGATGATACAACTAACACAATCCTGTCACAGAGTTTCACAGTTTAAAACTGTGTTTCTGAAGAAAATTGGATACTATTTTGAGTTTGGTTCCAGAGCAGTATATTGGGATAAAATGGAAAACACAGTAAATCAACAATATATTTGTAAGAGCACAAGGAACATACAGTACTTTCAGCCGTTTCAGTCGCCCAATTTGTGGAGGGATTGGACCAGTCAACTTGTTGTTATGTAGATCGCTGAAAAACCAAAACCATTTTCAATTTAACCCTCTCAAACAGTAAAGCTCTAAGGATTTCTCAGGCATTGCACAACAATCACAAAAGTAAGTATTTCAAAGAGCTGTTACATAGATCAACATAGACACTCATTTCTAAGGTTTTAGAAGGTAACTTACAGTCTGGTCAAATCCAAAAGATTTGTTACTGCGATGGGGAAAGGTCCAACAATCGAAACGGCATAAACTTCTCTGCAAATCAGACACCGATTTAGCAAAGCAGGTTGATACAGAAGAAACACACAGAAGTGAGAATAAACAAGAACTTACAATTCTGTGACAACCCTATAGTCTCCTTGTGTAGAACAGGTGACACCAGACCAAGGTGGAAGGTCTCCATCTCCACAAGGGTCATCACCGACCCATGAATACACCACTCTCCATCCCAAAGAAGCTTTGATTTCATTCAAAGCTTTCACTGTGCAGACGATGAAACACAGATTAACATTAAGGGATAGTCAAATCATCTGAGGATGAGCTTATAATCTAACTACCAAGACGCAGAGAAAGAACCAAATCACTGAGACTATAACAAATAGTATCAGATCTAATCATTGATCATACATAATTCTCTTTAACATTGAGCTCAGCTCAGCTCAGATTAAAAAGAAAAACAAAAAAGAATCGAACTTGCATGCTAAATCATGATAACTGATAAGATATAGAACAAATCTTCACTGCGGCTATCTTCCAAATTCGTGAAGAGCTATAAAATAAAACCAATTAATGAAAGATCTCGATCCATAGACAATGAACCAGAGGGTGATAAAGCAGAACATACCATCTCGCTTCAACGTCTTAGAGTGAGCAAAAGCAAACAAGAGAGACAATACACAGATCAGAAGTAGCTCACTGCGAGAAGCCATGGATTTTTTTTTTTTTTTTTTTTTGCTTAAACAGACCGAAGTGGAAAAGAGAAGAAACGGATCTAAGAGGAGAACGAAATTAAAAAAGCCATTTTTATTATCTCTGCCTCCTCAGATTCGTATACCGCTTCTCACCGACGGGTCTGGTAGTGAACCCGAATGTTTGGTTTTCTTGTCAATTTTTTTTTTTTGCGTTTACACTGTAAGATGAAAAACTCAATTATTCGAATGTTGGAGAAAGTTGTTTCCCCAACTAGTTAAACATTTCCTACCTCCTAAGACACAAATGACAATGATTAGGAACATTTAAAGGCTTAAAAGCCATTAGAGCAAAACTTTGTTTTAAGCTGACAATTTTGATGTTAGCTATGTTAAACACCATTTGGAACATAAATACGCAATTTATTAATTTGTATCATCAATAAAGTAAGATTCTACCACTTAACGTAAAATATTTAACCTGGATAAACTTACTGATAATTTTCAGCCGATTCGGATGAGATCAGTTCCGGCTAACTTATAATATTTGGTTCATCCAGAATCGGTTAACCAAAACAATGTCTGCTAAGTTCTCAAACTGAAGTTGAAGATAACACACAAGATTACATTAATGTAAGAAAAATCCAGCAGTTTCAATGTTTCATATATCAGATCAAACACAATACCATAATATTTCAGACAAGTGTCTCAAGTCTCAACTAGAGAAAAAACAAAACACACCGAGAAATAACAAGTAGTTCAGTTCTCAGAACTGGAAGATGTGTCTCCACCAGATGAAGAAGACTCGCTGTTAAGTTTCTTTCTTTCCTCGTACGCCCATTCAAGTCCGTGACAGTAATGCACCGGCGGATTAAACCTGGTATCACTTATATCATCAGGTAAGAAGGCACCATTCTCCACCAGAAACTTGACTGCTTCTCTCTTACGCTCTTTAGCCGCAGCGTGGAGAGGGGTCCAACCGCAAGAGCCCCATGTTCTGGCATCGATGTTAGCCCCACGTTCAAGGAGCAAATCCATGACTTCAATGTGACCTCCCTCTGCTGCAAGGTGGAGCGGACTCACTCCTTTTGATTTGGGTCCCCATGCTAGAGCGTTCACATCCACTCCTTGGTCGAGAAGTTGTCTGACAGATTTCAGGTCGCCTTTTCTTGCTTTGATATGGAGCGGAGTCCAGCCTCTGTCATCGACATTTGATCTGGGAGACCGGCGCCTAAATGAGTTACGCCGGAGCGAGAATGCAACCGGCTGTTCTTGGAGCATTTTGGGTCTGAGCTTCAGATAAAAAAGAACTAGCTTTGAAAGTTTGGATCTGGATCTGTGTAGGACTAAGAGACTCGGGAAGATACTAATCAAACAGGACTTCTTCAAGAACTCAGCCAGCAGAATAAACTTATTCTATGAGAGGGCAGATTTACATAATTTTGGTGTAAACCTCTCACCCAAGAATGTCTAAAGAAGGTACTACTTCTGGCTAAGGATGATTTGCAACACTATCCCAGACTAGACAGCGAAGAAAGCAGACTAATGTAATTCAGTTGAAACAGAGCAACTCAATTAACGGGAGGCAGCGGAGTGATTGGCGATGCAGTAAGGGAAAGAGGGATTCAAACCAGGGCCGAAGACACTAAGCTTTTGAAGGATTGCAGATAAAGCCATAGACAGGGAAGAGAATATGAGCATTACTTTGAAAGAATAAAAAGCCTAATGATTGTGAAAAGCCGTAGTGGAGCACGACCACATTGAGACTGAGAAAACTCCAACTTTCAGCCAAGATGATAGTTGATGAGAACTATGATTTGACCAAATCTGCCAAAAAAAGAAAGAGAAGAAAACCTAATTAGCGTAACAACATGAACAAAACAAATCAAAGCACTTATATAAATCAATCTCTCTCTAATATACCACCTAAAAATTCAGCTAGCGTTAGGAGTTTTCAATCCAATTACAGCACTTATAGTCTTCTCATGTATCAAAAGTTCAGGAAACGAGGCAATAAAATCAGAAACCATAACATCACAAGATAAATCCAGGAAACTAAAGAGTAGAAATCGAAACATCAATAACCCAATCAATCCATCCAAGGGATCTTAATTTCAACACAAATCAGAACATATCCCAGCAAAACTGAGGAACTAAACCATACGAATCGAAAAAATAAATCGGAAACGACAGAGAGAGACAGAGACAAATCAATTTCAAAGAATCAATTTCAAAACAACGAGCAAAATGAGTTTCACGCATACTGAACCAAAGAGATCGAAAAATTAAAACATATGAGTACCGTCGTAACCCAGCGAGGAGATGGTGAACGAAGCTCAGAAACACAGATGTATCTTCTCGCCGGAGATCGGAGAATACAGAGTTTTGCAGTAGGGTTTTTTCGTCGAGATAAGAGAGAATCGAATTCGTCGTACAAGGCGTGACAGAGATGATAAATATCGGTTTTTGTTTACTATTTGTTGACGATTATGCCAGCTCATTCATTCACCTTAATAAAGAAAAGCTTATCACATATCGGCCCACTCTAATAAGCCCTTAAAGTATCTGGCCCATTCTACAACCGATTCTTTTCGTACTCAATTCTAACATTGATCCGGTTATTAGATCAGTTTCCCCGGTTTAGATTTGGGTAAACTAGGTTTGTCTATCTTCCTGCAATCGAAACCTTCGAACGGAGAACCTCAACGGCGAGCTCGGGAAAGTTATACCCTCCGGCGATTTCAATTCGGTATTGCATACTTATTTCCAGCTCAAATTCTATGCTTAGTGGTATAACTGTTGTTGAATTTGGTCGGATCCTCTTGCGATTCAGATGAATTAGTCTCTTATTGGTTGTTGTTTCAAATTCATCCCATTTTAGTGAAGTTTATGATTTATCAAGTGCGTTTTTTTTTTTATGGTCTTTTGAGTTTCTTATTGAAGGGTTTGCTTTAGTTTTATTGGTTTGTTTGCAGATTTTTCAATAACTCTAGAGCTTAAGTTTCTAAATGTTAGATTTGGTTTCTTATATACACACTACAAAACTCGGATTCCTGCATATGAATTTCACTTGAATTGAATGCTGATAACGAATCTCTTCACTGTTTGAGAAAATTTTAGGTTCTGTTGATTTACAAATGATGTATCCATTATCCTTTTTAGTTTTCACTGTCTATATCTCTTCTTGTTATAAGTGTGTGTATCTTTATTCCTTATCTTGACTTTTTCCCTTTCTTTTCGGTGTTGCTAATAGCTTCTTGTTATACTGTTTGCAGTTAAGCAGGCTCTTTTGAATAAAGTGTTAGATTCCTCCATCTTGCAATGGTATCCAGAAGTGAAGTTCTCAGCCTCTGTCGTGCCCTGCTTCGAGCCGGACGTCAATTCCCTCATTACAACCTTAGGGAGTACACTAAGCGAAGGACCTTGGATGGCTTCCGCATGAACAAGAATCTCACTGACCAATCTAAGGTGAACGAGGCTTATGCTGAAGCTAAGGCACAACTTGTGGTTGTTGAGAGGACGGTCAAGCTTTACTCCTTATATCCTCCCAAGACCAAGAACATCATGGAAGTCAAGCTTCAGTAGATGTATGTTTGTCATTTCAATTTGCTATTATTCGTCATGTTGGAACTACTTCATATTTAATGGAACTTTTAATGTTTTTATGGGATTGTTAAGTACTCTATTCTTAGTTCTTCCCAACTATGAGAGATTGTCTACTTCTCATCTAGTCTTTGTATTTTATGGCTTCAGACATTATACAAGTGAAGAAGTGAACATTGTGGAAGACATGTCTTGGATTGGAGCTGAGATAGACTAAAGGGAATGATGAGTTCCTGGCTTTTTTGCTCTTCTTAATAATCTCACACGATTGTGCAGTTGTTGCATAACAAATGTTCCAACTTGTCTGGAGTTTCTGTATTCCTAGCACTTATACTGTTAGGTTATAAATCTGTGATTCAAACACATAATATTTATCTTTTTTGGGCAAAATAAGAATACGCATAAAATTTATCTATCGTCAGAAATCTTCATGATACAGGTAAAACGATAGCAAAATTTGATTCTGTTTGAACAGTAGGTTTTGTTTTGTTTTCTGCAATAAGATCAATTACAAACACGGACAGAAATGTATATAACATGATAAGAACCTTGTCAGGTTTAAAGAACAAATTCATAGAGAATCAAACAAGAGATGAAGGAGTGTAATGAACATATAAATCTTAGTTCATCTACTTTCCAAGCAAACGACGGCCACGCTGGTTTGATTGTTGCACTCTGTAGTTGAGTTCGTCAACATCATCATGAAGATGGTCAAGTCCTTTGTTCTGTTTCTCAATCTCACTTCCCATGTCAACAGCCATGTTCTTTAGCTCGCCGAGTATATCACTCAAGTCTGAAAGACCGTCATCTTGCTTAGCTTTCTCCATCTGTGATAAACGAGAGTAAATTTAGTGGCGTCCAAAAATGACAGTGTTCTACTCAAAAATATATACGGAAGCTTGCTTTCAATATTCATCAATAAATGTCTCATGTTTGGATCTTTGCGCATTTGTTTTACATGACCCCAGATAGAGAGTTCATGGATCACTCATCTTAGATGCAGGAATATATAGTAATGTTCTTGAAAGGAAAAAATAAAGGAGAGGGAAGGGAAGTCCGTACCTCCACTTTCTGATAGGCATCAGCTGATTCAGGGAGCGGTTCTCGGGTTCTTGATTGTCCCCTTGGTGCTGGGTTCAGTCCCAGTTTTTCCCTTTTCTCTAAGTGGTTTACTCTTCTAGTTGGTGAGTGATCTACACAAAACACAGAATGGGAATCAGCAATTAGGTAAAAGTAAAAAAGCTGCAAGAAGAATTGAGAAATCAATGACCAAGAAGCAAACCTCTAGTTATGCTGGGCCCATTGATAGGACGAGTCTTCTTTGGCTTCCAAGTCTTTGAGAACATGCCTCCAAGGCTTCCAAGAAGCTTCTCACCCTGAAAACCAAAAATCCAAATAATTTAAGCATCTCATGTCCCCCGTTTTCCCCATCTCACACCAACCAACCAACCAATACACTCTAAAATGAGGAGAAAAATATTTGAACGTTCCATTAAAAAATCACAGAACAAGAAAGAAGAAAAACTCACTCGACTGAGATCATGATCGATTTCAACAGCTTTGTGGTGAGTCCTTGTGATTTGCTCGCCCTGCTCATGCAACATAACCAAAGTTCTGGTAGCGTCTGACCTTATATCCTCTGCTACCTTGAGGCAACCATGTACAGATTTCGTGGTCTCTTCAGCCTTGTACACAGCATAACCCTCAAGCTCCTGAACAGACTGGTTATCGATACCTCCAGAATCACGGAAATTGTTCTTGTACTGGTAATTGGAGTTGGAAATCAAAGACTGTTTGGATGAACTAGTAGCGAATCCTCTCTGAGCCTCCTCAGCATCAAAAGGGTTAGTCTTTGTCAAATCAGCCAAAGAGGGTTCAGAGGTAGTCCTCTTTGAAGGGTTAAGGGTGTGTTTGTTGTCGGATTCATCATCAGAATCAAAGGGGTTTGGCTTGGAAGACTTGTGAAATCCAAGGTCTACTGAGCTATGCTTGGGAAGCTTAGCCGGTGATTTCCTCAAACCAAACATTCTTCTCTCAGAATAATATCGCACAACTTGTTGCTTGAGACCAAAAAAGAAAAGAACACTTTGAGATTGCTAACTAGAAATAAACCTTCCTGCAGAAAAAAAAAAAAAACAGTAATCAACTTGATGATTTTGATCATAACTTGTAAGCAAAGAGAATAGATTACGATACGATAAAGTTTGATCAAAATCTAAAGACAAAGATAAAGAAGTAAAGCAAACAAGTTAAAAACAGTAACATCCACTGATTTGTTTACACGATAATAGAAGACAACAGTTTATCAAATACCAAAAACCTAATTGAGCATATGTGGGCTAAAAGGTCAGCCAAAAAAAACCACTAAATCTCTCTGATTTCAAACAATCTTATGGGAACAAAAACAGAAGAGAAAGCAAACAAAACCAAGATCTATACCAGATTGCGAGAGAAAGGAAAAGAAAAAAAACTGGAATTGAGAACAAAGGAAGTGAGATTTTTTTAGCAGTAAAAGATAGAGAGGAGAAGGAGATGGAGGCTAACCTGGATGAGAGAGAGAGAGAGAGAGAGAAGTGGAATCGAGAAGAAGATGAAGGATTGGGTTCTCTTCTTAATGAATTGAAGAAGCAGGACCAAATCAATGCAAAAGAAGAAGACGAAGATCTATAAAGGATATAACGCGGAAACGACTTAAAACGACCCAAAAGAAATGTTTTGAGTTCTAAGTCTTTTTGGGTTTGATTGTGTTGACGAAGAAATTTTTATGGTGATGGTGGACTGTACAAATTTCACAATATTTCGAAGAAATGATCAAGAGCAATTCTTTTGACCCGATAAAAAGGATTAAGCAATAAACGTGGTGGATCAATTCATATATCAAATATAAAATTATTTCATTCATATATGTCCTCTTTTTTTTTTCTTTTTTTTTTTTTGCTCTTGCAACTTCATTGTGAATTAGAATAAAATTTTTGTACTATAGGACATAATTGTGGATAAACAGTAATTAATAGAATATACAATATAATATAATTTTATATACGACATAATTTGTGGATAATTAGAAATTAATAAGAGGGGAAGAGCTAGTTTTCTTATATTTCCTTTTTATTTTAATATATATTAAATGTACCAATGGTTTAGTTTATAATTGCAGGAGGCATCATCATCCCACTCGCAATTTCCTTTTCTCGACGTTTGGGGTAAGTTGTCAACTTTGCCAAATCCTTGAACAACGTTCTTTGTTGAATTTTTCAAAGATATCATATTTTTTTAGCCCATAAAACACTTTCACATCATATTAAAAAAAAATTGTTTGGCAAATATTATTATAAACTTTTTATCAAAAAAAATATTATTATAAATGCACATATTTTTCCTCTTTTTTTTGTTTAGATAAGTTTAAAATAGGGTTTTCTTAAAGTCAAGTTGGATTAGGTTAGAGTTAGACAACAAATCCACAAGTGTCTCGATTAACAATAGAGAAAACAGGTTCTTTTCCTTGACCCTTTCATTTTAATCCCTTTGCATCATCATTAAAGATTTTACAAGACTTTGCAATATACACATGACATTCATACAATTCTTCAAGATTTTTGTTTCACAAGAAAAATATGAAAAGAAGAATAAAGCGTGAATAATGGGCCATTAAATCAAGTCGGCCCTCTTGAACTCCGCTCATCATAGGCCCATCAAATAGAGTCCAACAGTTAGAAGCTTATTTGGTCAACGACGACCATTGGCTTTCACCAGTTCCACAGTTTCGACATTCTCTAGAGATTCATCTCAATTTCTCTGATATGCTGCTCAAGCCTTAATTACACACAGATATGCCTCATGAAGAAGCGGTTTCACTCTTCATATACATAATCACAGAGATGAAAATCTATATTTCAATTTCTCAATCAAATTGGACTATGTACACATGGTTGAATTATATAAAATTTCGAACCTTCTTATGGCTTAAGGCTTCTCTGGCATTACCTGTGATTCCAAGTTTAACTCGAACCTTAGATGTTTTATACGGCAGAAAGAGGTACTAAGCAAGTTCAAGACTTGTTCTTCTCTCTCTTGATCTTGACAAGAAAATGGATATTATTTGTTAGCTTCCTTCAGGATTCTCTGATGGCAAATGGAAAATATAAACACGTAACTACCTGTGCCTCTAATTTGGCTATTCTTTGTAATGATGCTTGTTCGATGCATGCACGCCGCTTGCATTCTTCCTCCAATAAACAAGTCATTTTATATCTCAATTCAGCCATTTCTTGCGTTAAGTCCTCTGCTTCTTCCTTGCCCTTTAGTTTCTCTTCTTTCAACTCATCCTAAGCCATAACAAAATAATGTTGAAACTAGTTACGCTACAACATGTGTGATGCTGCAGAAAGGTCAAAACCTTCACTCTGCAAATCTTTTTGGTAATACATACCTTGAGCTCCCTTACAAGATCTTCGAATCCACATATCTGTTTAGCCATATCCTTTATTTTATCTCTCAGTTTTGCATCCTGGAATAACTCTAATTTCTTGATGATCTCATGGAAACATTCTCTGTGAGACAAGAAATTAACAGAACTCAAAAACCGAGAATAGCTTGATTTAAAAGTATTTATGTAGGTCTTAAGGTGGAACCTACCGAGATTCATCAGGTAATGGAAGCATGTGGTTCAATTCAGCAAAGAAATACTCTGCATTTACAGGCATTTCACTATCACTTTCCAATCGCTTTCTAAACCTTTGACAAAATTCTTCTAAATGCCTTTTAGAGGCTACACATCTCTCCCTCAGCTCTTTGTTTTGCTTCTCTAAGCACTCAGCATTCTCTTGTGCCTCTCGAGACTTCAACCGTAGTTCCTTGACTATCTCTCTTAATTTATCCCTTTCTTGGTTGCTTTCTCCTTGAACTTTCTTAGTATCAAAGAGTGCCTGCTCCAAGGCTACTATATCAAGTCTCATGCTTTCTATTTCACACTGAGACTCTAATGTTAAGGATGAGATAGACTCCTCCATCTTCTCAACAGAAAACAAAGACAACTGTAGCTCAGTTTCTGTGGTCTCCAGTTCTTGCAACAAGAATAGTTGCTCAGATTTCGACGTACACAAATCCTCCCTCAAATAGTTAACTTCTTCCTCCCATTTCCCTGATTCAGTTACTTTGACTTCAAGACCGAGCACACATTCACTCAGGTAGCTCACTTCTGTACCTCTGAGATTTACTTGATCCCGCAAGTAATCTGAAAGACAAATGAAAGTGTCTTTAGATCATAAAACATAAGTCTAAACTTGAGCTTCATCAGAATCACCATTACCAATCTCCTGGTAGCAATTCAACAATTCTTTCTCCATCATCTGAATTCTTCTCTTATCTTCTAAACGAGACTCTGACAACGAATTCGCATTCAGTTCCAACCTCTATGGTAAAAAAAAAAGATAACAATATTCAGGAAAGTTCGAATGATCAATATTTCAAAATACAAGAAAAGTAGAACACTACTCTGACGAGTTCAACACTCTCTGACTGTGAATCTCTCAGCATCTCCTTTTCTCTACGTAGCTGCAATTACAATGAAAACCTGAGATCATAAGGGAAATTATGAACTTCAAGAATCTCAGAGACAGGATATAAGAAGAAAAAAAGATTCACCTCCCTACATCTTGTTCCAATCTGCAAGAGTTCCTCAGCATAAAAAGAGTTTTCAACATCGCTTCTTGAACTACTTGCTGAGCTATCTCTCGAGCTACTTCCCCACTTACTCGACATTAAAGAGACTAAATTTACACAGAAGAACTTCCAATAAGCCAAGATTACGAGTCATTAGTGAAAAGAGACGGTTCAACAAAAAAAACAAATTCTTGTCCCTTAGCGAGTAACTGACAAATACTGTACACAAAATTTATGTCATTTCTCAAATCTAAATTAGACTGTAATGTAAGACTTTAACATTACTTGACGTCTGGAAACAAAAATCAAACACAAAGACAAATGTGTATAGAGATATACACGGAATGAGTAAATTACACATACTGTGTGAATAGCCAAGTTCAGCAATGGAGGACACTGTACTAAATTACTAACTTCAACCGATTAAATATAATTAAAATCGAAGCCAAGAGAATTAAATGAAATTGGACGAACACAAGCAAAATTGTAGTCAAGCTTTACCTTCGCCGTGACCACTTGATCGGAGCAAGAGCAACGGAGCTTAATACAGATGATTAGAGTTTTTTTCTTTCTTTTTTTTGGTCTCTGCTTTATTTTGACAAGAGAAAGATCCGGGTCGGGTCGGATAAGAAATGAGGGAGTCCCATATGAGCTGTAGCCTGTAGTGGTGTCGCTTCATAATGGAGCTTAATGCAGATTTTGATGATACATTACAGCCAAGCCGATAATTTTGTTGGATAAACCTGTCGTTATTTCTAATTTAATCCAGAAACTATACAATGCCTACGTTTTATTTCATGTTCTAATCACTTTCTTAACAGGACATTTTACTTTGTTTTCAAAAACTTTGGTAAAAGCAAAAAGCCAATCCAAAATAAAACATAGAAATTAGAAAATGCCATTTAGACAAACATTCATTGTTGACAACATAAACATACTAATTTGCAAAATGAAATTACCAAGTTGTTATCATTTCCAACAGTTCAAATAACCATCTCCTTAGATCATGTTTAACAGTACTTTAACTCTTCTTCCCCCAGAGGCGAGTCCAAAAGTTACTCTCTTCCCTTTTGGCAGCCTCTCCAAGATGTCCCTTGATTCCTGCAGGTTCCCCTGCTTTTGGTTCAGGTTTATGTTTCAGCTCATCTTGCCATTTCTTGGCCGCATTCACATTTGGTGGTAGTTCTACTTTCACAGCCACAGGAATCACATCTACACATCCTCTGTAACCCAAGATACAAGTTAATCAAATTAGACACACAGATACTAACCAAGATACATAACAATTTCCACAACTCGGCTGATTGATTGTTAGCTCTTACCTTGGTTCTTTAAGTATTCTAGACTCTCGGTTTTGTTCAGTGAAGACACGCTGCACCAAGTTCTCAGATACGACGTGTCTCTCCTTCATTTCCACTTTATCTTCTGGTGCCCCTCGAAACTCAAGATTGTTGATCTTTACAAGTGTGTGCTCCTCTGTTGTTTCTGTTTCTTGATCGGTTTCTTCTAGGATTGTCCTTGAGTCAACAATGAACTGCTCCAATGCTTCTGTCGGAATTTCTTGAGTTCTCCTTGAATTCACAAGTGCCTGCTACAGATATATTTTAGTTTAAGGTATAATATATACTCCATCACTTTTCGAAAGGAATTAAAACCTGTGCGGACGTTGTTATATTTTTACTAACATTTTTAATATTCATAAGTAACAGCAGATTCCAAGTTCACGAAAAGTAACCAAATAGTAAAGTTATTAACTTGCCTCTACTGGCTCCTTGACAATGGCAGAAAGGTTCTGACTCTTCAGATGAGAATCAAAGGTGGTTTGGTTTTTGCAAGCTACTTTCTTCTTTTTCTCTCCGTTGTCTTTAGAAAGCTTGGGTGGTCCTTTAGACATATTTTCGTTCTTGGCTGCTTGTGATTCCAACTTCTGTCGGTGTTTTTTCCCATAGGCGTGATTTGCATATGCAACCTTGCTGTTGCAACTCATCTGACAGACTTGGCACCACACAGGCTGCAAAACCTCTGGTTCCTTCACAGGTTTGGTTGAAACGCTGGACTGAGCATCATCGCTGGCTCCAAAGGCAACCTGCATCATGAATAAAGAGTCAGAAGGGTTTGATTTTGATCAAAAATAAAGAGGTAGAACAAGAAGTGAGCGGTCACTACGCTAGTCCGCTTTTGATTCGGCCAATGAGCTACGTTATCACAAATCACTACGCAAAGATGAAAAAGCTTAGATGAAGATGATATTGTTTGGCGTACCATCACGTCCTTTCCCTTCTTCACCTCCCCTGAATGCTCATTTGCTCTTTCGAACAGGGTTATAGGCTTGACAATACCATCAGAACATTCCCTGTGACAATAGTTGGAGAATATTTTTCACCAAAGATTGTTCATTTTTGACATATATACTAAGCAAGCAAATCCACGTTGGCAAATTTACCTTGTTTCTCTGGGTACTTCAAAATCAGATCTTAGGGCACCAGAGAAAATTTCTCCATTTAGAATCAGTTTGTGAACAGTCTCTACCTGGTCTTTAGTACTTTGAAAATTTTCTTTTACACTGCTTTCTGAGGTGCCACAAATCTTTCTCAACTCTTCGTTTTGCTTCTCAAAAAACTTGGTATGCTCTTGAGTGTTTTGAGACTGCGACCGAGGTTCTGAAATTTTTTCTATTGGTTGATTATTATCTCGGACATCTTTTACTTCAAACTTCCTAGCCATAGCATTGATAAGTTCCTGATCCAACTATATAAGCTTCATTATTTCTATATTTTATCATAGTTAAGTCCACATTCTGCAAATGTTTACAGAATCCCAAATTCTCAAAATCACCAATAGTTAGACACCTACCTCTGATGGCTTCCCCATGACAACATGCTTTTCAAAGCACTTGCTGTTCTCTTGAGCGTTTTGAGACTGCAACTGAGGCTCTGCAATTGTTTCCCTTCGTTGGTCCTTTTCTCCAACACCTTTCTCCTCAATCTTATTAGAATCAATGAAAGCCTGATCCAGTGGTATTATATCAAGCATATGTTTTACCAAAAAGTAAATTTTCATTGTTTTCAAATTACTAAGTTCTTGAAGTTCTTGAATACACAAGGTAAGATACTTGCCTTTGATTGACTCAGCTTCGCAGCGTGCTTCTTACCCCTTAGATGAGAATCAAAGACAATTTGACTCTGACACACCACATTGCACAAATGACAAACGAGATTAGCGTTTGCTTTAGGATGTACAGTTTTTTCTCTTGGTTGATCCTTGTCTTCAACACCTTTCTCTTGAAGCTTCTTAGTAGAATCAATTAGTACCTGATACAAAGCTATTATATGAGGCATATGTTCCACCAAACAGCCAACCTGTCATTGTTAGTTAAAAAATCCTATATTCTAGAATAGCCAAAAGTTAAAAACTTGCCTCTGACTGAATCGCCACAGAAAGAAGTTTCTCAAAGCACTTGGTATTCTCTTGAGCCTTTTGAGACTGCAACAGTGGCTCGGCAATACTTGGTTGATCATTTAATCCGACACTTTTCTCTTGCAGCTTCTTAGAATCCACGAGTGCCTGATCCAACGTTTTTATATCAGGTTTATGTAAATATTTATATGGCAATAAATGGCTAAGTTCTCGAATAGCCAAGAGTTAGAAACTTGCCTCTGATTGACTCAGCATGTTAGCATGCTTCTGACCCCTCAGATGAGAATCAAAAACAATTTGACTATGGCACACGACATTGCACATAAGACATGCGAAATCAGCGTTTGCCTTAGCTTTACCTTCAATCGCCTTCTTATTCTTCATATGTTTCTCTAGGACCTCATTAGAAGACACGACTGGTCCCAACGAAATGTTTTTGGACTTTTCTAAATTCAGTTCCAAGTTGTTTCTGTGTCTTTTTCCATAGGTGTGCTTTTTATACGCATCATTGTTGGTGCAGCTGATGTGGCAAACTTTGCACACCACAGGCTCCACAAGCACCGCTTCTTGTATGGGTTTGGCTGAAATGTTGGCCGGAGCTTTGCGACTTTCTAGGAAGGCAGGCTGCACAAAGAAGGCAAACAATTTGTTCTCTTTCCTTCTAATTTCCAGAAAAGCTCATCTTCAAGTAAAGATACACCAACAAGCAAGATACTAACCAATCACATACTCAGTAAACCTTTAGATTACCTGAGATATCTGCATTTTATCTGAGAGGTGTGCGGTGAACTTTGCAGAGCTATCACATACAACATTGCATATTCTGCTGGCAGTAACAGATTCACCTGTGGGTCCTCTACCATTCTGATGCATATATCTTCTTGTCTCTTGAGGTGATCCTGTTGGAATGTGGTTTTCTCTGGTTTTGTGATCCTTGGTATCTCCAGCGTCAGAAGTTGAATCAATTGGTTTGCTGAACTGAGGCTGCTCAGAAACTGGATATTTCGACACTTCATAATTAGAGACATGACAAAGTCCATTGTTGACAAGTCGAGAGGATTCACTGGTGGTTCCACTGCTATTCTCAAGCATGTTTCTTCTCGTCCCCTGACATAATCCTTTCCGAACATGCTTTTCTCTTGTTTTGTTATCCTTGGGGTCTCCAATATCCGAACTTGAATCAGTTGGTTTGCTGGACTGAGATTGTTCAGAAACTGGATGTTTCGACACTTCTTTATTAGAGACATGACGACGTACATAGTTGACTAGTTCAGAGGATTCACTACTTGTAAGGGGAGGACCTCCTGAGGCTAGGGTTGTCCAGAGCCATACATTCTTGGCAGCAGCAACCAGCGGTGCAGAGGCCTGTGGAGGCTGAGCCAAAAGAATGTTATACGTCCTCATTCGTAGCTGATGAAGAGCGTTGGAGAAATCTCTGTCACCAGAGATAAGCATGAAATTCGCTGGTGCAGCATTGTCTACTGCCCAGAACAACATGTCCACTAGAATCTTCTTATCACTTGCATCTTTTACTCCTGGTCAAACAACAAAAACTCAAATCTTTTATCCCAAACAAAATCACCTAAATGCTGGAAAAAAAAACTTCACAGTTTTCAGAGTCAATATAGCCGTTCCCAGTTCATTTAGTTGCTTAGTAGAGTGAGCAGAAACAGAAGCCTAAACCAAACGACCCGGATCATCATTTAACAACAGCAACAGCAACTCATAGCAATCTTGTATTTGACACTAACAACACTTGTAATATAACCTATGACTCAGATTTAATCACAGTCTCCTAAAGTATAAAACAGAGAACCCCAATTAAATATCATGATTATAAAATAGATCAGAAACCCAATACCGTAACCAATAATTCTCACAAACTCAGCAAAACAAAATTCCAATTCGAAGCCAAAAAAAAAAACAACAAAAGAGTCAAACTTTGTGAGAAGTAAACCTGCGGGAACGTGATTAAGCCCAACACCAGTAGAAGAAAGAGCTTGTTGAACAGCGTGAGGGATGAGATTGGTGTCACCATAAGCCGAAATGGAGATAGGTCCACAATAGTTCATATTCCACAAAGCCAACCTCACATTCTGCGCAATCGCATGCGCATCCCAACCTTTGGGCACCTCACAGTTCTCTATGTCCCACCATACCGACGTTTTGACTTTCACGTAATCCGCCTCCGCCGTAGTCATCGCCGGTGAAGACACAAGTTAATTCAAAAAAGCAAAGAGTGAACCAAAAAAGAAACTATCTCTGTTTGTGTCTCTATCTCTCTCTCTAACAAGAAGATCGGAGCCTGCTAAAGTGAGGTTAAGCCAATCTCAGCTCTGAATTTAGTAAGAAGTTTCCACTAAGTTCTTTCCATGTTGACGAAGAAACCTTTGGCTTTTCGTAAAGTCTGCTTTTTTATGTATTTCTCTGTAATCTGTATCGTACGAGAGCAACTTTAAATACTTGTATTTTTTTAACTCATTTATTTCTTAATCCACGTCAGCAAATTGAAGACGCGCCAATCAGAGATTCAGATAATAATGCTTTATCGATAGACGTTGGAAGTTTTGAGACTATACGTAACTCTTCATCGGTAATTAGCGAATATTTTAATGAGTCTACTAATACATGCATGCCTATTTATGCTTTTTAGTTTGAAGTTATAATAAGTTTCGTTTTTTAGTCCAGTTTATAATAAAAAAAAGTCATGTTATGATTTCAGTTTCAGAAATTTTACGTTATAATTAAATTACCAAAAAAGGGTTTTGTAACTTCTGTCTTCTGGTATTCGTTTACATCAAAATCTGATTGGAATTACTTTCACCCGAAAATCTTATTAAAGAAACAGATTAGTGAGTACTTGCGGCTTGACTTTTAAGTTTGTTCCTGTGTTTTTGGCCTGATATACGAATTTGATACATAGCTTCATTCGGGCAATGGACCTGGCAAAGCTTACAGCACAAAGATTTTTTTGGTTACACCAATGGCCTTCGCGCACTGACAACAAAAAACAATTATGAAAAAAAAGGTTTCAGCTAAAGAGTAGTAGAGTACTATATCATCCACAATAATTAACGTTAAAACATTTGTATTTGCCACAGATGTATGTCGGAGCTTTAACTTTATATTTTGCGTTAAAAAAGGACTTTAATAATACTTTAGAGACATGTCTGTATGCAATTATGCATTATATATCTTAGGACTTTTCATTCTCGGTAACAACTATCTTAATGACAGAGTAATGTATTATTAGTTACAATATGCATTTTTACTACAAGCCACACTACTCAGAAGTCAGAACAAAGAACCTCGAGGTATATGAGTGAGCCAATTGTATTATTTATTTAAAGGAAAAAGTCAAGTCTGCGAGGTAACCTCCGAAATGAGTGTGTGCTCTTTATGAATACGAAACATAAAATTAAAAACTAGTAACACTTACCAAATTTATAACTTGAATTTGCATGAAACCAATAGAAAAACGAGGTCAAAGATAATATCAAATATATAAGCCATAAGTCGCTCAGAATTTAAAAAAAAAAAAAAAAAGAGGGCCAAAAGGAACAAAACTCATCAAAACAAAAAATGAGGGAATTCTACTACTGGTTTTCAAATGCAACTCATTCCATAACTAAATCCGAAACATAAACTTTAGACTTAGAGTTGACCATCTGTGATTTTGATTTAGATGGCTGCTGCAATCCTTCCTGCGACTTGGTCAAGATCTCTCTGACCACTTGATGTGATCTTCCTCCCCCTATTTACATAAGAAATAAGTAAATCATTATCTAGCCAATTGTATTGATTTAGTCCATAGGTGTTAATCCAAACATACAGTTCATCGAGTCAGTATAATAGATCACAATTACCGTTTAATTTAGAGTGTCTAAACTGTATTCCTACCATTCCTTTGTACCAGTATCTATTTAAGTGAGGCTAGGTGAGATATCTAAACCACAGATTATTAACTCACCCCTTAGTGTCAAGGTCGACAATGTTCATGGTCTGGAGTTGCTGAAGAATGTGACGAGCAATACCACCACTGCTCTTGCAGAAATGAGGTGGACGGCTTCCGTTCCTCTTGCTTCCTCCATAGATCCTGCGGAAGGCACCAACTCCAAGACCACCCCTCAAGTAGACTTTCCTTGCCATTGAAGCTAAAGAGTAGAAACTTGTCTCAGCAAAAAAAAAAACATATAGAAACATCTAACAAGCTTCCAAAGTTTGATCATAAAGGCAGTGCCCAAATCCACAATCTAGAAGAAGACTTAGAGCAGATGTTATATATATACATACCGGCTCTGATGTAGTACCAGTCAGGGTCATACGGTGCAAGCTCCTTAAGTTTACCAGTCTTGACTATGTCTGTCCACAGAGGCAGCTCAATCTACAAGAAGGGAACAACATTGAATTCAAAAATCAAAGCCTTATAATGTTGGTAAAGAGACAGTCAAAAATCAAACCAGGCATCCCACTAGAAATGAAACTAATGAATCAATGTTAAGACATTTAGAGTAACGATTCAAATACGCTTACACTTTAATGGCTAGTTCAAGTTTCAATCCAGCAGCAGCGAACAACGCACTCTCACTAGGTAATCGTAAAAGAAAAGACTAGGGGAAAGAGAAGAGGAGAATTACCTTGCCAGAGCGCTTGAGATGGGCAGCGTAAGCCTTGACGAACTCGTGTGGAGAGACATCCTTAACAGTTTTGCCTGTCGCCATTGTTGAGTCGCGGCTCTGATCCTTCTTCTTCACCTCCTTGTGCTGCGGCGTCGGCGCTGCTTGGAGTCTTGGAGACGGGGATTGAGAGGAATTGTGGTAAAACGAAATTAGGGCTTTTGAGGAGTTTTTCTTTGAGAGGATTTTACATAACTGCCCTTATTGTTTTGGGTCTTGGGCCTTTGTCATATATTTTCGGCCTGTTATTTTGCAATCTCGAAAGGAGCCCATAAAGCTAATTTTAAGAAATGATTGCATCCATCTTTACTTTGCGTAGAGAAAGAAACCTAAAGAGATGTTTGGTACGTTGACTCCTCCTATTGGCAAGGTCGTCGACACTCGACACAATCATAATGACTGCTGAGTGTGTGTGTTGTTGACTCGTTGATACGTCTTCTTCTTAGGGCACCATTATGGTGAGATCTTATGAGCTAAGATACCATAAAATTTGCAAAGGAAAGATCTTGGCTCATTAGATCTCACTAATAATGGTGGTCTTAAGTGGTTTTTTTCTCCTATTAGAAGCGCATTTGATAACATTTCTCAAGACAAAAAGACAAAAAAAAAAAAGAAAAAAAAAACATTTCTCAAGACAAAATGTTTGATTATTGGATTAAAAGATGTGGTCCATGTATGATCTATCACCCACCTATTCAGATATATCAAAAGTCGCGACTTTGATTCTTGATATATATGTCTCGCTAACATTTATATTTGAGGATGTTTTTGAAAAAATAAAAGTGAAAAAGAGAAAGAAAAAGAATGATAATCAAATAATGATCGAAAATCCCTGCATGTTGTGATAAGTCCATGTTTAGTGATCAACATCTGATCATTTTATTGCAAAAGTTGAAATTAATTATATTTCTGTTTATTTCAACCAAAAATTTAATGACGGTTAGGCAGACCAAATTAGTTAGGGTGAGTACTTGAAATGTATCATACGTAATCTAAATTTTTTTGTCAATAAATTTACATACGGTAAACTTTTTAACAATAATTTTTTTGTCAACAAATGTATCATTCACTTTTTTCATAAAATATTCAAATATGACGTTTAAGTTTTTGGTAAAGAACAAAAATCCTTTTATTATTATTATTATTATTTTAAATATGTTTAGTTAACTGAGCATATAGAAAGAAAAAAATCTATCAAGCAGAATTTAAAGAGTCAAAACTATAAAATAACAAAAATTACAACCATTACTAAAATGAAATATATATATATATATATATATATATATATATATATCGTTTATTATGAAACAAAGTGAGTTTATTATTCCCATACACGATGGAACAAGGGGTACATAAAAAACACATGGTCGAGAGTCGACAAATCCAACCCCTAGCTTTAAAGTTGCTACCATTAATCATCGTTTTCTATTATTTTCAGTCTTGGGTCAAAGAAATTGTCTTCATACAGTATCTAACATCCATCATATAATGCATATGCATATGATGATAACTTTGGAAGATAATGCATTATTGAGCTTACAGTCTTTGTCACTAGCTAGCTTTGGATAAGTATCTTATGGCGGTTATACGTCCATTTATGTTTCCAACTTGATATCCTTATTCATCAATCCTTTATAAGTATCATTTTTGTCTTCAAACATTTTATAAGTGCATATGCATTTGTGAAATTCTACACCTTTGGTTCGATATGGTACTAATCAAGTATAATTCGGTAAGGAACACACAGATTTGCAGTGACGTTAATTAAAATCGAACAATTAATTTTAATCTATGACAACAGTCTTACTTGGAAGATAACAACCACCAGTAAAAAAGTAGAATCAGTAGATTGAGGAAGCATGTCAAGCAAAAAAAATGTAATCTTCAGAATTTATAGAACTTATTATTATAAAGGTGAACACACTTTATCAGTATGTTATAATTTTTTTAACACACTTAATCTTATTTCATCAATCCACTACAACCAAAAGTTCTTCTTAATTTGCCCTCAGATTAAATAGAATGCAATTGAAACTTGAAACGGTACTGTTAATTAAGTATCAAAAATCACATAAACATCGCACTACCGTACGTCAAAAGCATAACAAAAAAAAAAGGTATTGTATTAAGAATGGATTATAATGTATAATTGTTAAATGACTCATACCAAAACAATAAATCCGCACGTAACACAGTTATTCACATAGCAATCATAAAATACAATTTTTTAAAAAGACCACAAAAAAAAAAAAAAAACAACAATTCAGAGACTTGCGTTTAGCGCAATTATTCAACTAGAAGTAAAAAAACATAATAAAACGAGTAATCAAAATCTGGACTAATTTTTCCGAATTCAGTTTAGCTAGATGAGTGCATTTGTAAACAGAGACAAAAAAACATCCATCTCACATTGCTTCAAAGAGACGCCAATCTCGACGCCACCGATCCCATCTCTTCTCTTGGACATAGAGAACTCATCATTCTTGTAGAGAGACATAGTCTCGGTGTGTACCGGTCTCCCCCACCCGAAATCCGTGTCGTACATCCCAATCTGGTTCGACCCGTTTACGACCATCAGCTGCGTACCCAATTCCATCGTCTTTGTTCCTTCTTCATAACACTTCCAAGTTGACTCCACCCCTTGTGAACGTAACCTTTTGACCGAGTCACTCAGAATTTCGACGGTATTGACATATCCATCGTCCCCTAAAAACTTCTTCGCTTTGTATTTATAGAAATCCATGGCTAAGACACAAGGCCCAAGGTAGGTCGCAGGAACTGGTGGGTCTAGCCGGTCTCTGAAATCAGCAGCGTACATGAAACGAACCGGTCGATCTGCATCGCCTCCACGGGCCTTCACCATGCATGTCCACACGTGGGCGAACGTGACTACGAATGTTGACAAGTGAAGCTCTGCCCGAGATGACTCTTTCTTGGCTCGCTCCTTGAGTTTCTCAATGTTTTTAGGAGTCACCTCGATTGTGGTTCGGAGGACGTTGTCTTTAGCATTTATTTCTTTGACTGGAGGGAGCATCAGGGTTCTTGCGTTCTCTTTGTCTTCCGTGAGATACGGCAGAAGTTCCAAGAGCTTCCGTTCGAATCCGGCTGGAACATTGACGACAGAACGATCTAAAACCGTTGGTAAATTTTTGGGTACGGTTCCGTGTTTACAAGTGTGAGCCCATGCATTGTTAAACTTCTCAGCCGTTTTGCCGTCCACGACGACGTGGTGGATAGTGGTTCCGATGCAGTAGCCTTGGTCTGGAAAAAATGTGACTTGTAGAGAAACAACCGCGGCAGAGTCGGAATGAATTGGTAGTTTAGGTATCAGAGGGCGTAACTCTAGCTCAGGTCGAAGTCCTTTGCCAGAGATACGCGTGAAATCCGCATCCATCTCAGCTATTGTGAGAGATACAATGTCTCCCGGGAGAACAACAAGATGCGGCTTAGGGTTTTGAGAGCCCCATTTGAGGTGACCCGTAAATGGGAGAAAGTGAGAGAGGACGAGTGAAAGAGATCGCTCGATCTTGGGGAGGATGGAGGAGTAGAAAGAGTCGCGAGATGATGATTCGGTGAGTTTGTAAAAAAAGACTTGCTCCGTAGGGTTTAGTTTAAGCCATTGTAAATCGAAGAAAGAGAGTGGGACGATGAGCGGTTCGACGGTGGCTGTTGCTGGACTGACTCGGGAGATCTTGATCACGTTTAACGCCATCTCACTTGCACTCTCTCTTTAGATAATCTCTATCAAACAAGAGCTCTAGTTACTTATTATAAGTTATAATATCTCTTCGTATGAGTTTTCACCGAGTATATATAATACGGAGACTAGCTCTTCTAATATGACTTGAGACGCCAAGCCCTAGCTACGAAAGTTCGGTTGAGAGATAAGCTACGTAATTAAGCCTGTGAAAATTATCGTGGTCCCATCATCCCATGCAAAGCCGCCTTTGAAATTTCGGTGGCTCCAGAAATTTATTTAGTTAGGCTAATTATTTTTCAGAAAAATAACAAAAAATGTCTTATATATGAATATATGATGGCTTTTCTCTTAAAAAAAATAAAATAATGGGCCAAAATGTTTATTTATGACTGTGCCAAGCTTGTAACCATGACCAGCTTTGGTCTCAACTCTCAACTCTCAAGAATCTAACGTATACGTAATATGGTTAATGGTCTCAAGTCTCAACCAAAAAGAACGATTGTTATGGTCCGTTACATAATGTAATGTAACTTACATTAAAATAAGAAGAGAAATAGAAACGATTACTGTTTACATAACAAAGGAAACCAAACTCATTTAGTTTAGTTTACAAATTTAGATATATTTATAAAAGATAATATATATATTATTAAGGTAATTATGTGATTTAAATGAAAAATTTGGCTTGAGTTTCTTAACTACTGATTTAGTTTTTGTATAATTTTCTATTAAACTAGGATTCAAAATATAATTCTTTTAAAAATACAAATAATCAAAAGGCGGAATTTATTTTTCCAATTTCAGTTTCCAATCCATATGCAATAAAAAGAAAAAGAAAAAGAAAGAAAAGAAGCAATTCAAAGGGATGCAGCGCAATTATTCAACTATGGATCAAAAGTTGGAATTGATGTTTCCGGTTTCAGTTTCGAATCCATTTGCAAACAAAGACAAAAAAAAAAAAAAAACATCCATCTCACAATTTTTCATAGAGACGACAATCTCGACGTCACTGACTCCAACTTTCCTCTTGGACATGGAGAAGTAGTCATTATTCTTGTAGATAGACATAGTCTCTCGCTTACCATATTGTAGGTAGACATAGTCAGCTCTCTCGTGCATGGTTCGGAGGACGTTGTCTCCAACTTTTATTTCTTTGGTTTTAGATGCAGCTTTAGCCTTTAGGGTTCTTGCATTGCTTTTTTCATCCGAGAGATACGTTAGAAGTTCAATCATCAATTTAACTCAACACCCTTTCAGATTCTACAAACCAAAACATATTCGTAAGTTTACATCATCATAACACACAAAACTCACCATCATCACAAGGAAACTGGTCATGTCCTGTATCAAATGTATCAAGGAGCCATATCCATTAACCCAAATATATTGAATTCCAATTCTCAAGAAGCCCATCAATCAAACCCAATCTTTTTTCTACCCACGTTTAAATATTAAATATTAATTACGTTGTACATTATATACTGTATTTGTATAACTCCAAATTATTTCCATTAATCAAAGGTAAATTTCTATTTCCTAGGAACCTTTTTTTCTTTTCTATATGAAATTCATAAAATAAAGGAGAAAAAAAAAAAGCTTCTTCAACCTAAGGAAGACGAACACAGTTAACCCCTCTGTCGGAGCTCAGGTCACGAGCCACCGTCACCAGCTAAGAGGCTAAGTGAACTCTGTGAGAAAAGAGAAGCGAAGATGGTAGGAGTAGAAAAGAGATCCGAGATGATGCATAATCTCTTCGGCGATCAATCCGAGGAAGAAGAAGAGATCGAGTCCGAACACGAATCCAATCCTCAGCCCAACTACGCTTCCGTAACTCTCTCTCTCTCTCTCTCTCTCTCTCTCTCCTTCATTTCCTCACGATTGTTTCAGATTTCGTTTTCTTTTTCCACTGCCACTGTTTACTTGAATTTACACCTCGGGATGTTTCGTTATGCAATGGGATTTCTCAAATTCTTATCACCTGGATTTTAGGGGTGAATTGCAATATATGCAATGCAAGTTCTTAGTCCTAATTCAGCTTTGCTTCTTCTTTGCAAGAGTTTTTTACTCCTTGGATTTTGTATGAAAGCTGCAATGTGATTTTTTATCTGATTCTATGGCACTACGTATTCCTTGATGTTGTTTTAATTCTTGTTTTTTTTTCTTCTTTCTATAAACGTGTTTTTTTTTTCCGATATCAGTGATATTGTGGCTCAACCTTTTTAATCTAAAACACTGATAGGATGAAGCCGAGGGCGGGATGGAGCCTGAAGGAGAAGGTGAAGCTGAGGTTGATGTTCACGGTGAGGCTGAAGCTGAGTCTGATGGGGAACATGGCGATGTAGAACTTGATCCTGGAGAAAGTGAGGGTGAGAGGGAGCAAAGTTCACAGGAGGTTGATGTTGCTGATCCACATGAGGAAAGTGAAGCAAGAGATACTGATAGTGATAACAAAGAAGAAGAACATGTAGGTAGAGTAGCCAAAAACAGGAGACAGGATGTTGTCGAGAGTGGATCAGAGAGGTCTGGTGAGAAGCATTATGAGTCTGAAGACGAAGAGGTTAATCAGACAAGGACTCCAAGGTACCCCTTTTTCCTTTTTTTTTTCCTAGCTGTTTCTTTTGAATTTTGTGCTGTACTTCAGTTTTTTACCTCTGAGGGTATCTGAGGTGCCTTGGATTTTCATTTTTTCTTGTGGGTAGATCACCTAGTGAGGAGAAGGAAGAGGCTCAAGTCGCACAGTCAGACGTAAATATTCGTAATGTATTTGGATCTTCGGATGATGAAGATGCAGAAGAATATGCCCGGAATGACGTTGAGCAGGATGAACATGTGCGTCTTACTTCTAATATTATAGTTCAGTTTATAGAATATCTGTTTCCTTTTCAGTATCTGCTTCCTTTTAGAAGCCATATGAATTGCATGTATGTATGATGAGATTTCTATTTTTTTTAGAGATCGCCAATGGAAGATGAAGAGGGCTCTGAAAAGGATCTGAGACCCGATGATATGGTGCTTGATGATATTATCCCTGAAGAGGATCCTCAATACGAGTCAGAAGCTGAGCATGTTGAATCTAGGTACAGGGAGAAGCCAGTTGGTCCTCCTTTGGAAGTGGAGGTTCCTTTCCGCCCTCCTCCAGGTGATCCGGTTAAGGTATACCTGGTTTATGTTGCGAAAATATTATTCGCCGACATGGCTTCAAATCAATAGTTTCGTTTCTAGTGTTTCCAAGTTATCAAAATGTCTCATATCATTGTGGTTGCAAGAGTGAGTATCTGATGTCTTTTATGGGGAGAACCATTGCTTTCAACATGCTTCTGGATTTACTTAGCATGATAGGCCATTTGTTGTACAGGAGTGTTCTATTAGGCGCTATCTGAAACCCCATTTTTCAGTTGTCTATCTGTGGTTAGGTAGCAAAACTGTGCTTCCTCCCATTACCATTTTATGTTTGATATTTTTTTCAGATGAACATGATAAAAGTTTCCAATATCATGGGAATCGATCCAAAGCCATTTGATGCCAAAACATTTGTTGAAGAAGACACATTTGTGACAGATGAACCCGGAGCAAAGAAGCGTATCCGTCTGGAAAATAATATTGTTCGCCATAGATTTGTTAAGAGTCGAGACGGCAAAACATATGTAAGTAAACACTTCTTCAAAGCTTTCCGCTTTTACATGTTCCATCAAAGCTATGTATTTTGCCTATGGGGTACTTCTGATCTACCAATTTCGTAAACTGGCGTCTCTTGGTAATGTTTCAAATATTTTGCTGAGAAATAGAATTTTTTTTTATGGTTAATGATGTTTGATATAGGTGCATATAATTTTGATGCAATTTATGTATCCCGTATTAGTTTACTAAATTAGATTTTATGTTGCGCAGTTCTTCTAATTCTTCGGCATAAACAATATTTCTTTGTTTATTTGCTTATTGCACTTATTTTCTTCTTCTTTTTCTTTAGTACACTAAAGTCACACTATGTTCGTATGCAGAGTGAAAGTAATGCTCGGTTTGTAAGGTGGTCAGATGGAAGCTTACAGCTATTGATAGGAAACGAAGTTCTTGATATAACTGAACAAGATGCAAAACAAGACCAGAATCACCTCTTTATCAAACATGAAAAGGTGTTACTTCGTCATTCCTTCTGCCTTAGTTAGCCATCGATCGATTGTAGTTGCTCCAGCCTCCTAGGAATTGAAAGCATCCATTGAATCAACAATCACCTAATTAATTTCAGAGGACCCATACGATTCTCATGAGGAAACCAAAATGTCTCCTGCTTTCCAGACTAGTCTTGGTTCTGAGAATAAAACCAACTCTTCAATATCTAAAAGTGTTTTCTTATTTGGATGTTGTTGTAGGGTATCCTTCAATCACAAGGAAGAATTTTGAAGAAAATGAGATTTATCCCATCATCTCTAACGTCAAATTCCCATAGGCTTTTAACTGCCCTTGTTGACTCGAGGCACAAGAAGTCCTACAAAGTTAAGAACTGTGTCACTGACATTGACCCTGAGAGGGAGAAGGAGAAGAGAGAAAGGGTAACCTCTTAATTAAGCTCAGACAATCCAACGATAGTTTTCTTGTAAGGTTTGTTGACTTTTCTCATTTTATATCTCAATTTCTGAAGGCGGAAAGCCAGAACCTCAAGGCTAGTACAAAGCTGAGTCAGGCGAGGGAGAAAGTCAAGCGCAAGTATCCACTTCCTGTTGAGAGGAGACAACTTTCCACTGGGTACTTGGAAGATGCTCTTGATGAGGTCTGTTTTATAGTTTGTATATATTGTGTACTTCCATTTTCTAAAGCAAAGGTTGCACTAGTAACGACTGATGTTTTTGGAACCAGGATGACGAGACAGACCACTATGGTTCTCACCGCTCAAACCGAGGCTACGAGGAGGATCTCGAAGCTGAAGCGCAACGGGAACGCCGAATTCTGAACGCCAAGAAGGTAAACAAAACAAAAACTCATAATGCAGAAAACATCAGAAACTAAACTATTATTTAATTGATTCTCGCTGCGGTTAAATCAGAGCCACAAAGGCATTCCGGGGAGGTCTTCAATGACTTCAGCCAGACCTTCCAGACGTCAAATGGAGTATTCTGAGAGTGAAAGAGAGGAATCTGAATATGAGACGGAAGAAGAAGAGGAGGAAAAGTCACCGGCCCGTGATGAATATGAGGAAGATGCAGAAGAAGAGGAAGAAGACGGAGGGAAATCTAACAGATATTCTGATGAAGACGAAGAAGAGGAAGAGGCTGCGGTACGAAAATCAGAACATTCTATTATATTTTGTTGTCAATGAGGAAGTCCAGTGAGATTGTAATGTGTGGTGAAATGTGCTTTATGCAGGGTGCTAGGACAGAGAAGGATCACCGTGGAAGTGGCCGGAAAAGGAAAGGGATTGAGTCTGACGAGGAGGAGTCTCCACCGAGAAAAGCTCCGACACATCGCCGTAAGGCCGTGATTGATGACAGTGATGAAGATTAATCATATTCTTTTAAATCTTTCACTCTCCTTTCGTCAATTTGTTATGATGTAGTCTGGAATTAGACTCGTTTTCATCAAAATAAAGAGACATAAAAATCATTGGGTCTGAGTTGATAATTTTTTCAATTCATGTATAATTGTTGAAGATAATGTAGATGTGTGTGTTTCCCTTCGATGGCTGTGATAAAATAATATCCAGACAATACAGAAGCGAATTAGCAGAAAGATCAAAATAACGTATAATTGACCCATATTATTAGCTTCTAGGCAAACAGACTCTGTCAGAGTAAACACAATTTGTTTAAGCTCTTCATTTTATTATTATTATTATTATTATTATTATTATTATATTAGCCCAAAAAACCCCAACACTGTTTTTACATCTTCCAGAGAGGAAAGGAAAACAACTATAATTAAAATTTCGTCAGTATATAAAAAAAATCCATAAAAAATTGTGCTACTACAGTCTATCATCTAATGGCTCTTCAGCGCCGTGCAGGTTGTTCAATGGAGTGTTCTTGCTCAAACCCCAAATAACAATCCGAAACTAAGATGAGTTTCGTATTCTGACCAAACATTAAGACGACAAATTCAGCAATAAGAAAGAACGATTAGGTTCGAGAAAATAAGAAGAATTATTGTACCTGAAAAGAGGTTATATTGGGAGGTAACTCCATGCGTGTGGTCAGGCGACCAGTGAACGAAACTCTCTTTACAGCAAAGAGCTCAGAAGTTGAAGTATCACCAAGAACCAACCACCACGCTTCGTCTTTCACCTATATAACCCAAAGTAAATGTGACGAATTCCAATACATTTTTGTTTAGAGCTCAAACTAGTCTATGGTAAAGTCTTTAGTGAAACCTTTGGGAATCGAGGGGCTAAAGCCCTTGAGCTATTCCTCTTTGATGTCTTCTCCATTCTGATTTCCAGCGTTGAAGGCACCTTTTTGCCATCAGAATCCTTCTTTTGGAGTCTCACATTCATTCGGATCCGAGGAAATCGTTGGAGATCCTTATTAAGACCAAAGAGTGTAGATAACATAGTTCAACCCCATGAGTGAAAAGTATTGGATGCAGAAAGAAACAGTTGTGTGGCCAATTTGAGGATACCTGAGATAATCTTGATCCAGGGAAATTTCCGCATACACTTTGTAGAGTTTCCCTTGGAATTTCTAATAGATGATGCAGTGTGTGAATTCCTCTTGCGGTCAGAGACGCTAGAAGATCATCATTCATGCATGGGATCATCCATAATGACGAATCTTGATCGGACCACATGCCCTAATTTATTTTAAAAAAAGAATTGGATTTCCTTAATTTGCAAAAGTTTAACCATTTGTACTGGTCCTGCTTCCGAAAAAATGGAACAAGCTAAGAGTAGTAATCTTCAGGAAATCACCTGCATGACCATTTGCAAAAGGCGCATACAAGTCAGTGAGCTAGAGAGCCATCCACTGTTTGCACATATATCAATCATGGCCTGGAGGATCCGAATGCTTTGATCCAGCACTGACTTTAAATCCGTGTTATAATCACTGATTGGGAGTGCCAACTGAGAAAAATGTGCCTGCTCATTGGATGTTATGCATTAGAAAGATGGTAACAATCATGAATTATATGATTCAATCATAGACTCACTCAGTTTGGATTTTTGTTTCATCCATCAGTGAAAAATAGTGCATACCTGGAATAGCAGATTCGCTTTAACATGAGGATCATCTAGATGGTTATTATCTACGGGATACCGGACTTTATCTGACAGTGTTTTGTTGTAATTTTCCTAAGAAGCCAGAGGGGATAAAGAAGAAAATTATCAACAGCGTATCACTGAAAATACTTTTACGGATAAAAACAGTATAGACCACGAAACAGACCTCATTGTGCCGTACAGGAAGTTCATCATACTCAGAAGCACCAGCCAAGATATGCAAAAATGCCTAAAGGGCAGTGGTTAGACGTCAAAGAAAAACAAAAAAGAATAATCAAGATCTCATATGTTGATACACACGAGCATTAGTTGGATCAACTTCTTACTTCAAGCGATGTGTCAGGACCTATATTAGAGCCAAACATAGACACGGTCATGTAGCAAAGGTAATACTGTGACGCTATTGTACCAAGCATCATAGGCTCCACACTGTCTTCATTGACTTTGAGACATCCACTGTCTTCAAGATCATCAAATGTGTTTTGCACCAATCTACACAAAAAGTAGCCCACATATACCAACGTTACACTGGTTCTAGTAAGAGAAATTTTCCTTATGTAATAATTTTGATATTTACCTTGATAAGTAGGAACAGACCGTTTCGTCTTGAGTACCTTCTAGCCCATAGTAAGCAGGATTAGCCATCTGTTACAGCAATACCAGATTGAGTCATGAACAGGTTATTCTGCAGTAACGGAAAATTCTGAAAGGAAAAAGAGATTTTTGCAGCAGGTGCCAAACAATGTGGATAGTTTCCAAGTCCGTTCTTTGAAACAGATTAATGGATTTAGCACAATCTTTCATGGAACTAGAATCAATTTCTCAAGTTGAATCTCGCTTTTCGATAGAACTGAAGCATATTTACCAGTCTACGGAACAAATACGTCCATGTAAGATAATGCACCGCATCTTCTTTGTTGCCTATTGTTCCAGAAACTATTTCTGCGTTGAAGTGATCATGTAGCTTCTCTTTCAAGCTACTTTCTACGGGGAATGGTTCGTACAAGAACTGCATGCAGAGGAAATATGAAATCTTTAAGGTAAATTGTGGCAAAGGATACTAAAAATTGCCAAATAATTCCTATTGAACTTGACCTTTTTGTAAAAGCTTTTTTTAGGTTCATGTACAAGAATGACCGCTTTCCCATGTTGGTCGAACTGTGGACGCCCAGCACGTCCCATCATTTGCAAGATCTCTGTAAGAGGGAAGTCAACATATCTCTTGGTTTTCCCGTCGAAATATTCTGTTCCCTGGAAAGAAAGATTGCCAAAAAATAACAGTATTAACGAGAATAGACAATGCCTTACCGGAGAAAATCTAAAGAAAGTGATCCCAAACATTATAAAAGTAGAGGACCTTCTTTTACCTTTATAATAACTAGGTGAGCTGGTAAGTTCACTCCCCATGCCAAGGTACTTGTTGAGACTAAAACCTGTAATGGAAGCATGGAATCCATCATCAATCGTAATGTAAAAGTGTACCCATGGATACGGTACAGGCAGGAGAGAGCATATGTAAAGGAAATTGCCTGAATCTTGTTGTTTGTGAAAAGCTCTTCTACTGCAGATCTATCGTGGTCGTTTAAACCTGCATGATGCAATCCGATGCCAAATTGCAATGTATGTCGGAGGTTCTGATCAGTTATCTGTGAGAGGACCATCTGCAAGTCTTCTTCTGACACACTCACAAATTGCCGCGGATGTTCGTCGGAGGCAGCAAACTTCATTTCATAGGAAAAAAAATAATACAAATTAGAGGTTTAAAGTCAAAAATATGATTTTGTATTGTATCTGAGTTTGATTATAAATCATGCCTGAATTAGATCCAGTGCGGTCAGCCTTGTCTGTCTACGAGATGAAACAAAGATAAGAACAGGTTTTGTAGGTGAATGGGTACATATGGCTGCATATGCTGGCTTGTTCATGCTGTTCATCCTTGGGCAGTAATACTTTCCAGGATAACCCTGAAAGCAAATAACAAGGTTAAGTCTAGAAATGTCATGCTGTACGGTTTCCTCGCATATCTTTTATCCACCCACCCAAAATGGTAATTAAACATCTCTGAAATTTTGTTGGTGAATCAGTGTTGGAGACGTAAATAATTTTGTTTTTGTTTTAAGTAATGTAGTAACTGTTTGCAAACTAGAGGAAATATATTGACTAACCTGGATATGAACTTCAATTGGTACAGGCCTGACGCTTGGTTTAAAATTGAAAAGTCCAATCTCCCCAACACCCAACCAGTCAGCCAAATCACTGAATGAAAAGTGACCATCACGTCAAAATCTCAACGTACGGTGGCCCAAGAAAACAAATGCTACAACCAGACGTTTTCAGCACACAGAACTTGAGAGAATAAGTTAAATTAACAGTTTCATATCTTGGAAGCTTAATTCAGGGAAATGGCTACCAAAAAAATTGAGAGTAAATAAGACTAAAACTGAAAGTCCTTCACTCACATATTACAGTATAAGCAAAGTATCATCAGCAGTAAGGACATGGATAATAGTCTACCAGCTAGAACATTCATTTGCATGTTTAGTGATTAATTGCAGAAGATAAAAAGAAATAGAAAATACATAGAAAAGAGCATATTCAAAGAGGCATAGAAGTGAAAGTACGAACCCTGCATTTGCCAGAGCTGTGGAAAGACCAACAAACCGGACGGAGCGCTCTGTCTGTGATGATATATATCTCATCCTAGACACAATAACCTGGAAAAAAAATGTAGATCGGAAATAAATCGGGTGGAACACAGAACTATGAAACAACATGTTGCCGAAAAGATATCAGCTCTTCACCTAGTCCATAGATATATATTACAGGTATCATGATATAACTGGAAACTTCTAACCAATGGATGGAGCTTAGCATAAGTACTTAGACATGGGATGTAATAGTTTTTAAGCTTCTACCTCAAGTATGGGTCCTCTGTCAGCTCCAAGCAAGTGAATCTCATCCAAAATAACAAGTCCGACCTATATCATCAGAACATCATAAGTTACAGTTCACAAACAAGGCAAGCCAATACCGCAATCTATTGACAAAAAAATACCTTTTTGACATAACTTCGAGTATGCCAATTGCGACTAATGCCATCCCATTTTTCAGGTGTAGATATGATGATATCTGCGGACAAGAGAGCTACTAAATCTGGAGTGTAATCTCCAGTCATTTCAACCTGTTGAAATTCAAGTGGGAGGAATAACATTTGGTAGCCAAAATAAACAGCAAGCATGGATTATGAGTCTGCAAAATGTATTGATGCTCCGAGGCAATGTTCGCATACCATTTCTTTTCCAAGTGGAGCAACAAGATGCTTTTTCCAATCATTCATCCTTTCTCTAACAATAGCCTTCAGAGGTGCTATGTAAACAACCTGGATGCCACAAAAATTTAGGCATCTTCAGTAAGATAA